GTACTCAAAGCGCAAAAATGAAATTCTTGGCTGCAGTAATGATTGCTGTCATCTTGATGGTATGTTTATCTTTCACCAACACGTTTGATTTAATTTAGATATACACGCAAAGAAAGATTACATAGAAATTACATCAGCTTCATGAAAAATCAGCCATGTCGGTGACAATATATAGTTAATGATTAGTTGTGAAATCGGTTGTAGCCTTTTATTTTTGATCCTAGGTTCCATAAAGGTGATTCTTCTTTTTCGTGTTAATGACGATTTCCTACTTTGATAATCGCAAATTTTGAAAAGGCACACTCTTGAGTAGAGGTAAACACCATCTCAGTGAATCATCTTTATGAAATGTTGTCACCCCCTTCACATTTTCAGTGCAAGCAAAATTTTTCCATTGGTCGTCGTTATATTTTTCATAATTTTTAAAAAGACTTAGGGATGAACAAAATTTTGTCAGTTTTGCTCGGTATACACCTTAACAAAGATATAAATGCACTTTGTCAATTCTTAGGTTAATGAGTATCGTGGGTTTTGTAATTCAAAGTTGCTTTGTTGTTGGTTAGAGAAGAAGATTTCCATATGATATCAGAATGTTCACCACTCCTATGAAACCTTGTTTGAAAAAGGCAAATAAGTATTTTTATGTGAATTCTGCTACCCGTTTCTATTGGGAACTCTAAGACTTGTTAAATTTGCGGGGTATCCAAGTCAGACCCAAAACATGTAGAACCAAATCTTTTACCTGAAGGTAATAGTAAAGAAAAAAGCAAAACGACGACGATAATACAATATTGCGTGATATATTTTTAGAATGAATTAAATCTTATATACCAATACTTCGCATACAGAGCTTCATCAGCCCAAACTATTTTACGTTAACCCAGACTAAAATATTTGGTTGCTTCACATTTACTGAGATACTGAAACAGTAGATCCAACAATTTTCACAAACATTCTTCGACCCAAAAAGTAACTGGCATTCGACAATGCTCTTTCTGAATATTTCCTCAAAATATAACAGTTCCAATAGGTATTGAATCACAAAGGCTTTTCGATATTGCCAGGGGCGCACATCACAAAAATTGGTGGAGGGGGGGGGGGGGTTGGACCACTCCGTACCCCCTAATGTGTGCCCCTGGATATTGCATTCTTAAAGTTGTATAAAGATTTTGTTGTCTTGAAGGGCGGGTAGACCATAAAGTGATGTTGATTCCCTGAATCTTCTGATTTTCAGATTTCTCAGGAAGGAGAAGCAGACTCAATGCCGACCGGGGGATCGAGACATCCAGGTAAGAATTTTATCTTATGTAAAGCAACTGCTTGTAAACGGTGGTATCAAAAACCACAAAATCGCACCCATGATTTATGACTTGGACACTATCAAGAATGCAGATGCGATGCAGTGGGATTCATGCTTCTTTCATCATTTATATGTTTTGATACCCAATATAGTCTCTTTTAATAAGAACTATAAGAACTAGATAATGCCGGCCTAGGCTCTAATTTGTTAGATAAAATGTTGCTCTAGTGCTTTCAATGTTTTTCTCTCAAAGTCGATTTTCAAGCAACTACATACCAAGAATAGCTTAAAGGACCACTATATAAAAATTCTGCATTTAGAAGTACATCAGATTAGCTGACAAAACCTGTTTCATTTGTTAACATCAGAGTAAATTAGAAAAACTATTCTTTTCTCTTCTAACTTATTTTGTTTCTTCGTTATGTCGCCCGTAACGGCAAGTCTCCCCACCCCTCATTTCTTTCTACTTTTCAAATTACATTTCATACTTTTTTCTCAGATTAATAGGACACTATCCAATTCGCCTTTACCCATTTAATAATATATTTTCATTTTCGACTTTGCTAACTTGCAACGATTTATACATCTTGCAAAGTTAACAGTTAGAAGCCATGGTACATTTGTTTGTCAATTCCTCCGCAATACTTCGTCATGCTCAAGAAGAACTACCTACAAAATCCTAAAAAACCTTTCACCTGTGCTCGTTTTATCTTCACAGATATTATTTGCCCGTTTGCAGTGGAAGAAACGCTTAAAGCCAACTGCACAGAGCCAACACGTCATTGCAATCCATCAATGTGTCCGAACGGATACATTTGCTGTTGGTACAAATGTAGCAAGCTCTGTATGCCGTATTTTAATTACCCTGTTGGGAAGTGAGGATGAACACTTTGCTCATTTCGCTTGTGAACTCTTCGACGAATTGTGACTAACCTGGCAACAAAACTAAATGTTTTTCACATGAGCAATTGTTTACGTTTTTAATATTATGTTTCGTTTCAAAATGTTCTTCTTCTCTTTTGAATTCTCTTCTGTTGATTGAGATCCACAAACAGATGACATGGGGCCTGGGTCAGATAATTGAGATGATTACGTCACTAATCGTTTTATGGCAAAAGACGTCATTTACTAGAAAGGCCTTTAAATTATAAGTATTTTTCTGCTTTCATGCATATTAGTTAACAAGCCCAATCTTAAAAATTATTACGCGGTAAAATTTATATGCAAAATTCCAATTTTTTGTAAAACTTGACTCTCAGATAAATTTCGAAACAATCTACCCCTTCCTTGCATCACCCTTGATAATTTTCTTATAAAAGAGTGCTTTTGTACCTATTTTTCCTCTTCGTATCATTGTTTAGGATACTAAAGGCTGCTGTCCATTTCAGCTAGGTGCAAAATCAAGAAAGTTTTTGGAAGGGTAAAAGAGTGCTTTTTGCCGACAAATGTGGGCGTGTCTCACTCTTTAAGAATGTGGTCAACAGATAAATACTCTTACATGCTGCTTTTATGCGTTTTTGCTTCAAAGTTCATACTTTAGTGCCATACTTTAAAAACTCAGCTACGACAGAGAAGTTAATACCTTACAATTGTTGCAAAAAGGTCCCAGGTTGTGTACAAAAATAGATTCTTTTTGCCCGGCAAAAATACTTAATGTGCTGACAGACAAATTGTTGGGGGGGGTACCGCACCCCCATGTACCCCCCTTTGGCGACGCCCCTGATTTCAGCGCTTCTATCCGCTCGCCCACGCGCTGTTTAGTCCCCTGATTTGATTGGCTCTTTCCAGCATGTTTCACAGTCTACTACCAAGGCGACCAAAACTGTTTCGAAATACGCATAGCCACGGTCGACCACATCACAGCGCGCGCGCAAAAAAACAGACTGAAGTAGAGATCGGCTTCAAGACAGTATTTTTTGTCAACGATGATCAAACCCCCTCGCCAAATGCATTTCAAGTTTGCCACTGCTCAATAACACTTACTGCGCAAGCTCATAAGCTGTACCGCACTAATAATTTAAGGGCTCCCGGACCCAAGCATGGACGGGGCTCATGCTTTATTAATAATTATGCGTCCTTAATCATATCAAAATGACCGATCAACTTTCTATTCTACCCATGGCGACAAGGGTTGCCGCAGAAAGGTGAAATCTCGAAGGAGATCTCTCTGTAAACATGGGCCTGAATTTATGTGATGCATTGACTTGATATGAATTTATCAAGTGATATACCTTGATTTCTAGCATGCTAAATGATGTTAACAATAGATTGGATGATTTTACGTGCTGAAATGAGGTTAGTTCCCTGTTTCGTGTTTTTTCCTTGCTGTTTTTGAAGATTTCCCTATTTGACCCCAAACAGCGATTTCCCTGTTTGACCCCGAGCGCGTCGATCACTCAGCTGATTTATTATGAGAAATCTTGTAACCTTGGTGCAGAATGTTTGAAATTTGGATTGATATGAAAAGGGTGTGTATTTTTCTTTGCGATTACTTCCTTTTGCTATTTATTTTGAATAAAAACGGCGCTTTTTTAACGAGTTTTGTCTATTTGCTCCCGTAGCTACGGAGGAGCCAAGCCTCAAGCTAACGTAGAAGCAAAACATTGTGATTTATACTGCTAAAATAACCGTAGTTGAATTAAAAAAGCATCTGAAAGGTGGTTTGAAGCATGCCAAATCCGATTCTGAGGTTTGTTTTGAGATATCAGTCCTATTTTTGGAGTTATTAGCGATTTCCCTATATGACCCTGATTTCCCTATTTGACCCCGTTCCCTATTTGACCCCGAGCGCTACCAACATGATTGCTTTGCCTTGCCATAGTTCTTCTCCTCAACAAAGAAACAATGTAAAAGCATGCAGCGAAATTACTTTACTTCGTAACCATGATTCATAACACATCATAACACATGTATAACTGTATTGTTGAAACCAAAACAACAAAGCGTATTATTCAAGTAAATTTTTCCAAAACCGTTTTTCGAGACTGAGTAAATCATTGTTGCTTCATCACACACCAAACACTAAGGCAAAAAGCCAGAGAGGCTGAATAGAGACCTTTTGCATCAAAAGTTGTTCACACTTAACGTTGTTAACCACAATGAAGACAACGAATCAAAACTATACAGACACTAACAACATGATTGATTCAAATTATCGAATAGTATAGATCCAAAATGATGTTGATATCAATCGTTACCGTAACAACGGAAGATATCCAAAAGGAGGCTACATTTGACAGAGATAATATTCTATCATATATGGGCAGTAGGCTTCGGCGTATCGAAAAGGTTGTTTAAAGCTGCAATTCCGAGTTTAATGCTTAATGCGATCACCAGTTAACTGTAATTTATAGTGTCAAGATGTTGCATGAGAAATATCTTGAACTGTGGTTTTCGCTTCGATAAATAAGTTGATTCCGTTTATGTCGACTTTTTCACCTCATCCAAGCCATTAATGTATTTGATGTCTACACTTGTGTATTTATAACCATTGATATTCCATTACGGCAGCAAACAAACAAACAAGGCTAATTGTAGCTAAAATCACACAACCCTGAACAGAAAATGTTTTTCAGTAGTGTTTATGTTGTTTATTTCGTCATATCGGTCTGTTATTCATAACCAACATGACTGAATTTCCAAGTATCCTAGCAACATAATTTCTGGACGTCAAAGGAGAACATAACGAAGAAAGCAGCTGTGTGGATAACGAATTCATCAAAATAAATTAAGCGTACGACGTAATACAATTATATTATGATACTGCTACAACTGGTCATGCTTCTTTATAGAAGACTTTAATTTCTGATTGAATATTTTTGTCTTGTATTTCAATAGGTGCTTTCTGAAACATAAAGAGATTTTTTTAAGAATAAAGATACTGAAATATATGGCTTTTCAAATAATAAAGGATAATACTATATCATTAGATACAATGCCATGCAAATAATAAGTATATCTTATAAACTAGTTTTAAAAGTGCATCAAAATGTTGTGTTTGCTGGTAATAACTTATGTCAATACTGATAAGTAATTGACGATGTTTATAGCTGCAGTGAAAGCATTTTACTGTCCAAACTATGCTTTAATGAACCGTTCATTATATCACCGGAATAAAGGCCACCGGAAAAAGAAGGCGTCGAGAGCCTTAGCTTGTTGGGTGTAGTGATGCTTCGCATCGACGTTGGATGATTCACTGCACAGAACGTGTCTCGGATTCCTGGAAGGCCATTTGACATGGTGGCGCTTGACGACCTTTGCAAAAATGGACGCCAGTCCAACTGCTTCCTCAGCCTGCCAACCTGGTCTTTGTCGATGTACAAACTGAATGTTTTGACATTGTGCTCCTGCTCAAGTTCCCATTTCCTGTTGTTCAGCCTCTCCAAAGCATTGCGTGAGTCTTGAATGCGGCGTTTAGTTGCATTGATGTCACCATTCAAAGCATGGTATTCAGACACAAGGCCATGCTTGGGCTTGTCACGACATAGCTCAATATTAGGTCGATAAGTACGATGCTCCAGCCGGGTGTTGTTAACTTTGAGATGTGTCTGAAGATCGGCCAGGTTCTTTTCAAGCATTTCAATGTTGTCTTTCATGGCTTCGATTTCACCCATGACCTTACGTATTTGATTCTCCAGATCTCGTTTGGCTGCAGTCGTCTCGTTGATACGCTTTGCTAATGATTGCTGCACTGAGTTGAACTGTATATTAAGCTGTTGCATTGACTTTGCCAGGAGATCTTGGATCTTTCTTCGCAGGTTCTCTGAAAGTGATCTCGAGTTGCGAGCCCTGGTGATGTTGTTTGTTGAATAGGCCTCCCATTCTGGTGGACTGCTTGCGCTAGGGTCATACTCGACTGCATGGCGGTAGTAGCCCAACAGTGAAGATGAGTTGTTCGTGAGATAAGCTGAATCGTCTTGTCTGGCTGCATGGCCTTTGTCAGTGCTGTCCTTGTGAAGACGCTTCAAGCACGACTCGAGATCCCGATACTGGTCCATGGCTTGCTCGAGAGTTCTTCGCAAGGCTTCTTGGACACTGCTAATTAGCTCAATCTCAGTATACAGCTGTATCTCAACGTCATCTCGGACAAGATCGTTGCCCGTACGTTTTCTTCTGACGGAAAGAGACTTCTTTGGGATCTCCAGAGGATTGTTAGTGGCGTTCAACGCGTTTTCTAGAAGATTTATATGATAAGACAACGCCTTCATTTCAGCGGCGACAGCTTGCGCTTCTTTGTCAACTTCTGATTTCCAGTTGGTGACCTTATGCAGTCGCTTGTCAATCTTCTTTGTAACATCTGTCTGGTTTTGTCTGGCTCTTTCGCAGGCTTTCCCAACCAAATCCATCGTCGCATCACGAAGCATCTTTGCCTGCTCTAATTCCTTCTTCGAGCTGTAATTATGTGCATAATTAGCAGCATGCCAATCTTGAGGAGTAAGCTTCGAGCTTACTTGAATATATTCAGTCTGCATCTTGATTTAAGTTTCTTCTGTCTGAACTATCACTTCCGAAACACCTTTTTCTGTAATAACGTGTCGCTAAATTGCCTAGCAACGAATGGCCTAAGTATCAACAACTTGGTATCCAAGCAAAGCTCAATAGACGCGCTTCGGTCTTGTGTCCTCACTCATCAGTGGTCAGTGACGATCTGAGCTCGATGCAGTGTAGCGTCTAATTTATGTCTAACATGTAGTTTTCGTAAACAAATCTTTGTCTTGGCAACTAGTTATTCCCAAATATCATACTATTAAATATTCATGCTATTCAAAATTTCTAATTGCAATTGACTAGAAATGAATGCAAATGACTTTGATAAATAGGCACCAAAGTCAAGTTGAATTGACTACATTCAATGGCTGTGGTTTGAAGATGATCAATGCCTATTTAGTTGTACACTTTGGCTTAAATTTGTCATCCAAATCTTGATGAGCCCGTGTGGTTATAAAAAATATACCACAGGATACTACTGTTGCAAAGGTTAATCCGAGAAATCTCACCAATGTCTCCACCAGATGCTGCTTTCTTTAGAATTGTGCAAAAATTTGCCACACCAAGAATTACATATTCTTCTTTAAAGCTCTAAACCATTGCTTCTTTTGAAAAACCAGTAAAAGGTGGGATATTGATGATTTTTGTACAGCTGGGAGCTGTAAAACATGCTTTAGAGACATGATAAGATTTAGGGATTAACAAGAAGGTTTGTCCCAAGGTATAACGGTGTCAATCTACAAAAACAGTATTCTAGTTACAGACTTGTCGTCAGTTAGTCATCTTGAAATAATCATCTTGAAATGATCAACATTGGTCAAATTGAAAAGGTCAATATAACAGGATTTGCATCCGTTTACTGTTATCATTATAAAAATAAATAGAAAATATACATTAATTTCAAAACTTATTCTTAAAATGCAACAAAAAGCATCAAAATCCAAGGCTCTCTCCTCATTACATTATGACCCCGATCAAATCAGTGTTTCCTTGCACGTTGCCAGTAACGACCGTCCGCGTCGTCTATATTGCTACTTAGCAACATAAAACTGCAATGGTGCTAGGCCAAGAAGACTGGGACGTGTTTCCAAGGACTTTGTTATTCGTCAACTCAAGAAATTTTGTTAGCTGATCTCAAGAATTGAAAACATTGAGAACTGCACAGATTCAAGCAAATCTGCCATTTTGAAGTAGTATGTTGTATAAATATGATTACTTCTTGGCCAATGACTTCTTAATAGCAACAGTGAACAAATTTGTAATTGCATTTGGAAATTCACTTGACGCTATATATTGTTGAGAGGAAACAGTACGACAATCATTTCTTGTAGGGGTTATTCACGTCAAATCATACAATGTCGTTAAAATTGCTTTATTTATCTGTTCTTTATTGCCTAACTAAGAAAAGAAACTAATTGTATAAATTGCAAAATGCCTTTCCGCGCAAGAAGTGTTCAAAACGATTAAATTTCACTGAGGATTGTCAAAAAGTCAAAAACTTTATATTTTACATCTAGTCTTTAATCTATTTTTCGTACATCGGTTGATCTGCTCGTCATATCTTACGAAATTGCTTATCAAAGAATCTATTGAAACTCACTAACTTCCGAACTTTTGTACATAGTGTCAAATATATAAAAATATTTTAATACTGAATCTGTTAGCCATAATTTACTTGAAAATTTTCTTTTTAGTAACGTTTTTGTAACTTCATTCAGGTTCAAAAGTTTTAGAAGAAATTCACCTTTAATATTTGGCTTGTTGCTATGTATGTTACTAAGAGAGTCCAAGATAACGAATATAGAAAAGTCTTCTGTTTTGTTTCTCTAAGAAAAATGACTAAGAAAGAAATATGTAAGTTGTGCCAATGTGATATCTAATTGAGATATCTAAAGCAATGAAAATCTATGACAATAGTTTCAAGATCCCAAAACTCAGGGGGTAATAAAGAACAATGTTACAAGAAGCCGAATGACTGATCCACTTTTCGAGAAAGCGTTCCCTTAGCACAATAACAAGTCCTTTCATCCTTTGCTTGGTCTAAAACAAGAGACTGATTTCACATGGCTTTTATATATTTTGGTTTCGTTTATGGACAAGCAGAATAAAAAACATAAGGACAGGAATAATTATTCAGAAATAAAACAAATAGAAGGCAATCGCTCTTTTTAATCGGGGAAAATATACACTATTATATCACTCTCATAGTACAAAAACACTTTAAGTTGCAAAGCAGAGCAGAAAAAGTGGCGTTTCGAAACGTTGTTGATGGTGACTTGCATTCAAAGATCTTTGAACATGTAGCTCCCTTCGACTTTTCTAATCTACCACTTTTATCCAGATAAACTCGTGCAGCTGGCGGCGAGATGTCATGTTTCCAAAATTTAGGACAACTGAATTAAATAAAAGATTAGCAAAACTAAAAATTAAATTTCCGGACTTTTTCTTTAATCTTATGGAAATCTAATGTTTATTAAACCTAAGTAAATATTCAATAGCTTATCTGCGAGCTAAAAGATTTTATTCATATGCATTTATTTTCTTTAGGCATAAAAAATTCATCATATCTTTGTGAAAGACCATAATGGATAGATGCCTAAAAATAATTCACAGTGTTTGCTAACTCATAAAGAATTTATTGCGATGTTGTATGAAAATAAATGGTATTTCAGATATCACTTTCTTTTAGCAAGTATGTGCAGAAGCACTACTCAACGATTTAAATTTTCATTTAGAAGTTTGCTGAAACCACTCGCAAAGATTTTTGCCTAAATACACAGAAATGAGCAAAATGTTTCCATGACAACAATCAAGCAATGCACTGAAGTGACTGATTGAATATTGAAAAGGAAACAGCAATAGAACAAATAAAATTGCCATTTAAATAGAACTCTATATTATATAAAACTTTTGGCTTGAACAACTTTCCAAGTTTGCAGTTTCAAGTTCGGAAAGCTGTTGTTTACAGTGGAAAAGGTTGCTGACCCCGGACAAAATTTACAAAGGAATCACATTGCGTTTTTTCAAGTAACTCCATATAAGCAAACGAAAACCTAACTCACAAGACCTAAATCTTGTCTCTTTATTTTTTGCAGTTCTATGTATCAAATAATTGTTTCGTCGTTAAGGCACACCACTGAAATGACATTAAGAAGGCAGGTAGTGATATGAAAAAGGCAAGATACATTGTCTTTCTTAAAATATAACACACCACTGATAATTTCTTGAAATCTATTTTTCGCTACGAACCACATCAAGTACTTTTCTTTGCAACTTAATGTTCTTAGAGCATATTCATTCATCGTAACATCTGTTCATTTAAAAATCCTATTAAATTCCAAAGCTATTCATATGAAAATTCAAGCGCCATAAAGCTATTGATTAAAACAGAAGAGAATCATTCAAGACTTGTCATTGATATCTCTTATCCAACACTTCATAAACAAGTCCAACGACTCGGTATAAAGTTGCTTCTAATCTGCCTAGACATACACTTTGATAATTGCTTCTTGAAAGATTTTTACATTAAATATAAGTGTAGTTAAGACAGCCACTTGAGAAACCTCATACAAGAATAATACATAAAATACAAAAACATAGACACTTAATTAGTTGTCTAGCCATCTTGCGATTGTCTGCTCATATGTCGACAACGTTGTATTTTATATTATTTGCAAGATTCGTTTGGTCAAAAACATGGAGTCACTGGTTGGTAAAAAAACTCTGGTTGCTCATTAGTTTTTAATGAACTTAAGAAACAGGTGGCACATTAGTTTCCGTTAATCGAGTTCCACTTTTGTAAAGAAAAGCATTGTTTGGGCCATTTGAGAACATGTTTGCTCTGAATCTGCCACCTTTAGGAGTAATACTTGTTTTCGCATGTGTGGAATGATTTTGTTTTGATCGAGATATCATTTGAAATACTAATTTAGAAATATTATTTACTCAGTTCACTTCTAGACGGACAGTTGCACAATAAAAGAGGGAATTGCCCCAAAGAAAATAATTTGAAGTTGGGCATTGGTGCTCCAGATGTTTTTGGGGGTCTTTGGCGAAACTTTTTTAGGGTATGCTTTTTTAAGAATGCCTCTGAAAGACAGAACAAATTTTGCGAGTTTAAGAAACCAGGAAATACCGAAAATAATTTGATTTGTTTCTACATCAGAAATAATTTCAACTTGAGCAGATGAATATAAAAAAAGATAATAATACATAATACAAGGTTTTTTTCAAGTTCCTGCATGCTTGCCAGATAAAAGCCCCAAATTCAAATGCTTGTACTCTCTTACACAATTTAATCTGTTCATGCTATAGTTGTTACTTTCAGTTGACAAGGCTAGGCCGACAGCTGCCTCGTTACGCCAATAGCCTTGTTACGAAAAGGACATTCCTTTTGGATAAGCATCAAATTTCTTACTCTTGGCTAAACAACAATTCTTGGAGATAATTTTTACATATAGTTGATACTTCCCTTTTTTTACGAGACTCATTTTTTGCACATAATTGTATTATTTTACTCTCATACAGGTGAACAACGCAAGGTGTTAACGACAGAATTCTAAATTTTAATCATGAGCTTTCGGATGTCCTAAATTTTCAAAGTCCCTGTTATTAGACATCCTTATAACAATTGTTTCATATTTATTTTTCCAACAAAACCTTTTTTATTTTATCCAAAGGTTAGCAATATTATGGCTTCCATCACAACCCTAGATCACAAACACTTGCTTAGACATCTTACATAGTTTCAAATTCTTTAAGACAGGTGTGTATCAAGTATAAATTCAGCTCTATTTTTCCAAAAAATACTAAAGATATGCAGCAAGACTTCATCTTAAAGAGTTTTTTTGTTTACAATTTCAAAGTACAAACTCTATCTTACGAATTGCTGAGTAAGGCCAACGTTCAAATGTAATTGTTATGGTGCTAATTGAAAATGCTTTACACAGAGAAAAAGAAAATTAAATTTCGATGCCTTTTCTTGAAAAATTGCAAAGTTTGCAACAGCAAAAATATCCTTTGATGTTTTAACATGCAAAAGAAAAAAGTTGCAAGCAATGTTCCTCTTGGTACTGGAACAATTTCCCTGATGACAGTCTATTCCACTGTATTTAATTTGATAATCCTTAATCCCATGTGATTGCATAATCCCTAATGACTGCATAAGGCGGCACAAATCCTTGTCTAGTGCCCATTGGAAGACGTTTATTTCAACAATTACATGACTTGATTATGACGCAAACCTCGACCAACGTGCATTAAAAGTCTCTTGACATCTTTGCGGAACCTTTTGTCCAGGACGCTGTAAATTACAGGGTTAGCACAACAATTAAGGTAGTATATGTAGGTTAAGGTGACAAGTGTCGATTCCGCGAGATAGGAGAGTTCTACTTGAAACTCAAAACAAAGGTAATAGATATGTCCGGGCAAGCTTATGACAATAAACGTAACTGTCATTGCAAGAAGAACTTTAACGACCGTGCGGTATTGCTTGCTAAAAGAGGCAACGTTCCTTTGCGACACAGTAATATTCGCTTCATAGCCAGATGTCATCCGTTGCTGAGTAAAATCTCCATTGGTTCGAACTTGCATTTGCTCGTCGATACCTGTAGTGATGATGCTTGTACTTGCCGCGCGAACTCTGACCGCTCGATTTCGCAGCATTAGCATGATTTAACGTTGCAAACAATCAGAAATGTGATAGGGAAAACATACGCAATGATCAACTGCGTCAACGCGTAACCGCGAGCAAAAGATCTGGAGACGTATTCATCATAACACAAATCGTATCTTACCGCCAAAGCAAGGAAGTATGGTATGAATATAGCAATTGAGAAAAGCCAGACAGCTGAAATGACCTTAGCACTGAAACCAATGGTCCACCTGTGCCGGATTGGATTACTGAGCGACCTGTATCTCTCATATGCCACAGCAACAACATTGAACAACGACACATTTAAAACAATAGAATTGAAAGTTCGTAAGAGTTTGCATGGATAAGTACCTAACTGCCACTTACTTGCTAAGTTTGTTTGAATGGCGATTGGAATATACGTTGCATACAAAATATCAACGGCAGCTAGATGACATATAAGAAACCGGTACGAATTGAAATCATCAGAATTGAATTTGGCGAAACGCACTACCAGTACTAGGACATTACCCAGTATTGAGGCAACGAATACAACGGCGAGAAATACACTTGTTCCTATGGTTAGGCCATCCATTGCCGTGGAAAAAGGCGTCTTGCTCTCTATTTAACTCACTGACTTGCTTTTGGCCGTGAATTTTCAATGATACTTTTTCTCCGAATAGGAACGACTGACAACCAAAATCACAATCTGATGGTCTTGACAACGTTCATGAATCCATTTGTGTACACCCCGTTGTAAGCACACAAGACACAATTCTCAGCAGCTAAGATGCCAATCAACATTATTGATCAAACAGTTTAATTGTACAAACGGGAAAGTATTTTGCCAGGGTGTTCGAGGCCTTAGTGTTTGTAAATATTACGCAAGATATCGTTGCAGTAGAGGTAAAATAAACAAAGATTGTTTTGCTTTTGTCCTTTGATTGTTGAACCTTCTTGTTGTAGATGAGGAGGAATAATTTCAGATGTGCTTTACAATTAATTGGTAAAAGGAACGGGTAATTTTTGAGATTATTTACGGTTTTTGATAGATAATCGTGTGTGCCCAACAGCTGAAATGACAGCTATAAATTCCACTTGAGCGATTGCCAGTAAAAGGGAAGACAAACATTTGCCCTTCTATATTCCTTTGAGGGACCTACTCTAACTCGCTGTAAGAATACGCAAGCTTTTTCAAAAGAGATTTGTATCAAAAGCTTTTTATTACTCAGGGGGATATCAAACTGCGTGAAATTGACTAGTTACTGTGTGATATCGACTGAGGTGTAAATATGACAGCTATGACAATAATAATAAAGTCAATTATGACAATAATAATATTAATAACAATAATTTCAAATATCAATGATGCACAAACCCCCCTGTTTTATAGAAAAGGCATTGCATGCGTTACAGGAAACCTGCAAAAAGACGGGAGAGAGGGTAGGACAATGAAAATAACAAAGGTGACTCACTTATAACAGGAAACGAAAAGGAAAAAGTTACAATGGTCAACTTTTGGTATTCAAACTAACACATGAGATCTTTAGCTCTGCCGATAGTGGTGCCATCAGCCATCTTTGAATGTACAAATAAATTCTTTTCCTATACCATAGCAACAATGTCATCAATAATATTTCTCCTCTTCAATCACATTTCTTTACCGCTGTACAGATCTTATACAGTGGAGAATTAACAAAGCATAGGTTGACCCCTAAAACTTGCTCTCATAACATAACTCCTAAACATTCCTAAACTATTGAATAATTTTATGATGTTTTCTTTCTGGAGGCTAATATATTTTCTATGCCAATGGTCCCAAGATCCTATACTTTTTCGACCCTTGGTAAGGTAGTGAGCTTTAAATACAAACTTCATAGTTGAAGAATGCAACATCATTTACAAGTTGTTTTGGTGCATTTTTGAGACATGGCTTCTAAGAGACAGAAGGCCTTGGTTGAAAAGGAAGATGTGATGGTTTCGTTCATAGATTTATTTATAGATTTCATTCATAGAAGACAAGAACTATTGACTTCTTTTCTTTCAGGTTATGGAGAGCTATTCAGAACTTGAGGGATAAACCACATCACGATGGGTGTTCTTGGTTTGAAACTACTAAGAGATGAGGGAAAAATGATTAGGTAGATGGTCAAAGTTCCTTTTGAAATTATTTTAGGATTGGGCCGAGGCCCATTAGGCTTCATGAAAAGCTGTGATTCAGTGACTCCTGCTGTTTGTAAAGGGAAGAAGCTATGGTTGCTAGAATGAGCTTGAAACTTCCACATGTTCAATACAGGTATAGCACACAAGTACAATGATTGAAGACAAATAGAACGCACTACTTCAAAGGATTTCAAGACCTCCAAAACTATTAAAACCTCCAAAAACTTCTATTGGCAGAACGAGATGGCATTGCATCTGCAGCTATTTGACAACGAGATTCAACAGATCTAGCATGGCCTAATGAGAGACTTTGAGTAGACATAACGATGACTCATTTAAGTTCACAAAATGATGGTCTCATTTTAAGTGCAGACTGGTTTCATATGTTGTCAATATATATGGGAATCTAATCCTATGTTTCTCTACAAAAATGGTTAATTTTACCATTTAAATATTGATCTACCAAATTGCAACTAACATGTACAAATAATTAACGGCTTAGCTTCAAAATAAGTAACTTAAAAAACAGAGTTTATCAAGATACGATAAGGTCCCACTTAAAATAAAAAAACAGCAATGGTGTTGTGAGCGTATCAACTAGTCATCGCATTATACCTTAAAAATGATAACATAACGACATCATGATCTAACAGAAAAGCATAAGTACTAGATATATCTTATGAATGGTTTGGAAAAAGGGACACATTTTAAAACATTCCTGAAACTCTTTGAGAGTATAAAACGTCGGGACAATAAACGAAAATACGTATACCTAGTTGTGGCTCAAAACTTGCCAATCAGAAATGCAAGCACATATTGGCACTTGCCTGTTAAAAATATTTCCTAACTTGGCATATTTGATCGTTATTCTGACGTTTTATACTCTGCTAAGTACCATGTGAAAGGCCGAAGCATGTCTAAAAAGGTTTGTTTTTAAATAAGCTATTTTAAACTTATACACCACCAAATGTTATTATTTTTTAGGTATTATTCAGGTGTTATTATTTAAAGATAATATTTTTTTCTAAATTTTAAATTATCCTCTAGCCGAAATGCTGGTTTTAATTTGACTAAAGCATGTTTTTAAAATGCTCGATTCTTGAAAAAAATATTTTAAACATACATACTACAAAAAATGCTTGCAAAGATATTATTTCCTTTCAGCTTTTTGATTATTCTCTAGCCGAAAGGAATTCTAAGGGTTCAACACTGCCAGGACTATCGCGGGCCCCAATCTACGAATATGGCAGAAAAAAGTGTGTAATGCAGGAATTGCTTTCTTAATAAAATTTGCAAAATAAATACCTTGACTTAAACATATATTCTTAATAAAATCATTCTTATATTCTTACATTTTATAATACTTCAGCTTGTATAATTTTGAGGAACGTGCTTTTATTAAATATTTTTAATGAAAAGTTTGCATTTAATATTTTGCTAGTGCAATACTGACTCTCACGTAGAAATTTTTCTAAAAACCCAAAATACATCAACTAGTACCAAGTTCTTTAGAAGGCTTATAAGTTTCACTCAAATTTTCTCTTAAATTTCTATATATTCAAATTCATTTTTCTACACAGGTTCTTAAAGAAAATGCTGGAAATTGGAAAGAGGAAACTTAATTTTACAGTGTTTGTCATGACTGCGACGTTTCTTTAAGTGCTGTATTTTATATCTACAAAATGTGTCTAATTTTCCCGATTACTGCCATGTGATAACTTCACAAGTTTCTTGTAATTCCTTTTTGCTACAACTAGATTTTAAAAAGCTGCAAAGAAACATAAATTCTACAAATAACAAAAGGTGACAAAGTTCTAGTTCCCTGTAGCAAGATTGTACTCATTTCTCTAACCGTCTATGAAAAAAACTGGACGGGTAACGTTCAAAAAGCAGCTCTCGCGTACCTTTCCTGAGCGATATTCAGATGCTTAACATATTTTATCATATTTATTGCACCAATAAATGTCCTTAGAATTTGCAAAGACACAGCACTGTTGAATAGGCGTGGTGACCTGTTTTGCTGCCTTCGGCCAAATCAGGGCCATACCCAATCTCACCAAAGGCGAACATTCCAACAACGGGTACCCCAGGGAATACCTCAGATATCCACGTGGTCTCGACATTGTCCTCGCGATACAAACTGTAACCACGTGCAACGCATGAATACATAAATATAACATCATAGGTTTCAGCCCCCAAGGACTCTTTTAGTCCCTGTAGACTTTGAATGAATTGTTCTTTGTCTTCTTCCCGCATCCCTTCGTTGCTTTTCCGGCCTTTGTTTATTACCAAACTGGCAGCCATATTTCCTGCAAACACCAGCCCAGAAACGCCTCTGTTGTGTATCTTACTGCCGTGAATAATTGATTCCACAAGTCCACCAGCAATAAGGACATCTTTTCCAAAGGTCTATGATGAACAAACTCCCTGTGTCACAAATGAAACAGAGCAATTCCCCAGAAAACAGGTCTAGGGAATTCAATATTTCAACAATTGTTCCTTCCCAATCCTCCTCATCAACCCCGACTTCCCATCTTCCCTCTCTTCCCCATCTTTCCATCTTTCAGTCTTCCAAATCACCTTCCCAATCTTCCTAATCTCCCCCACTTACACCGCAAGAAAATCTCTTCAGCAGCCTTTTTCAAGGCTGGATTTTGATTGGTCAATTCTTGATTGACAAGAAAAATTAAGTGAATGAAATATCTGGATATCTGGCGCCAGCGACGAGAAAAAGATGGCATATTGTGCCTTATCCTGGTGCAGATCAAAAGAAAGGTGGGATGATAATGATGCTTTTAATTGGGAATTTTTTGCCCAGTCGGCAAACACTTGCTTCTCGCGTATTTTTAGTATCCACGGGAGCAGGGATGGAATTTCTCTGTCATGGACAAATTTTAAACCCCCTTATGAGAAAAGACGAATATTCTTCCCATAAAATCTTATAAGAGTAACCATGTTCTTTAGTCTTTTATTTAAACTATTACAACTGTGTGTTTTGGTGCAGCCGGGAAACGGCCATTTGCTAACTTTCATGGACAACTTTTCAGGTTCTGGAAAATATGCATACCAGCTTTCATATAAAGCTTTTTTTGCATGGATTTTACATGGAAAAAAGTAGAACAAACGATATTATGCACGATGCTACATAAACATTTGGGTCGAATTTCACAGGAAGATATGAACCTTATTGATTTCAAACTCAAAGAAGACAGAACGAACGCTTTGATAGCCCGTGTTTATAAGATTTCCTTTACTGAAGACGGAAGTTCGTTGTTTGCGTTAAGATCTCTAACAAAAAGCGCTCTTATAAAACGTACCAGCGCTTATCGTACAGGCCATATAGTCCAAAAAAATCGAGTAACTCAGACAAAATAGAAGCTACCTCAACATTTTATGAATTTGAGCTTTATAACGCTCCAACTTTGCACGGAAAAGCAGAAACAAACTTTCATCAAACTCTCAGAGCATAAAAAGTTAGGAAGGACACAGAGCACTTTAACAAGCTATGCTATTTTAAGGTTTACAGCAACATAGGCTTTTTTGGTAATATCAGTTGGATCAGTTTAGACGTGTAATTAACAAAGCAATGTTAAACTTCTCAATTGTTCCCTTAAGCATGACAAGATTCCGTATAAACTCATTCCTTTTGACTCATTTATGCATAAATAATGAAAAAATGAATCGCAATGAAAGTTTCCATGCAGAATGATTCAAAATAAACACAAACATACCTTTGTTATCATCTTCAGTATTTTTTCCACTCCATTAACTTCGCAGCAAGCATTCAAAAGAACCAACTTCACTTTATGGTCTTTCGGATTCCCAAGCATCTTTCTCCATTCATCCTTCGAAGCGCCGTGAACGGCCGACATCGTAAAGAAAAAGTCATTTATAAAAACGCCAGAGTTTCGAGGCAACAACAATACTGACAGTCCTTCTCTTTGCTCCACTTCCAAAGATTTCGAACCAATACGGCCGATAACACCTCCACCAAGGCCTCCAGTAAACTTGCAATTATTTGGCAGAGCAGATTTTACGGTCTGGGCCACCTTTCGAATGTGTTTTGAATGTCTTTTAGAGAAAAATTCATCGCAGCGAGACAGGTACATCAAAGCTGCACAAGGAAATATGACTGAACCGTTGATGCTTTTGCAAAGGATATCTCCCATTTCTTGCATCGATAACTAAAAATTGAGATGATAATGTGTTGTTTACAAACTTACACTAATTCATTCAAAAAGGCAGCTACTTTGCGGTTCTGCTTAAACACAAATAAAGTTGAACAAAAAGGGTAACTAAATTCCAGTACTGCCAATTTGTCACAAAAAGACACACAGCAGTAAAAATATAGAGAAATATATATTGGCAATCAACAGTAGAATATCTGATAGATCATGCAACAAAAGCCAATTCAACAAAGCCAAGCCCATCTACAAAAACGCCCTAAAACCCAGCGGATACTCCGACACTCTTAAAAACAACATCACCTACACGGAAGGGAAGAAACAGGCAGCACAACATGATCTGGTACAACCCCCACATAACATGTACATGAATGTACAAACTAACATCAGCAGAAGCTCACATACACAAACACTTCCCCAAGAATCACAGATTCCATCAGATCTTCATCAACAACAACATGAAAGTAAGCTACAGTTGTATGAAAACATATAATATAATAATAATAATAAATAATTTGTTTAAAGTTGGCGTACTAAATGAACGGCTGATAGCTAACCATCGTTACAACATGCAAACCATCGTTAGCAAACACAACAGAAACATATCATATTAAAGTGTTATTTGTCCAACACTTCTCAGATTATAAACATTAAATAATGTTCATTTGAAGGTAGTCAGAAACTTTATATCCAGATGCAGATCAAAATCAATGTGAGAGAAAAGATAGTGCATTTGATTGGTTATTTATCTTTGACCAATCACAGCTGCTAATCTCCTACCTAGTTGAAGAGTCCAAGAAAGAAAACAAACTCTTATCGTCTACACTTTTGCTTTGATGTAGACATGTTGGTTTCAGAAAAAAGGAGTCTAACAACCTTTATTGACAAGATGTCCTGGTATTGTACAATCATTCAAAATCAATGTGGTATACCATCTTCAAGTTTCTAAGTTGTTAGCAGGAGAAGATGATTGATTAACAAGACATAATGTTGGAAGTAGTGAATTATGATTTCACAGTGAGACATCCAGGGCTTGACTAAGAGAGCCTAGTCTAAGCACCCACCCTAGCAACTTGGTAATAAGTGTCTAGGGTGCTTAAGTCATTTACAGAATATCAAAACCATATTGTGTTGTTTGTTTCATTAGATGTGGGGTTCATCAAGCTAATGGGCTAAACAATCTGTTATTATAAAAAATTATTAACCAAGGGTCTTGCTAAATTCCATGTCATAAGACTTCTTTAAGAATGAAGAAGTAGGACAGGTTTTGAAAATCCTACAAGCATGACCAAAATAGGTAACAAGGAACATGTAAAAAAAATTTTTAAACATACCTCATCTTCCTCTCCTACTTCTTTGTGATATAAATTTGCTACGATGAACTTTCTTTTTTGCCAAATTCGTTTTGCTGATGCATTCCAAAAAGAGCAAACACATGCTGCTGCTGAAAGGTCTTTTGCATTCAGATATGACAAAATTGGCTCTACAATGGTTGGGAACTTTGTAAGGCAAATCTCTGCAACATCACCAAATAAATTCTGATTCATTGCTATTGAGAAAAATCAAAATATCAAAATTTAAAATAGAAAACTTTCTATTTATGGAAGTTGAAGGTAGCAAAGCAGGAAGGTCTTTAGAAAATTTCTTTAATTTTAGATTAGAAATGATTCTGATTTGCTAATACATAAGCATCAGCTAATTTTAGGGGTCACCAGTGCATAATAAAAAAAACTCTTTGATGTTGTATCTTTTAAATCTCATAGAATTTTCTTGTTCATGTCATTTATTTCATATGGTCATTTCTTCTTCAAAAAGCTTATAAATGCAATCTAATTATTCATTTCTGTAAGTAGTCAATTTTTGCACGTTTGAAATTCACTTCTTCAACTTTTTGTTTCCATGTAGATGAGATGAGCTTGTTTTGAATGCACTTGAATTGAGAATAGCATGGCCAGTCAAATTCTGTTGAAAACATGGCTTATCCTGCATAAACATAACCTTCATATATCTTAATTATTGAAACATTGACTTTTACAATGCTGAATGCTCCTGATGCTGTTTAAGGTAGTATTACTTTAGGAGCATGAAATTAGAAAAGAAAAATAAGAATTTTGTTTCTAAATTGCAACCACACAAAAGAAAATTGGTTTGTGTACGCCTGGGAGTTTTATCGGCTATAAATTTTACAAAAGTTCAGACAATAGGCATGTATATAGATACATACATTACTTTACCTAGTGGCTTTGACCTGATTTTGATAAGCTGGCTACAAAGTTAGGCACTAGAAGGAGAATAGTTCCTTTGCCTTACAGGACATATCTTAATTGCAGCAAATATGAAGAAAATTTTGTTCCCTTGAAATTCTAGTTCAAATTTACTTCTAAATGAGAGGATAAGAAGGAAACATTGTATCTGACAGGAGAACCTGTTGAACCAGGACAGTTGCAGTTCTGTGCTGATATGCTATAAACAGTGCTCCATTGAAAGTTGCTTTCAAATTCTACTATTGCAAATGTTGCCCCTGGTTGAAAACGTTGCAGCCATAGTGGGCCGGAGCTGTACGGCTCATGCAAATTGTACGGCTCATGTCAAATATGTACGGCTCATGTCGAATTTTCAAAATCGATAAGCAAACACAAAACCGTAGCCAATGCACAATATTAATGTATCAAAATGTTCCCCTATCTTTCAAGAATAATTTCCAGTGTTTTTCGAACAGTTTAATCGCACAACTACCTAAGAATTTTCAAGAATACTACCACGACATCTTGCGATTCGCAAACAAATAATGGCTCCCACGGCTAAGTGTCGACCTAAGGTGGCTTCGAATATGGGGATTCCCTCTGTTCTAGCAACGAGCAAGTAACCTCAAAAACAGCAAGATTTCAACCAAAATAAAACCGTTTTTTACAAAATTATTATTGGATACCCGTGCAATTCAACCTTTTTAACAAGTTTATTTAAAAATATTAGAGTTTTGAGGGTTGCATTAATCACCCACCATGTTCGGGGTCGACACTTAGTTTCTGGCGGAGCTGGCTCCGTGTACCGCTGCCTGGAGTACACCAGCTTGCCATAAAATCTGATAATATGCACATCTGATATCACCTTGAACTATTTACCTTTCCTATCTTTATATAAATATTATGCAGATCCAATATATTGATATTGGGCACAATGTTTTTTGCTGTTTATATAGTTGGAAAAACATACAATACATGGCAGGTAACCAACAACGTGATGCACACTAGAATTAGAAGTAGGTACCAAAAAGGATAAAATTATACTTGAATTAGCTCTTGCACACAATCTTGTCTACAGTTAAATCATAAAATCTCGACTTTGGCACTTTATTAAATGAAAATAAAACAGAATGAAATAGTTTTGCTTACCTTCTTTTTGATGCACTCTTTGGAACAACAGCAGCAACAGACTAAAATATGGAGGGAAACCAACCTCGTTTTGATGATCGTACTGTTTATATAATTTCATGAATTACATAATTTGAGTAAGGATCTTGAAAAAGTTTCTTTCCTCAGTCCTGCATGGAAATGATCTGTTACTTTTAGTAGCTGTTGCATTTTTCTGGTCAACTGCAGTCAATAACTGTTGCAATGATTCCAGTCAAAGATGCAATTAGATCGGCTGCGAAACTGGATTCAACCATGGCCTCAACAAGAAGATACCTAGGACAGGTCATTCAATTGAATCGACAACGTTTTGGATCGAAGGAAATATCATGTGTTTGGCAATTGCGACACCAAAGTACGAACGCGACAGCTTCTACTGCTCTCAAAGATTCGAGAGTGTCGTCTGGAGGTGCAGGACCCATGAAAGTTTATAGTGAAATGCTCAATTGTGGGTCGTTGAAACCAGATAGACATCAATTTGTTGCCGTTAAACATTTGCAAAATGTTTTTAAAGAAGTTGGACAGTATAGAACAGAAAAATCAAGTGCTAGCAATGGTAGGTTGATGGTTTGTTCGGTGATAAAAAACTATGTTGATGATAAACATTATCTTCCAATTTATACTAACTGTACAAAACAGACAAAAAGGTATGCTAAGATCAGCACTCTTTGAATTTCCAACATTGGCAACATTTGAAATATATCCATTTTGGATGAGCCTATAAAAATTGATAGTATCTTATTCAAGGCCATGGCAAGATTCTGGAGGAATGCATTTTTAAGGGAATAATTCCATCCGAATGTTTGATTTTTCAATGATAATTGAGTTTGTTGTCTTGAAGTTACTCCATACATACATATTTCCTTTGTGATTAATTTGTCATATTTCATTATGATTATCTTCAAAGTTAATTATTTTTAGTCTTGTGTTTTAGAAAAGTATATTTCTGCTGGATGTAGCAATTTTTTAATTACCCAGCTATCTGTTGTCACATTTTTGTAATCATCGATGTTGTAATTTTTCTTATTAACAGTATAAAAATTAATTTATTAGCGCATACAACCCCACTTAATGAAAATGGACAAAATTAAGATTTTGTTACCCTTCCCTTTTAGCAAATACTTCAGTGATAGAAGCAAAATATATTGTGATTTCTTCCTTTCAACTTGCCAGCCATTGTCATTGTCTGTGCTTTATGGATAGTCTGGTGACTCTGAGATGAATCTCTCAAAGCTTTGCAGTTAAACATTTATATTCATACAACATCTTTGTTTGCAGATGCAGACAAGAATGAAAGCCAACAAGAATCTTTAATGCATCCAAAAGGCTGCTATATCCATGGTGAAGTAGGGACTGGCAAGACAGTCCTACTTGATTTGATCTACGACTGTCTGCCTGATGGCACAAAGAAGAGAGTTCACTTTCACAACTTCATGTTATTTCTCTACTCTGAATTCAACAAGTGGAACTTATGCAGTCATAATCAGACAGATTCAGCTTATTTGCAAAGTCCAACAGAGTATATTGCTGACAAAATTATGGAAGATGCCTGGATAATTTGCTTTGATGAGGTACAAGTTGCAGATTATGCTTCATGTAGTCTCCTTGAAGGTGTTCTAAAGAACATGTTTTCAAAGGGGGCAATTGTAATAGCTACTTCAAACAGGCCTATTGAGCAACTGGGGGACCTGTCTATAAGTGAGAGCAGTGATGGAGAGCACCCTTTAGAGGATGAAAGTTATGAAAGCGTCAGGTCTTTTAAGAGCCTTTTGAGTTCCAATTGTACTACAATGCATTTGAACTCTGAGCATGACTACAGAACCAGTCTTAGCCCTGGCAGGAGCACATTTGCCTATCCAATTAATAATGAGACAGAAGAATGGTTAGATCATTCTTTCAGCAAGGCAGTAGGTACAGGACAATCTCTTGGCACCAGATATGTCACAGTTTATGGGAGAAAAGTACTTATTCCCATTTCTTCAGGCAATGGAGTTGCAAGATTCACAGCCAGAGAGCTGTTTGAGCAACCATTAGGGCCAGCTGACTTCATCCAAATCTGTAACAATTTTAATACAATATTTGTTGACAGAATTCCCAAAATGGGAATGGCCCAGAGAAATCAAGCAAGGAGATTTCTCAGTTTTATTGATGCAGCATATGAAAGCAGAACAAAATTGTACTGCACTGCTGAATCAAAGCCTGAGGAAATATTCACCTTGCTGCCTAAAGACGGGGAACAGACCGACTGCTATGATGACCAAATGCACTTTGAAATGATTGGAGAAATTGCTTATGACCTTGCATTATCCCAGCTAGATTTCCGTTCGCTTGGTATCATCACTGGCGAGGATGAAATTTTTAGTTTCAAACGGGCAATTTCTAGACTCAAAGAAATGCAGAGCTTGCTTTATCAGATGAAGCCACACAGAAAGCAGTCTTTTAGCCCATATGTTGGAACCAGTGAAGAAAAGAAGGATGCTGTGGACAGGCGAAGAGACAGAATGATCAAACGCCAAAAGATAATTGAAGATATGGAGAAAAAGAAAAATAAAGGAGATGAATTTGCCAAGTTACGAGATACAGTGGATGATGTTTTGATGAATAATCCAAATGGAGAGATGCAAGAGCACTCAATTGAGAAGAGGTACAAGGACCTTGATTGGGGTGATGAAGCCAGCTATACTACGTGGAGTCAGACTGTAGCACAAAAAAATAAGTTTGACGAAACTGTTCAAAAGTTAACAGAGAAAATTAGAGGTAAGGGTCCGGCTCCAAGGTTCAATGAAAAACATTTCTGGGGATTTGGTTGGTGGGAAAAAGCAATAAAAAGAATGCGTGGCAGTGACCCTAATGATGATGATAAAAAGTAAAAGTTGGTTTTGAATTTTGAGTGGAATTTATTAAATGAATTGTAATTAGTTATATGTTTTTATTCATTTTTCATAACAAACGTTGAGAAGAGGTACAAGGACCTTGATTGGGGTGATGAAGCCAGCTATACTACGTGGAGTCAGACTGTAGCACAAAAAAATAAGTTTGACGAAACTGTTCAAAAGTTAACAGAGAAAATTAGAGGTAAGGGTCCGGCTCCAAGGTTCAATGAAAAACATTTCTGGGGATTTGGTTGGTGGGAAAAAGCAATAAAAAGAATGCGTGGCAGTGACCCTAATGATGATGATAAAAAGTAAAAGTTGGTTTTGAATTTTGAGTGGAATTTATTAAATGAATTGTAATTAGTTATATGTTTTTATTCATTTTTCATAACAAACGTTTATTGACAGTTACTTATGAAAATTTCTGTTAACCAATCTGTCATAAAGTGTGCTGTTTAGGCAGAGCTTTACACGCTTTTGGTGATGATTATGATGATCGCATTTAGCCTGGGACTTTGAGTAGCAACTTAGAACTATCTTGTTTTGCACATCAAAAGCTTTAAGTCAGTTAACAGATAAACAAAAATTCCTATAACCAAATCTTTCGTTATAAAATTATACTGTCCGAAGAAAAAATCCCTTCAGACCATTTTCAATGGCAAAATAACCACATCAAGTGGATATAAAACCTTACTATTTAAGTGATAATCAAGACAGTGGCGTAACACCGCACCGGGGGCCTTAGGATAAAAACTGAAAAGGGGACCCTACAAACCGACTGCAAGAAGGTCCATCCAAAGGTACATACTTATAACATGTGAAACAGAATAGCAAGATGAATGAATAATAATTTTTTGATCGTTTAATTGAATAAGCTGAGTTGTTTTCTTCAGTTGAGGCCGATTGAAGCTTTTGACAACAAGGTGAACTTGGCAAAAATCATGAACGTGGGGGTATCTTGGGGTCTCTTTTGATTGGAGGCCCTTGGTTATCGAACTAAGGTGTCCTTTACTGCATTATCCACTGTTTTGAGCCATTTGTGACGAGCGTATATATGTCTGCACTCTGCACAAATGTGTCTCACCCGCGAGACACAGCAAAAAGCATCAACAGAGAAACAATAGCAGAGAATGCAGTAACAGGCAAAAAACCTGTCATGTCGAAGTGTCGTTTACAGCTCTGCTTCTGTCACGGCACCATAAGGATGTTATTAATAATAATAAACATGACTGAAATTCATATTTTGCATATACAATTGTTTACAATTTGCTTTTGCATTTGTCGTCGGCATTTAGTGTACGTTCCCTTCGTGTCAATAATAACATCACTGTCTAGTATTAGGGCATATATCGCAGGGCCAACGCCACCAATTTAAATATGGGGGGGCCAAGGCTTCTTTCCTCTTTTACTGCAGCTTTAAAACTTTTTGCAGGGGTGCAATTAAGAGGGGTGTTGGGGTGTCACACCCCCCAATAATTTCATCATCCGGTCCCAGAACGAATTTGATGAGTTTTTGAATGGACGTCCCTAATGCATTTGTTGGGATGCAACTTACTGTCAGTCAGAACGAATTTGATGAGTTTTTGAATGGACGTCCCTAATGCATTTGTTGGGATGCAACTTACTGTCAGTCATAGTTATGTTTATTTTTGTCTTCTGAAATATTTTTGATGCTTTTGACGCTATGGAAAAAACTAGCTGCCACCGACGACGATGACTTTTTAGTCATATGTACATGCTCTATCTCGTTTCCGTGCTATGCGCAGCGTTGGATGCGCAAACCTCAAGGGTAATGCGAGAGTGGCCCCGACAATATCTATTTCACTAAATTCGGTCCCTTCAAACATTAATGCAGATAATGACAAGAAAAATATACTTAAAATCCAGTAAGACTTGAAGAGATGAGATCTCAGCTTGATAATTAGGCCGTTGATTGTATCAACTTTATTCTTTTAAACAACTGTTAGATTTTAAGGATCTTGCCTTCATACGTGTACAACAAATGGCATCATAAATACATTAAAATTTATATTATTTACATCAAATAAATTAATCAGATTTGCGTTAATGCAAACTTTCTAATTTGTTATCTCAAGATTACTAGATATATCTGGCATGCCATGAGTATTTAGTAGCATTGAGTCAAATCACCAGATACATAGTCAAAGTGAAGTTGTTTTATGCCACACCTTTTTTGCTATCAGGAAACGCCTTTTACCAACAGGTAACGCATATTTTACCTAAATGGGACGCCCATGTCTACCCTTTATCTCCATGAAATCAGTTTCAAAAACGTAGAATTACATCACAAAAAATGCCTTGCAAAAAATTACCCCTCCCCCAACACTTTCTCATCCGAGCACTGGAGAAACATGTCCGCCCCAGTCCCCTCGTGGTGACGCTAATTTTCTGGACAGACAAATGAAAAAGAGAAGATTGCCATGCCTATCTGGTCCCTTTTTTCATCAACATATTGTTACCATGACCCATCATAAATTGGTTTCTTCTTCTGACGCAAAAGCATTCTGTCAGGCCCTCCCAAAAACCAAATCCCCTCAAAGGGCAAACAATATCAAAATTTCAATTATAAATAGCAGGCTTCCTCTGAATGCCCTTAACAACATAATTCTATCTCTGCTCTCGTTTTACTTGTTTCATATCCACCTCAAAAGAAATCTTTCTCACATGCCGATGGATTTCAAGCACTACTGACTTCTGGGATAGATGGCTCAGTCTTCGACCGTTCCCTGCAGACGACGGACAAAGGTACCTGCAAGCAAATGGCGGACGATTCAATCATTCAAAAACCGTCGTAAAATTGCAGAAAGTTAGGAATGTACAGAATTCAAGTAAAAACGGCGAAAACAAATAATAATCACAGAGAAAAAATAATAAATTTAAGGATTAAGATCAAAACAACTTTAGTCAACAGCAATAAAGCATATGATAAAAAGCAATTAATATAATGTGTGAATGAAGAAAAGGCCACTGTAGCAGGGCTCCGGGCTCCAAGGAGTTCTTGCGGCGAAAAGTCGATAAAAATGTAGCAAATATGAAACACCGCAATACGCCGAGAATAAAAAGCAATAAATACACGTAAATCAGTAAAGGCTAATATTTCGCCCCGACATACGGGACTTCATCAGAGCAAAAGTTAATATAATGGTTGGTAAAAAATCGCTAGATTGAAAGAATATAAACATATTCAATAAGCGTTGGCTCTGCAACAGCTGAGTATATTTTACCCCGTACTCTTATTGCTTGCTTTGCCCATTTTCTAGTCTCTCAATTTTTAAAATCATCATCAGCATCATAATCATCAAAAATACGACAAATGTCTTCACAAGTAGAAAACAAAATTAAATTTTAAATCAATCTTTGCTGAGTTGGTATTAATACATTGAAACATTATTTTAACAGATCTGCCATGTCTCGCGAATTTTGTGGGACTCTTATGTATTTAAAAATAGAACTAATTGAGAAGAACAATAAATGAATCTTCAATCTTTAAGAGACATAAGATTTTAAGGAAATTATGTTCTATATCTACCGGTCTATTTTGTAACCTATTAAGTTAACCTGATTTGGTGTTTATAAAAAGACAGCTCTATGTCATAATTTATAAAATACCAATGACTTTTATACTGCATGAGATTGCTAAATATGGTTGGAATAACTGATTGATGCCCTCTTACCTCCACCTTGTGAGGACTACATGGAGTTGAAACAGAGTCCTTCTCTTCAAATGACGTCATTTCTGTATTATATTCTTGAGAATCTTCTTGGAGACTCTTCTTAACCTGAAATCAAGAAAAAGGTGCTTGGCATAACAGTTTCAAAATTATGACGTTATAATCTAAAATTTTTATTCTGCTAATGTCTTGACAAAAGTTGCTATTGAATAGTAGAAAATATTTTTTAAATAGAATGCATATTTTAAACGGTAAATGAATGAAAAAATTTACATCTTCAAGCACACTATACTTTTGATTTTGATTTTAAAAAAATGGAATATTGATCCACAGAAATTCAATTTGAAAAAACTGCTCATTTCACCAATACGGAGGCAAATACAATACTTCGAAGCTCCTAAGGATAAAAAACATCATGCAGATTTTTTATAACAAAATTTCTACCTTCTCATTTCTTTTTAAAATATTTTTCAAATCTTGTATTTCCTTGCTTTTATCACAAATTGCTTGCTCCAGTTCTTCTATTCTTTCACATAAACCTCGCTGGCTTTTTGCCTTAAAAAACAAAACGTAATTACAAGCTAACTAACAAAATATTTCAAAAGGCCTATGGAAAACGGTCATTAGTTCAGCAGTACCATGATATCGAAATATGTTTACAAGTTTTAATTAAGTTATTGAAAAATAAGCTGATTGCTATAGAAATCAGCAGAAGTAAATGAAAGCTGTCTTGCAATATAGCTTTATTCACAATAGTTTATGAATCAAAATACGTCAGAAGGAGGTTCCAATATGTGAAGCGACAGAATATTCTCCAAGTTGTGGATCGAAATAGGCCAATCATAAACACGAGCTAATGACCGGTATTGTAAGGTTGACCAATCAGTGTCATGTGCATAAAGAGAAATTACCACTAAAGTGGAAGGATGAAAACGAGCTCCTTCTGTTTACACAGTGTAATAGCTTTTTAACTAAATTCCGTATCTTTCATATAAATGCAGCTAGATTCTAAAAAAACTGCTTGGTAGAACAACGACCCAGCTCTAGCAATTATCCCAAACATGTCACCATCAAAAAAAATTCTGGCTGAATTTGGATTGTCTAGTAAATGCTGCTGATGGTGGAATCGTATGTTGGTGGAATCTGCAAGACAAACGAGGCTGTTCCCTTAGGTAGAGAGTTTGATTCTAGTGTTGGAAGAACTCTTTGCCGCAATCTTTGAGTTGTGCGTCCTACGTAGCCAGAATCAAACTGGCACGTAAATTCATAAACAACAGAACTCTTTTGGTTGGTAGGAACACAATCCTCTTGAATGGATGAAAAGGCTCTCCTAGTACTGTAAACAATACGAAGGACTGACAGCAAAGAACATTTGTTAATTGCTTGTTTAATCTGATTTTCAAATCGCATGGATGTTTTACCAATCCAAGGTAGTTTGAGTTAAACAGAGCACCTTTGTGGACCAAACCTTTTTGTCGGCCAAAAAAAAGACATCTTCTGGATAGCCGTTGTCCAGAAAAATCTTTTTGAAAAGATTTAGTTCTGTGAAAAGGTAACGAAAACGAAAAAACTAAGCATATAAAAAAAAGCATACTTCAAAAGAGATTCAATTTTAAACTACTTTAATTCAAAATAGACTTACCAGTTTTTTCTTAAATATATTTTTCATATTAATAAGAAGCTCTTCTTGGCTTGTTTGGATGAATTTGATAATTTTTTCTGTTTCTAGGGAACTCTTAACAGGCTTCTTTGCTTCACATAATTTTTCCTTTTCGATATCTTTGCCAACTGATATAGTATCCGCATTTATTGCATCGTTATTAACGAGAACTGACGAGAAGGATTTTCGTTTCTCTTGTAGCGATGGTGACCTGACCGAAGCAATGACATTCGATGCTGGTTTAACCAGTGGATTTATAACCGACATCATCGCGTCGTGCACGACTCCTTTATTCGACGGAAGCGCATTTGGGTCCGATTCAGCGGGTGTCGGAACTCGTAGGCTGTTCGATCGTCTGCTATCGTTGTCCCTTCGAATACTACCGCGACGAAAACTGCTTCTTCGTGAATCAGGCGATCCTTTAACGTCGTTCGCGTCATTAAGTCCGGTGCTACTGTTCATATTCATTAACATGCTGCCGACTTCATCATCTGATTCGCTAGTCGTATCGTCACGCGGCCCGTCTTTCCGACTGTTGTCCTGTTTTAAACGATTTCTACCATGTTTTGCAAGAATCTTCTGTGCGTTTGGGTATTCCTTAATTGCATTTAAAACATCGTCTTTCGATAATACAAAAAGCTCTACGTATCCATATGCTTTAACATCAGCAGTGCGCCTAATAATAAACAATTGTGAAATCTCACGAATGGGAGAAACTTGCGCATTGGCGATAAATCTCGTTGTGTTTTCTAAACTTTTAGTTTAATCGTTTACATCAAATATAAAACAGATATCGGGAATGAAACTGAATTTGATTGATACCCAAACAAATTTTTAAAACGGTTTTTTAATAAATAATTTTCGAGCAGTTGATATTAAAATAATCATTCAAAATTTAACATGAATTTCAAATAGATGTCATCAAAAATTGGAAGATGCTTCCAAAATAATTCCAGAAACAATGATGACACATTTTCCGATCAAGTTTAGAACAATGTAATTTCCTTATTTATTAAAAAACTTCAATTTTATCTACAGCAAACATTGTTTAAGTTGTTATCTAACAGAAGAAGATCTAATTCTCACCGATTTTGACCTTTACTTAGACTCAAAATTCCGATCTCACCAAAAAAATCCCCTGAGTGCAAAACTTTGAGAACTCTACCAGTTTCACTACAGGGAGAAAGATAATCAGCATAATTAGCATTCTCTTATCAACATAACAATATGATTTTTTATCAATATTACACAACCAATATTTCACTATCAATATTACACTACCAATATTTCACTATCAATATTACACCACCAACATTTCACTATCAATATTTCACGATCAACATTTCACTATGAATATTTCACGATCAACATTTCACTATGAATATTACATTATCAATATTTCACTATCAATATTACACTACCAATATTTCACTATCAATATTACACTACCAATATTTCACTATCAATATTTCACTACCAATATTTCACGATCAACATTTCACTATGAATATTTCACGATCAACATTTCACTATGAATATTACATTATCAATATTTCACTATCAATATTACACTACCAATATTTCACTATCAATATTACACTACCAATATTTCACTATCAATATTTCACTACCAATATTTCACGATCAACATTTCACTATGAATATTACATTATCAATATTTCACTATGAATATTACATTATCAATATTTCACTATCAATATTACACTACCAATATTTCACTATCAATATTACACTATCAATATTTCACTATCAATATTACACTACCAATATTTCACTATCAATATTACACTACCAATATTTCACTATCAATATTTCACTACCAATATTTCACGATCAACATTTCACTATGAATATTACATTATCAATAATTCACTATCAATATTACACTATCAATATTTCACTATCAATATTACACTACCAATATTTCACTATCAATATTACACTATCAATATTTCACTATCAATATTACACTACCAATATTACACCACCAACATTTCACTATCAATATGACACTACCAATATTTCACTATCAATATTACACTACCAATATTTCACTATCAATATTACACTACCAATATTTCACTATCAATATTTCACTACCAATATTTCACGATCAACATTTCACTATGAATATTTCACGATCAACATTTCACTATGAATATTACATTATCAATATTTCACTATCAATATTACACTATCAATATTACACTATCAATATAACACTACCAATTTCACTATCAATATTTCATTATCAATATTTTATTATCAGTATCCTCCTATCGAACTATTCCTATTTCCTTTAACGCGGCTTCTAACAGTCAAACATTTAGAGAATTGTGCAAAATTCTTAAAACATATCTTGAGCTTTGTCTAACTTTGTAAATCGCAATATAGCATTAATCAACGGGCGGTGTAGAAAGCTAAAAATTATATCGCTTGCTCTTTTATACTGATCTTGAGATATGTTATACTGAGCTGATTATGACCTCAATTTACCGAAATAACTATTGATAAAAAAGTATAAAGATAATTCAAGAAATAAATCATTCGTGTTCAAATATCTTAGATGGCACGGAATGGCGGAAACAAAGCATACTAAGGTGCTTTTGGTCGGATAATGGCCTAAAGTAAACAGAAAATTTTCATTCCTGCAATCTTGAAGAACACTATCAAATGTTTACAAATGACATATCGGGGTTTTTAGCTGGAGTCGCTTTGTTTATGAAAGAAAGCAAGTTAGGTCACTTTCAGAGGACTTTTCAGAGGACCTTACTTGTTGGCCTACAGATCTCACTCAAAGGGCGCATCTTTTGCCCGTGGTCCTGGCGCTCGTTATGAGATGCCAGTTAATGGCTGATACCTTAGGATAAACTAGTTTTGATCCCAATTTTGAATATTTAAGATGAATCAAGGTCATACCAACATATTAAACATCACTGGAAGTATTAAAATCAAGCAAATATTTAGTTTTATTTGTTTGTGTAGGAAATTTTTCCCTTTTCTAACACGTAAAGTTTTAATAGAGAGTGCGGGAAAATAACCGACCCGAGCGAGGCTCGAACTCACGACCCCTGACTTTGTACGTCAAGTGCTCTACCGCTGAGCTATCGGGTCGTGATTTCAAGCCAACACCCAAGGCCGAGTCATTCACCCGCACTGCCCCTCTCTTTTACCAGATACACAGGGGAGCCATCGCAGCTCCATCTCAAAGTGCAGAGGACCTGAAGAATGAGAGAAGACTGCCCACACCAGGAGGGCCATCGCAGCCCCAACACTGGATAGGGTTGAAGAGAAAGTTTACAGACAACAGGATTTCGAAGATAATTAATTAATAGAGAGTGCGGGAAAATAACCGACCCGAGCGAGGCTCGAACTCACGACCCCTGACTTTGTACGTCAAGTGCTCTACCGCTGAGCTATCGGGTCGTGATTTCAAGCCAACACCCAAGGCCGAGTCATTCACCCGCACTGCCCCTCTCTTTTACCAGATACACAGGGGAGCCATCGCAGCTCCATCTCAAAGTGCAGAGGACCTGAAGAATGAGAGAAGACTGCCCACACCAGGAGGGCCATCGCAGCCCCAACACTGGATAGGGTTGAAGAGAAAGTTTACAGACAACAGGATTTCGAAAATAATTAATAGAGAGAGCGGGAAAATAACCGACCCGAGCGAGGCTCGAACTCACCACCCCTGACTTTGTACGTCAAGTGCTCTACCGCTGAGCTACCGGGTCGTGCTTTCAAGCCAACACCCAAGGCCGAGTCATTCACCCGCACTGCCCCTCTCTTTGGGAGCCATCGCCAGCTCCTATCTCAAAGTGCAGAGACCTGAAGAATAGAAAGGAACTGCCCACCCAGGAGGGCCATCGCAGCCCAAACACTGGATAAGGGTTGAAGAGTTTACAGACAACAGGATTTCGAAGATAATTAATTAATAGAGAGTGCGGGAAAATAACCGACCCGAGCGAGGCTCGAACTCACGACCCCTGACTTTGTACGTCAAGTGCTCTACCGCTGAGCTCGAGCTCAGAGGAAAATAACCGACCCGAGCGAGTTCGAGCCTCGCTCGGGTCGGTTATTTTCCCGCACTCTCTATTAATTAATTATCTTCGAAATCCTGTTGTCTGTAAACTTTCTCTTCAACCCTATCCAGTGTTGGGGCTGCGATGGCCCTCCTGGTGTGGGCAGTCTTCTCTCATTCTTCAGGTCCTCTGCACTTTGAGATGGAGCTGCGATGGCTCCCCTGTGTATCTGGTAAAAGAGAGGGGCAGTGCGGGTGAATGACTCGGCCTTGGGTGTTGGCTTGAAATCACGACCCGATAGCTCAGCGGTAGAGCACTTGACGTACAAAGTCAGGGGTCGTGAGTTCGAGCCTCGCTCGGGTCGGTTATTTTCCCGCACTCTCTATTAATTAATTATCTTCGAAATCCTGTTGTCTGTAAACTTTCTCTTCAACCCTATCCAGTGTTGGGGCTGCGATGGCCCTCCTGGTGTGGGCAGTCTTCTCTCATTCTTCAGGTCCTCTGCACTTTGAGATGGAGCTGCGATGGCTTCCCTGTGTATCTGGTAAAAGAGAGGGGCAGTGCGGGTGAATGACTCGGCCTTGGGTGTTGGCTTGAAATCACGACCCGATAGCTCAGCGGTAGAGCACTTGACGTACAAAGTCAGGGGTCGTGAGTTCGAGCCTCGCTCGGGTCGGTTATTTTCCCGCACTCTCTATTAATTAATTATCTTCGAAATCCTGTTGTCTGTAAACTTTTCTTCTTCAAGCCCTATCCAGTGTTGGGGCTGCGTGGCCTCCTGGTGTGGGCGTCTTCTCTCATTCCTTTCAGTCCTCTGCACTTTGAGATGGAGCTGCGATGGCTCCCCTGTGTATCTGGTAAAAGAGAGGGGCAGTGCGGGTGAATGACTCGGCCTTGGGTGTTGGCTTGAAATCACGACCCGATAGCTCAGCGGTAGAGCACTTGACGTACAAAGTCAGGGGTCGTGAGTTCGAGCCTCGCTCGGGTCGGTTATTTTCCCGCACTCTCTATTAATTAATTATCTTCGAAATCCTGTTGTCTGTAAACGTAAAGTTTTATTTTACATAAGGCATATTATATCAAATACACAAAGGTCTTACTTAACAACTTTTCGTTTACTTTTTTATAGAAGTTCTGCCATTATTCTAAACATGATTCGGCTGGAATAGTATTTTCTTGACCCGATTGCCAAATTTGTAAAAAGATTTGGCAAAAAAATCTAATTTTGTATACATAATGTGGATAAAACAGGAAATTTAAGGATCAATAAGACATTCGGAGATTAAATTAGTCAAATGTGTTATTTGAATAGGAAGCTTCTGCATGGGCATTTTCTTCAAACTATAATTATATAAAACGCAATCAACCTAGATACTTACAAACGATTAAAGATAGCAAAATGAAGTCTAGCTGAATTAACAAAAAAGTATTTAAGAAAAACAGAGATAAAATATTTTGTAAAACATAGTAGTACCTGATAACTTCTAGAATTCCGTCACTGATGACGTACATTTCCCTAGCGACTTCTCCCTTGCGGCAGACGTAATCCCCAGGGGTGAAAATGATCATTTTCATTTTTAAAACCAAATCATGAAGAAATTCTGGCTGACATTTCTGCAAGAAGCTTACCTGAAAAAAATGCAGTGAAAACTTCAGTGGATCTTTTTCTTGGAATCTTATTAACTTATGGTCCAAAACAATATAGCAAGGAAAATGTTTATGCTTTGTTTACATTTAGTGCTAAATCTTTGTACCAGTTTTAAAGTTTTACCACACGCTGCAGATTTCAATCAACCTGGTGGTTTAGACTTGGTGGAGAATATCATTGCTTTGAAATTCTGTTTAAAATATAAGCCCAAAGCTCTTAGATTAGCATAAGAAAATCCAAAGAATTTTTTGATTTATTAAAACAGTCCTGTTAGATATGTCATTTTTCTCAATCTTTACAGTACGCCACAAAATTAAATGTACTACATTTGAAATGATACCACACAAAAAGGCTAAAACATTAACAGAACGTATTAACAAACCAAAAATTATGGTTAACGTACTTATTTGTAACAATACAAAGCAAAATGACAACCAAATTGGCAGTATTTCTCAAGAAAATGATATATCTATAAAATACTACTATTTAAAATTTTACCGACATAAAACATAACGAGATACCCAAAAGAAAATTGCAGCATGAAATATTTGGACAAATTGGTGTTCATAGCTCAGTCTGAACTATGAAAGGTAATAAAATCAAAACGATGAAAGACAAGGTAATAAGAATGACTGATATTCCTTCATTTATGAACAAAGCATACTTCAGTCTCACTGCTACAGAGAGCGTAAGAATTTATCTATTTCACCACCGTAATTACTCGTATCTTTATTAGAACATACGGTGCATTGTAAATAAATTAAGAGATAATTTGTCGACTGACTGGCCTATTTCTATGAATCATGAGATGACATATGGAAACAACAAACTTTTAACATTTTATTTCTTTTGCTACATCAATTACAATCAGCTCCCGATGATTCAGCTGTTTAAGAATTATGATAAATTAGGATAAATTATGAAAGGAAACGATTTTTTTTATTAAGAAAAGTTCCCAGAGAAAATTCGTGTTTTGATTTTACTTCATTTGAGTGGATCTTCTAAATCATTGTATTATACGTGAATACAAACATACTAAGGTAAAAAATCCTTACCCTTCGTAGTGTATCGAGATGAACATGCAATGCCAGCTCCGTTTTCATTTTATTTGGTAAAAGCAACATATCGTTGATATCCATTCCTCCTTGAAAACGACCTCTAGAATCAAAATTTTCCATTGTGATTTAAATTGCTAAATTAACTTTAGATAGGGCTACAAAAACACTTTTTACATGGAAGTTCAACAGAGCTATAACCAACAACCGTTTAAAAAGTTATTTCTCCTGAAAAATTTTTGTCCTGTAAAGTAATTTGTTTTTTGCCAGACACAAAGCAATAAAATCAACTTAAAAGAAAACGTGGAAGATTTTCAAAGAAACTTTTGTAAAAAATATGTACTTGAGAGATTTAATGTGCAACAAATAAAACTTTTTTAAGATCTAAAACAAGCTTGAAATGAAACCAAAAAACAAGACCTTACAGTCTAAAAACTTGATAAGTTCTAAAAATTTTTGGCAAGCAGACAAATAGATGCAAAATATTGAAATAAAAACACAATAAATTGGGCAATAAATTTTCATTCTTGTGTTTTTACTCCAATCCTTTGAACGGGAAATTTCGGATTTTCTAGAAATTATGGAATCTTATATTTACATAGAAGATTTTGTAAAAACGTTGAGTAAGGTAACAAAAAGTAATGAATTTATGCAAAAAAATGAGCTTTTGCTCACCTCGAATAGCTATAGTCATACCAAAGTCTGACTCTTCGCTGCATGTCTTGTGGCACATTGTGCCGCTTCATATAATTCATCGATGCGTCCTAATTTGAGAATATCGTACAATACCTGTTAGCTCAAGTGCAGTGAGGAAATGCTCATTGTAGATTTTCAATTTAAAAATGTTTGCAGTTAATTTTATTAATCATCTGTCGTTTATTTGTAAATTTGGTACGATAGAACATTTTATGTTAAAAGAGGACGAACAACTTTGATGATAAAAATGGCCGAAAACTCAATTTATGTTGTTTTTAATCATTTGCTTAGAAAGATAATTCCAGCAATATATTTTAGCACTTAAATTCATAGCAAAGTTATACACAGTTGCTGGTCATTTTGCTATTTTGCCAAAATAACAAAATCTAGATCTGTATACGCGATACGTTGAGACTCAATTGAATTACCATAAGTCGCAATGTGCCGGGTACTTCTTGTCGAAATTCAATGAAAACGTACTTTACACAAAATGTAGATAAATAACTGACAAATACAATTTGCAGACATTATCAATTATCCCACAGATGGTAAAAAGAAGGCAGTAAATTTGGTATTATCATGAATTCGCTTTGCATTTAGGTTGGACGCAACAAAAGATGAAACGAAGGATTTCTTCAACAGCGTGAAAGAAGCATGGTCAGGTGCCCAAACCACGTGCTTCTAATCGCAAAAAACAAGATACCAGGAATAAAGCTTTGTTGGATATTTCTTCACATATTTTGATTCTTAGCAATAAAAGAACGATTAATCCATTAAAGACAGAGCAGCTGGATTGCCTATTAACTGGAAAAAACAAAATGTTCCCTGACTTTGGCAGTAAACTTACATTAAAACCCTGAAATCTATGCCAGAAAGCGTAAAAAATCGACAGCTAGTCACTTGTCCATATGTCCTGGAGTGAAGCCGACCTCATTTGGTTCACACACAAAAAGCTTAATTGAGATATATCATCTCACAGCTGAGAAATTTCAATGAAATTAAAATACATAAAATGTGACCAGGAATTGCTTCTTCATGTTTTTCACTGAAAAAAGAAATTTTAAAACAGAAATGTCGTTCCATGATTTTATGATCGTCGAAGATGTCTTTAATGGCAATATGTCCGATCAGGCAACCGTTAACATTGTCAATAGGCTCTGTTGCGCTTTTCTGAGTAAATAATCGCTAAGAATGACTCTCGCTAAGAATTATTGTATAATCCAGCTATTGGAACGTAGGTGCAGTAGCGGAGCCGTGGGGGGGAGGGGGAGGGGGTAGGTTAGTTATCCCGCTTTTTCAGAAGTTGGTCCTTGAGATTCTTGCAAACCTGATATGAAAACTTCGGGGGGAGGGGGGTATGTACGTTATCTAGATCTTCACATTTAAGTGACATTTCTTGGGAGACAAGAGGTTGGTCCTTGAGATTCTTGCAAATCTGATATGAAAACTGGACGTTATCTAGATCTTCACATTTAAATGACATTTCTTGGGAGACAAAAGGTGTTTCCTCCGGAAGAAAATGCTTCAAACAGGGAAAACGGGTGTGGTCCCTGACAAACCTTTTGTCCCCCCACTTATCCCAGGCTGAAGCCGCCACTGCGTAGGTGACAACCGTAATTCGTCAGGACAAAGTATCTATAAAGGCTGATCTCACTTCAGTGAACAATAAGATTAAGAAAATTGTTAAATGGAACCGCCTAACCCGGTTGTCAAGGCTGGCCCGGTCATCCGGGCTGCGCCTTCCTAACGATTATATGGACAACAGCAGCCCGGTCTGAAAATTGACGGAAAAATTTTGGCTGGTAAATTGATTTCAAACATGGCTGCAATGCTCGCCAAGAAACGGTTTTCAGCTATTTGGTCTTGAGTTAAAAGTTTCGCTGTTTCACATTGCCTTTTCTTTCACTTTAGGTTTGATATATGTTTTTACGCCTGATAGCACATGCGTTGCTTAAATTCGCAGCCCGATTTGCCGGGCTGGCCCGGTTTGAATCGATCACACGGGCAAAAACATTGCAAAAACTGCTTTGCCGGGCAAGACCCGTAGGCAGAAGACGGAATACCGTCAAAAGCCGGGTAGTCCATTCTCTATGTAAGCGATAGTTGGCTAAACACAAAGCATGCTATTGATACCGGGGTCCCACCAAAATTGCTCCTTCTTGGTAATCCGGGCCAGCCCGCTACATGTAATCAGCCCCTAAAGAGATAGTCGGCTGTAATAGTGGTTCTGCTGCATCCAGAAGAAATGATTGTTTACATACCCGCTGTTTTTCGAAATCAATTCGAGAAGCACTCATATTTTGGATGACGTTGCCAGCCTGGCCTACAAGCAATGTTTATAATCAGCCAAAAGAAGATAATAAAAAGACCAAAAGCTATGCATTGCTAGCTACACCTGATATAACATCGAGTTTTGCAAATTCAGTCTCAAAAATATGTTGTAGAGAATACAAAGAGCTGATTAAAGCCAATTATTTACAATATATATATAAATCTATTATTCAACGGGTCGAAATATACAAGAAAAGTTGTTTTCATAATTTACAGTTGCACTCGACGAAAATTACAGTTGTTATATTCTGTTTGAAAATATAAAGTGATTGGACTCTTTAACTTCTGTAGGTAACCTTTGTCATAATTTTCCCCAACAAATCTAATGGTGTCTGTTGTTGTTATTCCACTAAGTAAAATAGTCTAACTGTACGGATTCAGGTAATTGACAGTTTGATCAAGAGCAGCTGTAAATTTCTCTAGTGAACACAGACTAATTTGATTTAGAACACTATTGATCAAAGTCGGGGCTCCTAATTTATGATACTCGAATCGAAAGGCACGTTTGCAGATTTGGGAATAAAAAATAACAAAATGTAATGTACCAAAGTGGGGCATAATAAATTCGTGTAAACTGGCACTTTGTGCAAGCTTTTCCTTTTAAAATACAGCAATTTATAGCTATCAAATATTGTAAACAATTAGCCTTCTCATACCTCCGGACTATGTATAAAACTTAACTCTAGGGCATTTCTCGTATCATTCTTGTGTTACTGCACACCACCTACAGTTGGAGAAGCCCTTTAAACTTAAAGAACTATTCCTAGAACATTTCCATCGTTGCTCTGTAATACATGAAGTACTTACCTACAATGCTTGCGAATATGAATATACCGACACAGTAGCAGACAATCATAAAGGCACACCTAGAATACAAAAAGGCAAAAATATATCATTACAGAAGTCGACGAAGAGTTCCTGAATGAAGAAAATAATAGGGGCCGTCTATTACCTCTTTTCTATACCTACAATAACGTTACTACATCCAGCTGTTTCTGTTGTTTCTACGACGACTCTACCATGGGAAAATGCTGCGGAGAGAGGCATATGGGGCGGATTCACTGGATTACAACTGCTGGTCTATAAAAAAGACTGGTTCGAGCTTTGTTGTGACACATCGCCATCTGAGAACAGGGCCCCAGAGCAGTCATTCCGAGGAGAGGGCATTTACTTCCACTCCTAGCAACGTTTTCATCTGCTTTGTCTTTTTCCTTTCTCGAAACAGAACATTACGGCACATGCCTATCAATATAATTCAAGCATTGGTTTTGAAAAATGTCCCCCCGACTCTGATTGGGGACCATTTTCTTTTGCAATGGTGCTGGCTTCAAACTTTGATGTTTCAAGACAATAGGAAGGTCGATCCAGTATTTTTATAGATCAGTGAGCGCCACCAGCCGAGGCTCAATTTTGAGCCCAGCCGAGCCTCGGTTACAGAAAATTTTGCTAATGGCTTTGTTTATGACAAACTTACACAAAGTTTTATTTTGCCAAATATGGAAAAAATAATTTCTTAAATTAGTTGCGAAGATTTTTGTTTACCTCGATGCCGTATAGAAAGAGTTTCATACGCTTTGGTATATAGAACAAGCCGGTTATTAGTTGGAAATCCGAGTTTCACGCTTGATGCGATCATCATGCAATTGTAATAGGAAAGATTACATCCTACGCAGGTTAAAAACATAGACGAAACTGTAATCTTTTCACAGTAAAGCCTCTTAGTTTTGATGTTACTTTTGGCATTAGATGTCAGTTATTGTGGGTGTTTAGTCAAAAGATATTGCTTGATTGTATGTCAGTCGAGTTTAGCAGCTGGAACGATAGACAACGATCTCTCAGCATTTAATATATTCTTGCCAGATCGTGCGATTCCATTCTCATTCATTGAAGGGAAGCCTCTTTCAATGAACGCACAAGGGGAATGAAAAAACCGATGCAAATATCTAATGATCTCTTCAAGATTATGAGTAATAGCAAAAAACAAAAAAGATCTAAAAATGCTGTATTTTAAGATATCAAGAAAGATTATGATATATATAGCGCGGAAATGTGAGATAATGGTTGAGCCTAGGCACAATGCGATTCAGTTTGTTGCTGCTAAACACGCAGTCTTCTTGAGCCTCCTTCTAAAATTCGAACTGTAAAAGACAACGTAGACAATCGAGGCTGGATGTTATTTTCCTGGTAGCTATTACCCAGAAGGAGCACCGGTCTTTGATTCAATATGAATTATCCGAGTACGCTGAAAAGAATTTTCACAGAAATTTTTTAGTGGTTTCTCGATTTCCCAATGCATTTTCCCCTCCGGTCAAAAAATGAGTGAACACAAAGTTGAAAGATTAGAAGCACAATATATTTAACAATTGAAGGATTTTAATGGCAAGATACTTAGTCTAAATTTGATAAAGGCTTAGTAGGCTGAAACTGATTAGGTGTGCTCTCATTAATGGATGAGCATAACTATTAACTGATACTAAAATAATTTCAAGCCAAAAGTACAAACAACCAAGCTGGAAAGAGAAGGACACACATGCTCCTTAACACTTGAACGCAGGGAGATGGCCAATTTCAATCACACTAGTACGTTAAATTATTAAAATTGAAAAAAAGCTTTCAACATAAAGGATGAAAAAAAGTTTTTCATATTATCTGCGAACAATCACTTTATCATTCAGCAGCAGGCGTAAGACTTTGAAGGCTTTTGCTGTTTCACACAGTTTTTAACATGGTGCTGAATATGGTAGCACTTAACGAACTTGAAAATACAGTATACTAAGTGCACTGTCAATTTAAATTTTCCATTTAGATATCAGTAGCGCAGCACAATAATAAAAAAATAGAGAAAATGGTATATCAAATGATAAATGATAGGCCAAAACTTTATATATCAGGGGACATCCACTGTTCCATTAATTAGTGCTCACTCTATTCCCATTCACTCGTTAATTGCCCGACACCCATCTCAAAAACAAAGAAACCAGTTCAGGATTCTATCAGACTTTAAGACCCCGCTTACACGAGACCTGGACCAGATCGGATCCACAAGTATCCGGATACTATTGGATCCGATCCCGAAATGGAAATGCGTTTACACGGGATCCAATCCAGAACCATTTGCGCTTACACGGGAACGGATCCAGATGAATTCAACAGGTTACGCGCATGCGCTTTTCGAAAATTGGCGCGCATATGATGTTTTCAGAACATCGTGCGTGATCAAAACACAGTTAATCTGAACATGGAGGGAGGTAACGTTAAAAAGGGTCAATTTCAATGGACTGAAGAAGAAACTGCACTACTTTTAAAAGTAGTATTGGACTACAAACTGCAAAGCTTGCAGATGGGCAGGATTGGGAAAATATGAGGACAGAGTACGACGACATATCATCAAAATTTCATAATAATTCTTCACCACAGATCCACCAGTTTCCGTGTAAACGCAAGGCCTATCCGTACTCTTTTTGATCCGATCCGGATCGGATCCACTCTCGTGTAAACGGGGTCTAAAAATACCTTCTTTTCACAAAACCAGATCATTATCATATAAAAGGGATGATAAAAAATTTACATCATTACTCACTCGATGGTAGTCTCCGGGTGTGCACTTCCTCCAATTGTTGTCAAAGACAACGTTGACCAATAGTAGCAGAGCGCGTACTGGTAGCTAAGAGATGCAGTTTTGGCGTTGAATTTTGGATAAACCCATCCGTTAACGCCAAAACCTTCGTACTTTGATATAAGAAAGTAAAAGCACGCATTCCAATGCATCATTATCAGCATCAGATGCAAGAATATGCACGTTCTTAGCACGTTTGGGAATGTTGTCAACGCGAGAATGGTTTTCTGGGAGACAAAAGTTTTGTAATATTTTAGCATCCGTGGCAGTCTGAGTGCTGGGTTTGTACCGACGGCGAAGTATATCAAATCCAATGGCAATACTGACGTGAAATCAAGAGCGAAATGGTATGACTTCAAATAAGCTTGTGCCATCCTTCTCAAGTCATCGACGTATATACCGTCCTCTAAAAACGAAGTTCGAGTGCATATGATTATGTCAAAGACGTAGATAAAGTCAGCTATGTAGTCCAAAGTAAACCAGACCGTCTGGAATTGCTGCTGCGCATCGGAGAACGCAATCCGCAGGAAGATCACCCATGCGTTGTAGCCAATTGCCAGATTTACAATATACAGCCAACAGTATAAAAAGGTACTGTACGGCTCTGTGAATGTCATAAGGATCTCCTTGCATTTAAACTCGACTTTTTCGTCTTCAGTGTCTTCATTCGCACATGAGTTATCTACAACAACAGTTTCCTTAGGTTTGATTTCAGTCAGCTCATGTTGCTCGCCCAAGGCGTTGTTATTCTTGAAATTTTCCCTATTACCAACTGGTTTGTTATGTGGGGTGTTAATGACAACCGAAACGCGCCTAGCAGCATTGCTAACTGAGCTTCTTTTAACACTCCGCACCGGATGGTACTCCCGAGTGCTGAATCTCTCTAGGAAATCTTTTTGACCAACCGGTTTTCGCACTTTCGGCCTCTTCTGGGTGTCCATAACTGCCTTCACAGCGACAAGAGTGCCAAGTCTTTTCTTGACATTATTCCAGCCTCGATCTTCGTTGCCAGACGAGTCTAGTGATTGCTTTCCAGCCTCTATGTCAACATCATCAGTTTCTTCCTTACCATTAACTGATGCTTTTTTCTGACTGGCTTGCGAAACTTTCTTAAAGTTCACAGTTTGATTTGCTATAACTTCTGCATCTACAGTTGAATGAGTCTCTAGAATTGTGTCATTTGACATGACTTTTTGGTTCAATGTGACCTTTCAGTACACTAGTATTGCCAAATATATTTCTAAAAGGCAAGTTGTTACTGGTCAGAAATTGAAAAAATAGGTTTAAAGACTGATAGCTTCGAAAGAAGACACATTAAGTAAAATAGAAGTAATGAATATAAAATACAGGGTTGAAGTAGCTCCTAATGAACATAGTGTGCTGTTTCGAGAAATATTGGATAAAATGGTCATTGGTGATACTGAAAAATTGCTATGCTAAAGCAATATTTTAAAATGACACAAAAAGGTCAAGGTCAAATGCATTATAAAGATATGGACATATTATCATTCTCAAAATGGGCCTAAACGTTTAAGACGTAAGATAATGAATTAATTTTTAACTTTTATAGACAACATTAAAGCTATAAAAATAGTAACAAGTTTAGAAACTGTCAAAGTGCAGATAGGTGCTTCATATATATTAACAAAAAATTTATGCTTGTGCAAACTTCCACACATGTCACAGCATTAAAGATATGATGAAAGTTCATTTCAAAAACCAAATATACTTTTTAATAAGAAAATTGATTTCAAGCACATTGCATTTTTTTCATAGATTTTTGACAAAGTTCATCTGCTCAAGGTATTTTTGACACTGCTAGTATTTGACTTTTTAACTTCACATTCAACTCAGTTTTTGACATTGATGAATACGAGTTATCAAGGACAACATTCCTTACTCTCCTCCCGACAACTTTATACTAACATGAAAGAAATAACGATGTTTTTAGACAAATGAATTTATTTTCCCATGTTGATCAAATTTGTTATTGATTGATTAAGAAGCAGAATAATTTTTTTTCTCTGCACTTTCGGAAAATGATACCCAAAAAGCGATGTTGCTATACCATGTTGTCTCGAAAATTCAGAATAGCCACTGATTATGAATTCAAAACTTAATGAATAATACAAATTTTTAAAAGCTGTTTTTGCTACGTTGTAGGCAACTAGCCTAAAAATCAAATCGTTCCTTTGTTATTGTATCAAAAAAATTAATTGCGAAAGTAGTTTCCTGCATGCCTGATAACCAAAACGGTTATTCAAATGATTTATTCCATTCGAAATTCACTTGTAAAGATAAAGTTTGCGATGTTTCATCAACAAAGTACAATATGTAGAAAGCATTGCCTTTATATTTCAGCCAACTTTTGAGGACAACGCTTAGAGCAAAAGTAACAAATGTCTTTAAATTTCAAATGCATAGAAAAACTTCACATAAATCGATAAGTTCACATCTTAATTTTATACTGTATTAGAAGCATTTCAATTGCTGATTCAAAGACATTCTAACCTAGAATTGGTTGTACTTACCAACTAGTCATATAGTTGATCTGGAATACAGCATTTTTTCTGAAGTAACACAATATGAAGCTCGTAGAAGCTTAAGAAACTTACAAAAAACGTTTGAAACATTATAAGAAACATTTGCACGGAAATATTGCTGAACATGGGTATTAACATTTCACAGGTCCTTAATCCAATAGGGCTCCTTTAAACCACGATGATATTGGATGAATACAAAACTGGCTTTCTGCCAGTCATTCAACAGATAAGCCATGAACTACTCCAAGAAACAAATTGAATTGTGGTTTGTGTTTCATGTTACAGTTTATAACAAAAAATTTCATCACAGCACAAAGCTTTGGTGTTGTCATCAAAATGCAAGACAATAATTATAGTTTTCTGAAAAATGAATGTTGTAAAAAACGTCAGAATAATAATTTAAAATGTAAAATTGAGAATAAATATCCTTTTCTAGATCGAAATAGGCCAATGAAATGAAAAACCAAAGTATATTTTTAAAAAATGTGCTTTTTTCAAAGCAATTTTAAATTTTGTATCGTTTAAACAAAAATGCTCAACTAACTAGTCATACTGCATGAAAGACTCTTACAAGTACATGTAATTAGCTACTAAATAATTGTTGTTATTTTCGATTGAACGAAATGAATTAGAAAATAACAGAGCATAAAGGTAGAATGAAAATTCACCACTAGAGCACAGCTACTCAAAAATCCTTAGGGAATGGAAAGGAAGGGGGTTTTTATCCGCAAACAAGCTATCGACGTGTGAACCTAAAATCGCAGTACAGACATTTTATACAGACACAACTTCACGTGCAAGAACAACTTGAAATCATTATCACGCTTGCATAGGCAACTCTGTTGTAACTTCTTAATAACTCTATTCTCTTTCTTTTTCCTGGGACTAAATAAATTCAGTTCACAAATTTAAATTAATCTAAGGTATGTATATAAAAACTAGAAATATTTTGAAAATCATCCATCTTCTTTAATGATGCTCATTTAATGAGATGCATTTTCTTCTAACAATGGAACAAATTATGCTCGCTTTGTTTTTAAACTTTGATCACGTTCAATCTCTCTTGACTGAATATGATCACGTTAGTATACAGTAGACTTTGGTTATTGTCAAACAAGATGTTGCTTGAACATCTGTGGTTGTAAGCGGAGTCCAACTGTAAAGGCGACATTTCAAGTGATTGCAAACGGTATTGTTACTTTAAGTGGAGTCGACTATTTCAAGGAATTGTGCTGTATGGAGACATTATTACCCAGCATTAAAAACCCAATTTGAGACCTGAAAAAATACATTTCGGAGGCAAAAACGATCTTTTGCTTCTTTAAGGAAACTAAACCGATAAAATATAGTTTCATGCACGCTTAACTTCTCTTTCTAATCTTTGAATCTCATATCTCATTACAAGATTGGAAAGGCTGAAGTACGACTTCATTAATCGACACATTCGTGATGATCATGTAAAATTGAGAGTCGTCGTGTTATAGACAGATCACCTGGACAAAAACAATTCTGTTTATGGAATGAGGACAGCTAATGAAAAGCATGAATTTTAGGAATCAATTCTTTGCTTACAAAAATACGCACAGATGCAGTGTAGGTATAGACGATGAAAAATTTAGCATTATGTCATCGACTGTGAAAAATAATTGGAGTGGTATTGGCAAAACTCCTGTTTTTCGAATAAATGATTCATGGAATACGTCTTCAAAAACACCACAGAGTTCGAAAAGAGGGTTTCTTTCAATCTCACTGCACTGCATTAGTTGATATCATATATCTAATCCCTAATCCTTTGGCACAAATGTTGTTTGAGAAAATAACACGCATGCAGATTTGAGCAGTAATCCGAAAACTCAAGATGTACACGCCAAGAAAAATACGATCAATTTTTGCCGAACGATCAACTATTTTCTCACCAAACAAAGAAAGCTCTTGGCAAACAAGACCTCGCAATTTCGTTTCACATTCTATGATTTTATTTATTTCTGTTGATTCAAAGCAATACTCTTTATACTACCCTTATTTCTTTTCGAGCAAAGCCAGTAATCTTTAAAGGCAACATTGCTAATAGCTATTCTTACATGAGCCCAACCGTTTTCCTCCTCACAACGGATGACTGACAAGTATTGATTCCCTTTGATCGTAGCCTCGTTCTGGTATCCTGAGAGTTTCTCACAGTAAATAATCGCTCGCTCTTGGGTCTTGTTTTTAAACTGCATGCAGAGGAAAAGGCTCTTAATTAGGTTTTTATTGTAAATTTGATTTTAATGATGATTTTATCTGGTCATGTATGGCAATATGGGTGTCACATCAAAATAGATGGTTCAAGAAACAATGCCCTTTTGAATAAAAACCTTAGTTTTAGTTAGCTAAAAATTATGTTAAACACAGGATGGTTAATTGAAAGGTTGTCCCGAGGCTTCTATAATTGGTAGGTTCTTATTTGCAGGGAGTCCATGAGCAAAAGGAACGCCTTGTAGGGAAAAAACTGTTATAGGCCTACAGAATGAAGAGTTGGGGTGGTTAAATCCTTGCTAATCAGCGATTAGACTCAATAATGTTATGACAAGGTGCAATTTTGCTGCAGGATGGGGAGTCCATGGGGAGAAAGGGTATCTTAAAAAGTCTGCAAATCTGAAAAATCTTAAGTAATAAACAATGAGTTTTCAATGAAATGTGAAAATTCTGACAATCTAAACAGCTTTAAGCAAGATACATTCGATACATTCTATGTTTTGAAGCTGCAACATAAAAAACCTATACACGAAATTATGCAGCAACCTATCGTATAACCGGGAAGAGCCGACTGATTGAAAGATGCCAACCAATTGTAGGACACTCCAAGGAGAATTCACACCAAACGAAAAACGTTCCGATGATTATCTCCCTACAAAGGGCAATTCAAGCCCCACTGGTAAAAATTTTTTTAACAGGAGGAATAAAGTTTGGAATGAGGCAGCCCATTAGGCAATAATAAATTGGATCATTTTACCAGGAAATGCAAAAACAGGAAACTAATTGAAAGAGCCCTAGAATTGTTAAAAGGAAAATATGAAACAAACTAACTACACTCATTTTTTCTATTAGAAACTGGCTATAAGAAAGCACTACTGGACTATAAGAAACGAGAAATTTCAGTACTCAAAGCAAAAAATTAAGAAACTATTAAATCGTGATAAAACTGAGAACAACGAAATTTTTTAAAATCCTAGAACATGATTGCCCTGATGGCCTAGAAATTAAGACACAAGGGATAAAAATATACTTCCCGCGTCTAAATACAGCGTCAGAACGAAAGCGAATCTCTTGACGTGATAAAAAGATCACAGAAATTTCATAACATCATTCAGGACATCATAATTAAGAAACTCTGAAGAAATAGTGAGTTTTGAAATTTCCAGAACATTAAGAAATTTGAGAAATCAACATCGACTATTGTTTCTTATCAAAAATGAGTTTATGTAGGTTAGATATGTTGAGAAAACACATCATGGCTGCAAGGATAACTAAGTTTGCCACAAAATCAACAACATATACATTTTGAAATGCCGGACGAGAAAAAACTTCATCTTCTTTAACACGAAGAAGGAAATTAAAACCAGTGAAATGATAATCGTTAATCTACGACACAATCTTTCTTCCGTACTGACAACAGCGTGATAGGTTTCGGAAACTACTCTGTCTGGGTCAAATGACATCGTGAAGACTTGATAACACTAGCATTTTTAGTTGAATTTTCTATCTGATGTGATAATTGCGAAGAACCTAGCCAAATGACATTAGAATTTGCATCAAAATGCATAACAAAGCAGGGCTGTCAAGTTTTCGAAAATGAGATGAGGGACAAAGACGCATACACTTACAAATGATAAATGAAAAAGGCTAAATGTGGCAAATGTGACTTTGAATGAACGGCGTTTCTTCTTTTCAGCGGATGCCATTTTTGTTCAGAATCATTGAAACTCCTAGCTTGCGCGTGCGCATTGAGTTCGGAAGCCTATGATCTGCGGAACTCAAAATATATTCGAATACCTAGTTTGATGCGTTTCCTTGCACAGGTTCCTGTGAGGTGGCATAAACCATAAACCCTTGTCTGACTTTCTTTCAAAAGTAGATGAATAAAATAGAAAATGTGTTAGAAAAGAACCTCAAAACCACAAATTAAAAAATGCGGGACAACCAGCCTATTTTAGAGCAAGCGTGCGGGAATGCGGATTTGACAAGAAAATGTGTGCAAATCCCGCACGATGCGGGACACTTGACAGGTCTGTAACAATTACAAGATATATATAACTACATAATCATATGCAGACCTCCATGTTTCTTGATGTGAATAACTGTGCCACAATAAATGGATCCTTACCCTATCTGTATGAACACTGAAAATGCGCAAAGGCTTTGACAACACAGTCAACCATAATTGTCCTGTAAGATCTGGCAGCATTGTGAATCCCATGGAATATGTTTACCATGATATAAGATGTCATTTTTTATTTCGAAAAAATAACATCACTGTAGTTTATCACTCAACGGGTAGGTTCGAGTTTTAAATGCACGAATATAAAAGCTAATTTTCGCCAACAGCGCCGATTGGAAATGTTGAAAGCAACCTGACGGATGTAATTTTTGGTAGCATTCGCAAAATCAAAATTAAAATATTAAATGCTTTGTTCTTGTGTCAGGTGTAAATTTGCATTCTGATTTAAGTTTGATAATCAAATTCTTCTAATTTTCTTTGAAGAATTAGTGGCTGCAAGTGACGAGAATCATTTCATTGGTAATGAAATAAAACATTCCTGATTTAGTTGTTTGCAAAAACGTAAGACAAGATTTTGTTTGCATGCCAAGCATTAGAGAACAATAACACTCTGTCTCGCTTCAGCTTGAGAAAATCCTCTGATTGCCAAACATAAAGCAAATGAGATCAATTTAAGAATTTAACGTTCGATGGAAATTTAAATTGCTTCGCCATCATCTGGTTTCATGAGCATCACACATCTGCCATAGCTAATCTTAGAGACGAGATTCTTCAGTTTATATATTTATGAAATGTTAATCCTTTGCAGCAGTTTATGATTGCAGTTTTCAGACTAAATAGAAGATTGTCAGATTTTGTAACAGAGGGGTGGTCTTGGTCACATTCATATTTCACCCTCTACCAAAACGTTGATAGAAAATAGTACAGCGTGTATTCAAAAACGGTCTCTAACTGCAAAAATGCAAATTATTGTAGGATATACATGAAGCAAGTCTATTAATCAAAATTCGTTTTTATTTATAGAAATTTGTTTCTTATTCATAAAAATTCTTTTGCAATAAAACCTTTATTAACATTCATTCATTCCAGGTAGCTTCTACGTAATCCTTAGGTTGCTAACCATGGTCCTCCAACAAACCCTGTCACTACACCTACTTTTCAGGATACCATAGTTTTGCATGTTAACCCACTCTTTAATATCGTCCATCCAAGTCCTTCTTTGCCTACCGCTAGATCTTTTTCCTTCAATGTACCCCTCCACGATGTTACAAAAACTGCTCCACTTGATCCTCTTGCCACATGACCAAAGAGTGCATTTAATAACAGAAATATCTAAATAATAACAGTTCCTAAAAGCGAAAAAAGTCGTTCGAAATTTCTTTCCTAAGGCAAGCCTTGCAGAAGTTATCTCTAGACAACTGAAGCCCAGTTACAATGAACAGAAGATTTGATCGAGCAACAGTCAGCTCCATGGGAGCTTTCGAATACAAAATATCATTTTTAGAAACCCTCATAACATGGAAAACTATAAGATGATCTTTCGTCAGCAAAAATACAACAAAACATACACAATTATTGGTCAATATTGTAGGAAAGCCATCCTGTATGATAAACGGTAAGCATATACCCTTACTCGGAACATATTGTTGGAAACAAAACTCCGGTAACAATTCATTCTTTCCACGATAAATATTTAATCTTAGAACTTCGTGGAAGCTATCTATGGTAGTGAAGTCATCTTAGATCAAATAGGTGAGGAAAATTTGGTCAGTAGGTACCCTGCTTCGGAACCCTAACCGGATGTCTAAAACGATACATGCTCGAAGGAGATGACGAAACCACCAGGGCTCCAATCACTGATTGGCTGAATCAAAACAATCAAACAATACTGCGTTTCTATTGGCTAGTTTAGATCCGCTTATATCTTTATCACCATAAAACGTTGATACTTGAGACTGACTGCTTGAGAAAAGTAGCCTTGAAGGCATTGCAAGAGATCTTGCAAGTTTAACAATAACTAGTTTTCAATTATACAAGAACATTCTAGAGCATTTCTGAATATTTTGTCAGGACTATTGAGTTCCCCTTCAGCCAAACATTTTCGCCATGCTGCTCTCGCTCTAGCATGCAAACTTCTGAAAAAATCAATACCCAACAAGTAAAAGCAATAGAGAGCGAATGGCTTATGACCTAAAGACCATTGGAAACTGACTTTGAAATCTCATGGGTCACCTACAACTCATTCAGACACCCCAAAACAACCTCGCCTCTCACTATTTAACCTTTACCTTCGCTGCAACGCAGAACCTCGTTTGCAATGCTTTTCAGCCTCGATAATAGCTGAATTGGGCTTGTTTGTTTGAAAATAATCATGGTCCATGTTGATATTTGTTTATTTGCCTTGGTTGTTGTCAACTAACGAGATAATCTCGATGTGTACCTTTAGGGCCTAAGTGCTACATCACAAACGCAAAACTGCCCTCCGTTTTGCTTTAGTAAGGAGGGTTTAGCTTCTGAATGCAACACACGTTCGATTAAGACGAAATAAAACGAGATTTTATCTCACTTTGATGTAAATTTACCTTGCAACTCTAATCTAGCATTGCAAACATTGTAACTAGAGAAGGTATGTAGCGTTTGAAATAAAGGCAAGCATTTCTAAGCCTTTTTAAGACATCATTTGAAAATTTGGTTTATTTCCCATGGCACACCTGAAATGCCTCACGGGCCACTCATGTCCCTCAGGAGAGTGGTGAAATCACTGAGGCAGGCAAATAGAAGTGAAGCCCATTAAATGCCAGATTGGGAGATGGCTAGGAAATAAACACATGAAACTTCTAGTTAATAGGCGGGAAATTGGTATGATGAACGGCAAGATCGAGATTAAAATTAAGAACATTATTATCAAAACTAGGCAGCGCTGCATGCGTACATGCAATGAAATCAACTAAGTCAACCGGCTAAAATCTTGCGCATTTCACCGTATCAAAATATCTAAGGCAAGTTGCCGATTCACAACTGTATTCTATTGGATTATCTCAAACTAATGACATGCCTGACTTGCTGATAGGAGAAGATGAAGTTTATTGTCATTAAAGTATGGTATATATTTGATTCCTTGTGCTTACAAAGATATGGATGAAAAATCATTGTCAGTGCTCCTATTGCACCACTATCATATATATATATATATATATTTCGTCCCTCTACTATCAAGTGAAGCTAACGGTTTACCAGCAAACTAAATGAACATGTTGGGGTGTAACACCTTCATCAGAGACAACCACCAAATATAACCCTGTACCAAACCAGATAGGAATTCCAATAATGCCAAGCCACCTTTAAGCACAACACATACTATAAAAGCACCCTTTTGGTAAATTTATAATCCCCTATACAAATCACAGCACCCCTGCCCCGCACCCGATCCCCTCTCAGAAAAATATTAATTGAATAGCTCACTATGATGTACATCGGACAGGAGTGTAATTCTTACATGATACCCTAAGTTGTCCTTCGGGGGAAATGAAAACATTTGAGAGTTTTGGAAATTCCAGGGAAAATTGCAAAGAATTACTTGGAGATACTAGCGCTTGGTATGAAAGTTCCTCAGGCAGTGAGTTTTTATTACCTGGTTCAAGATATGCATACATATTGTGTGTGTATATATTATAAAAATAAATCGGTCGATGAAAGACGGGTTTTTATGGTAAGCAATGTTTCTTGCATTACAAAACTAAGCCAACCTGAAGAGCTCACTACAAAATCTAATCAACTCATCAGATCGAAGGTTAAGTTTTACCTCAAGTATTATGCTTACCTTCTGTGTTCAAGACAGCTTTGCAATATATTGCGGTCAATCTCCTAATTTGTTTTTACGCTCTAGATACCTGTTCAGCTAGCAAGAACGGCGAAAAGCATCAAAGCAAGAGAGTTTTACAAAAAGAACAAAGCTCACTCTGCTCCCTATTGTTGCTTCCATGCGCGCAAAGCCAGTGTTAGAGAAGGTGTTTGCACTTTAAACATCTAAACACACTGTTAAGGCTTAAACAAATTTACAGTTCACTTAATCGTGTTTGTAGATTCTCTCATTCGTTTCATACATACTTCACTGATGATTCATCGATCATTTGGAGATTGCCGTTTTGTTTTACATATCAAAGTCTCCTGAGCTATTGCAAAACCATTTTAGATAGCCTGACATGTGATTTTAAAGACAACAAAGTATAGGTACCATATATCTTAAACAAAATGAACCGGACTCGGGCATGTAATCCAGGTCGGAATCATTTACGTTAATATCTATTTTACCGACGATTCATATTTCGAGAGTTATCATAAAAATGACCCTTAACATGTATGAACCCTTCTCTATTAGAATAGGCGAAAAGGAACGTTTTCTCGACCCGGGATAAGTTGAGGAATTCACACTGATCACAAAAAGAGCACTGGGATTGAAAATCAAGAGATTTGGAACTTGCCAGCACAGACAATTGCAACAACTAATGAATCTCTCGGATCTCAATGAGACTGAACCCGGAAGGATACATAAACCGGAGTCAGACCTCAACTCGGGTGATACAAAACTACAGGTTTTTCTTTAGTTTCTGTTGAAATAGGCGCACTTTCCCATTGCTGTCAGTCTACAAACGAACAATGACCGGCAATGGAAGAATGGTCATTTTGCTTTCGACCTTGGGATTTTTAGTAGCTACTTTGCCCTATAACGGTGCTTCGGTAAAGAGGGACTTCCCCAGTCGTTCCTCGTGATTATGGAAGATTTGCTTCAAACCCAGGATTCAGGAAATTTCTGGTCGCTGATCATGAAAATGTGATAGACCAAAAACAATGGAGATTCCAATAGCTTTGGACAAAGAAATATAGAATCATAATAAATTGTCTATTGCCAAAGACAGAATAATTTATGCAGAATCAAACAAAGTTGTTGAGTTTGAATAGGATAGACATATGACGGTAAATTGATAGAAAGATTAGCAAGGTTAGAAGAAGATTCAATCGGGATTAGCTCATCCGGCGATCAAACTTTCCCAGCAATGCCTACTGTTGAAGGTATTCACGTACAAACACAGTTTTACCAACGCAGAGGTAATAATATAAATAACAAACCAACCTAATACAGAAGTGTTTTTCTATATGTTTATTATAATTTTCTAGAAGTTTCTAGAAAAGTATCAATCCAGAATGCTTGAGAAAAGCAGAAGTAATTATCAATAAAAATTAAAATCGAACTATGAGTAGCGGTACGAATAATGATCTGAATGAATAGAATGATCTGAAATAGTAAACTAGAATGTTCCACAATATTTTGACACTCTGGCAAGAGTGCATATTTCCAACACCTACATCATGGAAAGGTGGCATTGATTAAAGCATGCCACCTTCCATGATGTAGGTCAATGCCGCAAATATTTATTTCTAGCATTTATGGAGTTTGATTACATAACATGACAAGGCATAATCATGATATACCTATACCTGTGCGAAATCAGCTAAATGTGTTGGAAATTGGCTGAGATATGTAGTCACTGTAATTTGGTCACATAAATTTATCCGTAGGACATGACAAATTCACAGCGCACCAAAAAAGGGTAAATTTTCTACGCCTGTAACGAACAAAACAAGTCATCCCAAATGGAGCTCAACTTTAAGGCTTGGACACGTGGAGTGAGTAATGTAGTCTTAAGCGTTGCTTAAAAATCTGCTTAGAAGCATTAAGTACAAAACTTGTGAGATTACACGGAGAAGAAGGGCCGTTTTGAAACCTAAGAGAAACAAAAGAGCCCGAGTGCGTTGATATGATGTTGTTTTTTAGTGAAGTTGCTCGAAAGAGCGTTTGAGGCCGGAAAAAGGAAAGCGTGCTAAAAATACAAACAGTTTTCCTTAGGCGATTATCTATTTCTTCCTTCCAACCTTCAAAATCCACCTTAATTGCACTGCAGTGAGTCTTAAAATTGATTTAATCCGGATCTGATTCAGAAAATCATTAAAATTAGAAGATTCAGGCAGAAGGTGTTTCACAGGCTTTAGGGTTAGCCTCCGCTCTAGGTTATATGCAGGTTGAAAGTTGCTTTGGCGCATTTTCATTGGTCAACTACAAGCGAAAAAAGAACGTTACCTTAATCAGAGAAAAAGGACTTACGCTTGCTCTTATCGCAGCAGTCAATTTTTGAACCTGCAATGGCTATTATCTTTCCACGAAAGGTCATTTTAAAAGAAATGGATCCTTGAGCCACGCCTAAAATGAGACGCCACCTGTGGGATGGTCAGATTTCTATCATAATTTATCTTAGTACCTCGAAAAGTTGTTTGATGAGCTTGACCATTCAACACATACATCTTGGAGAATTCTGAATAATGCATAACTTTAGACTCTACGCTTGTTTTGTATGAAACATTTTGAAGCATTGTTGATTTTACACTTTAGTCTGCTAAAGAATACTTTCAAAAATCACAAATGCGTGGGCCAATGTTGAATGAACATATGAAGCGATATCATTGAAGTGAAAAGCAAAATTTCAGAGTCAATGTTCAAAGACCTTAAATTTGCAGATTAAATGTCTTATAGCGGTCCAACATATTAACAAGATTTCACTCGATCAAATGAAAACGTTTCGTTGAGTTTTAATCTTGACCCGCAAATCCTCAGAGAAAAAACACAGATTAAGTGAAAGGCCAATTTTTTGTTTTTCGCCAAAATCCTTAAAAGTACTCATGGCTAAGCGATAAACCTCACAAAATGCGGCTTGATTGGATTACACAAGAGGCCATGCGATCAAACAGAATAGGACAATTATCTTCCTTGGTTTTCTTCACCAAGAACATTCGGGGATTATGCATGGGGTTTCAGGGCAAAGTCGCTTGTTAATGTTGTCTATATTGCGTTGCTTTGATTGCACTAGAAATTTCCGTGGATATGCCCTCATTTATTGCAACTAATTGGTACACCACATCTATCGAGTTACCAAGCAAACAACAGCCTTGTCGAGTGCTATAACGACAAAAAATAAGATCTTTGGCTACGTGCCCGAACTCATAATTGCAAAAAGTTTAAACACAACATTATAAACTCGCAGACTTTCAACATCAAAGGAAAATTAAGCTTTGTCGCCTTTAGAGACAAAGAAAATATTTTTTGCTTCATTTTCAAAAGAAGTGGCTCTAGACATGATCCATGAGAAACCCATATGTGTTTCAGTGACGCTGGTATCAAAGTCGACATTATCTTTAAAGTAAGCTAAAGTAGCATGAAACACAAGCATACAGCACGAACTTTTGCTATGTTTTGCAACAAACATGACTTAGACGATGCTTTTTTTATTGCTAGTTAAAAACACATTAAACCGTCTAAGAACTCCGCAGAAGAAATCATGCAGAGGATCAAGTCAACATATTAGGAAAGCCCTTCCTTTGCTATGAAACTAAATGAACAACATCTTCACATAACAATCTTCAAAGTTGATTCCTAGCCATACCCCCTTAAGCCCAAATCTCGCTAAGCGTCGCTGTCGATCTCAGGCAATAGTTCGAATGAATTCGAAAATTAATTCATAAATTCTTCAAATATTCTTACTGTTGGACAGCAAATTTACTTCAATCTCGGTTTGACATCGAACTAGGTTCTTGAAATTAAACTCCTTTAAAACATTATTTCCCGAACTAAAAGAAGATCGCGTCAACACAAACCGTCACAATGTTTCTTGTCGTGGAGATAACTGTAATAGATTCCGCAAGCCTATCCGCAAACTTTCTGTATTTCATCTATATTTTTATCTGTCATCACTCAAATACGAAATGGGTTAAAATGCAACAAAATTGCAATTCAAGTGTAAAGATTTTTAGACAAACTGTGTCTGGTCACTTTTCATTTCGCTACATTTCGGCGTCAGAACACTGTTTGTAATAATTTCAAAATTCTACTGACCTAATAAGTTGTTTGAACTTGACAAATACTAGCACATGTTTCCCACTAAGATCAACTCCCTATTTGCTCTTTAATTTCTAGTTTTAATTTTATGAAATTGTTACCTGCAACGCGTTTTAACTAAACAAATTTCTGGTTTTCTGTCGTCCTAATGTTATTTGTTGAGCCCCAGGCCTTCTTCCAGCCAACAAACCTAGCGTGAAACCAGGCCAATTAATGAGAGTTACTGTTAACCGGACCGCTGTACGCTGTTGATGTAAACTGTGTACGGTTTCCGGTTACTGTTGACCAGCCTTCTATACACTAATAAACCTACAGTTTGTGGTTACTGTTAACCAGAATATCGCAGAGTTCTCACTTTCGTATAGACAGGAAACCTAGGGTGAAACCAGGCCAATTAATGAGAGTTACTGTTAACCGGCCCGCTGTACGCTGTTGATATAAACTGTGTACGGTTTCCGGTTACTGTTGACCAGCCCTCTATACACTAATAAACCTACAGTTTGTGGTTACTGTAAACCAGAATATCGCAGAGTTCTCACTTTCGTATAGACAGGAAACCTAGGGTGAAACCAGGCCAATTAATGAGAGTTACTGTTAACCGGCCCGCTGTACGCTGTTGATATAAACTGTGTACGGTTTCCGGTTACTGTTGACCAGCCCTCTATACACTAATAAACCTACAGTTTGTGGTTACTGTAAACCAGAATATTGCAGAGTTCTCACTTTCGTATAGACAGGGCGTTTCGCCCTTTGGTATATAAAAAAGAACTGTTTTGAGTTCTCAACCAAAGCAAGTCGCCGCTATTGCTTACAATTGAGCAAAGTCTTGCCATTCTAGGCCAGCTTCGGCAAAATCAGTCAAGCACTTCTCGGGTGGAGTAAATATGAACATTCCAATAAAATACGAGTTTTCATTGGACGATTGATCAGTGAAATTTGGCAGATAGCAATCAGACTGTTAGCTAATATTTGGAGATTCAAAAAACATAAAAACGTGTTTTCATTGACAACTATAAAGCTTACCTCAAAGGTGAAAATTATGACGATAAGGCAGGTAATAAACGCAGAAGAGAATCGAAGCTTTCAGCATGTTCGGCAAATTAAGAATAGTTATCGAAAGTCGGGAGAATCTAATAACAATAAAAACATGAAAAATGTAAGTGTTTGACAAGCGCCGACCGTGGTCTAATCGCGGACTCATTTGCGTTCGACAACTAGATTTGACTTTTAAAACACAAATGCGATCAAAACACATAAACTCAACAGGAGAATTTCATGTTTTCCCAAGAATGGTGGGCAATGTGTCAGTGAATAATCTCCTTTCTTTATCAAAAGAAACTACTACGGGAAGCGGCTAGCTAGTGCTATGTACGAAAGTCACGAAAATTCAAAACACAAACTGATTTTTTTACTTTTTCATTTCATTTTTTCATTTTGAATTTTGCAGGCATGGTAGCTCCTCAGTTAGAGACAGACTGATTTACAGGGGGGTGGTGATGCATTTAAATAGCATATAAGTTGAAATTGATATAATTATCTAGCCATTATCTAGCCATGCCATAAAAATTATCTAGCCATTATCTAGCCAAGTACCATAATGAAATAATTTCAAAGAATTTTTTTAATGTAATACTATCAAGCGAGGTTTCTTATGTCGTTAACTCTATTTATTTCATACCGTCATAGTTGTGCGAAGTTAAGTATTTGTGCAAGAGATGAACAACATGTTCGCTGTAAAATTGTTGCGTTGCATCATAGGCTAATGGCAAAGGCTTCCACACAGGAAAAACATACCTAATAAAAGATGAAGATACGAACATCTGCCAGCATAAACATGTCTCTGTTTACCAAGCACGTGGATGCTGGTACTGAGTGTTATAGAGCGGGTCGATAGAAGGCCGAACAACCGGATCTACAGCAACCGGATCTACATCAACCGGATCTACATCAACCGGATCTACATCAACCGGATCTACATCAACCGGATCTACATCAACCGGATCTACATCAACCGGTATTATCTAAAATCCGTCATTATTCATGATTCGCATTTTCCTGCTAGCCAAAAATATATCATGGTTATCACAAAACCAAAACAGTAACGCAAAATTATTCTTTACTGTGTAAATGGTCATTTTCCATTAACAAGACTCTAAATTGTCCGGATTTTTAGCCAAATTCAAAGATTCCGGATAGTCGATGTTCCATTAGTATGTACTTCAAAACGGTGACAGATATCATTCTTTAATTTTCTACAAACATCTAAAGAAGATCGGGTAAGATAATCTGACGAAACCTCAAACTCTATGATGTCATAAATTAAAAAAAATCCAATAAAATAACACTTGATTTCAATAAAAGGCAATTCATGGTAAAAAAATACTTCATGACTCAAAAGAAACTAAATTTCGGCTTGAAGCTGTGCTACAAATGAAGATCTTCTTTTGAGAATATTCTATACGTCAAAGATTTGCAGAAAACCGATGTTTATTAGTCCAGGCTATCTCTTGAAATCCTTTAATTTTTTATGGGACACTAACCTCAGGATTACCAAAGACAAGAATGTTTTTAAATAAAATTATAATTTAGCTGACAAAAGTAGCCCGGCTATTGGCAAAAGCGTAAATCGTAATGCTTCGATATCTATCACATTATCTTTCTAATTGAGTGGGTAATTATGAAAAATACAAGAAAATAGCATTACTAATTGATAGAATGATTAGCATTCCAACAAAATCCTAAATCGATAAAAACATTACTGTGTTTAGAGGGACTACAGCAAAGATTAGGACCTGGCGATTATAATGGGGTTGTTCAAGTTAAGATATCAAGCGACTTTTGGCTGCGTCAACCGACTCTATCTCAGTTTCCTTTGATGTACAAATGTGACATAATTTTGTCGGCTCGAAATAATATAAATAAAATTCTACATGGAAACGATTCTATTGTTCGAGCACGGTAAATTATAATTATCAATGGTAAAATAATAAAACAAAATAATGACCCGTGGTCGTAATTTCACTAATAGAGGAAATAATAAGTTTGGTGGTATACAGAATTTCGAATATTGGAAATTTCAATAGTTTATACAATTAAGAAATTGTGTATGTGTGCAGGAAGAAAATAGACTGCTTAAATGAACAGCAGGCCAAAAAACATCGCCTTCAAAATAAAGTTACTAAAGCCGCTGATTTGCTAATTGCAAGTACGTAGAAAGTTTAAAGAAAACTTGGCTGCTAAATTTGAACTTTTCTTTTTTAATATGACCAGTAACACTAACCTAAAAACTACAAAGGTTTTTAGTGACAGTTTTCTTGAATATCTTACGCCTAAAAATGGCATATCAATGTGATAGTTATTCAAAGAGAAAAGGAGGTATTGTTTCAGTCGATTTAAATCAGTCAAATTAAAGGACGGTTGTGGTAAAAAGAAAGAGAAACATTTTGAGAGTATCACACTTTGGGAAAGAAGTAAATGAAAAAATATTAAGAAACATAAAGAAATATAGGAAATGATTACATATAGAAATGAAGCAGATAACCAGCACGGCGAAAAAGAGAGACACGTTTAAGAAAAATATAAAATGAAATATATACAAAATTTATAGGTACAATTATGCAGCCCTTTGGTATGTTATGGTATATTTTATTTTGTATATTAATACTTACATAGCGCATATTCTAAAAAGGATGCAACAAAATCTACAACGAACACTTCTTTCCTATCGTATGCCATTGAAGTATATTTTGTTAGACATAGCAAACGTAAGTTATATGCGCCGAAGTTTGATGAAAATTCACAACATGAATCCAAAATATCAAAAGCGTCTTGGCAGATGTTAAAATTCGCAATAAAAGAAACAAAATGCGTGAATCCTAAAAAAAGGAATAAGTGCACAGATAGATACCTCAACATTGTCGCTTGTCTTGCGTTCGACACTGCACAAAAGTCAATTCTCGTCTTCACAACACTTTAAACGGATGTACATTATTAATAAACCTGGTCTGTATTAAATCTTTTTTCTCTCACATCCATTAAGTTTGGATGTTATTTGACAAGACTTGCAATTAACGGCAGGCTTACAAATGGTATACGATTGCACAGAAGATGGTTTGAAATGCCAAGATGCCGGTACGCGTTTGAAGTTCTTTTGAACCGATGACGCTTTCCAGAAACTGTAGACAAATGCTAAGACAGCATCCAGTCGTGGCTGAACCTCAAATATCGAATCAAAGCAAGACTTCCAACAAATTTTGGCATGCTGTTGATTTCAACCCGTCATGACTTTGAGTGGAATGCAACATCTAAGAAGCGCCTTCTGTGAAGATTGTAAACGAAAGCTCGCAGTGTCGAACAGCTCATCTTTGTGTAAATCTTGGCGGACAAAACCACCTGTCATGAATTCGTCAGTAAAACAATAATGCCAAATGATGACTTCGGGTATGGAGTTTCACCTTTGGTTTATAAACCAAAATATATTGCCAATGTTAATTAAGAGCAAAGGCTTACTGCCAAACTGATAGCATTTGGTGTAATCTGAGCACTTCGTAAGATTTCAGTTTAAATCAGACTTCTTTAAGATGCAAGACCTGTGAAATTATGCATGATGATATCAAGAATCCAATCAATATATGCAAAAGGCCAAACGCATTTGATTAACTTTTGCTTTGCATACCTACTGCATGATCTGCAACAAGATAACTGAATTCAAATGTTATCAGTCATATGCCTTGCCTATTCAACAGCATTGGGGTCAAGTATGGTGTTTGAGGAGCAGCACATCCGGTAATGTAAATTTCCGACAAATGGCTGACCATGTTCTGTGATGCACGTGATTTAATAGCCATATTTAGAGAAAGATATATATGTAATTGAAGTGACAGTGCTCATAAGAGGTGGTACCCTGGGTACCATAGCCACATGAATCCGGGGATAAAGCATTGTAGACGTAACAGTAAAGTCTCTATTTCCTTTCCTCGCTCAAAAAATATTTCTATGACTAGTTTCAAATTATATTGGAGACTCCGGCACTCAGGGTAAAGAGGTGGTAAAAGCAAATACAGGCAAAACCATTTCATTAAAGTAAATAATATTCGCTGAACAGGTCGTTTGTGAAAACTGCGAGCTCAAAGCCATCCGAAACAAAACTAACAGTTCAACCATTGATCCACATTTCAAATGTCAAGCAGATCTAACATGCTGATTGTTATCGATGTTGTGATTGTCACGTGATGGCGGCGAAAGGCGCGTAATCTTCAACAATACTAACAGATTGAGCAGATAGGATACAACGTGATCCCAGCAAAACCTAGACCACAATCTTCTTCATTCTTCAACCCGTATCCACTGATAACTTTCAAAATATCTCCCGAAATAATGATTAAAAAAACAGCTGATTCATAAGATCGTTAACACCCAAGATGAAATAAAGAACTAAGGTGGTCTAACTTAAAACCTCTAAACTTTCCTCCGTTATCGTAATCCCTGTTTACGCTACACAAACTAACCCAGGCTCGCCCAGGGTTTATTTAACCAATCTCGAAAAGTGGGTTCGCCCTAAGTCGAACCTGGGTTAGTTTAGATAAGTATAGTGTAAGCGCAAACCTGGGGCGAACCTGGGTTAGTTTCTTCAGGACGCACGCCCAGTGACAGAAATGGCACCGAATGCAAAACAAGGCAAAGCGCGAATGCGAAGTTTTCTCATTGTAGGCCCTGGTTGGGGAATGATTGTTTCTAGAGTCGATTCATTGTACATATTGTGTAAAGTTCATAAACAATATACACGCTGACCGCCGCCATTTTGTTTATCCTCACCTTCAATTTGTGTGTTTTACGCATGCGTCGATAACAAACAAACCCATGTTCGCCCTTGATTCCATTTAAACTACAAAATCAACAGTTTACAGCGTAAACGAATCAGGGTTCGACCCGGATTACTTTTAACCTAGGGCCAACCCATGTTAGTTTGGGTAATGTACACAGGGCTGTAGTCCGTTTCTCAATAGTACAAGCGCTGTTGTTCAGAAGCATTGACATGATCAGGTGATTGATCTGGTTTTAACGCGGCGATTGAGGTTTTTGCAATTTTCTTGTACGGTTTCTCGCTGAATTCCTTTGGCCAATATAAGTCTACTTTCGCGACTTTATAATTCCTTGGGATTTCTATTTTCGTTTTGTTTATTTTGGAAACTACAAAAACGGAGGAAAATAAAAAAAGGGTTAGTTTTCTTAAGTTCCCTCTTTTGGAACTCCGCCCCTTTCCCCTCTTTCAGGGCAACAAAAGTCACTCAGTCAAATATGCTGTTTGGTTGGCTCAGAAAATCTTAAAAAATCCTTAGTAAATCAACTTCTTTGAAAAGTGGTCATTCAAGTTGAACCAGCTTTAACAGCATGTCAACAAAAAACTTTAAAGTAGCCAATTTTCTGAGGGAAACGATTGTTATAAACAAGGTTGCTACAGGCTGCCACTTCCATATGACACCACCAGAATGCCAAGAAACTACTTTAAAGAAATCATCTACATAAAAAAGCAAATTCAATTGTTACTGCTTTGTTGTCTAGTCTTTTTTCATTTACTTGCAGATTCGGCATGATTTGCATTTTACAATTATAAAAAAGCATAATTAGAATCAAGTATTCTTGGAAGAGAAGCTAAAAAGTATAGTTTGAAACGCTGGAAATTTTGAAAAGGCAGGACCTCAGGTCTATAAAGCTCTACATAAATGATATGGTATCTGACAGATGGATCTGGCATAATTTACAAATAATTACAAATTTTGAAAAGGCAGGACGTCAAGTTTATAAAGCTGTACATAAATCATATGGTATCTGACAGATGGATCTGGCGTAATTAACAAATTCAAGGTAGACTCGCCTTTCAACACGTCAAATATTTGCAGAAACAATATCTTCTTAATGGGCCCCTGAGGTGAAAATTTCCAAACTAAATGTTAAAAGCCATTTAGGAATTCTTAAAGAATAGGTTCTTGTATCTCAGGTAACTTGGTCTCAACGAAGACGAAACGCGATTGTGTTTAGAATTCTTTCCAGACAAATTTGCACAGAGTATCCATTAAAGTTGTTTTGATGACTATGGCCTCAAAGTTTGCGACCTGACCAAATGTTATAAAGGATGTCTCTTTAGATAAAAAAATCCTACCAGAAGCATTCAGAACATTGTCGATAAAAGAGTGCAGCAGCACAAGTTCAATTCAAAGTCTCGGTTTAAAAAAATGAAAACTTCTTTGTACATATATAATAAAGGGTCTTGCGCAACAGGCAATTCTTTGGTCCTTTTTTGTGTGGGCAAAGTTTTCTAACGATATTTCATTAAAAAAATGCATAATTATTTTGATCTTGAAAGGGGGTGTGTTGGAGACAAGAAAACAGCTAATGGTAAAAATTTTCACTGTTTTTAGCTTTGCTTAACTTCAACTATGACGAGAACTCTTTTATCTCTGCCTAAGTACGCTTTTAGCCAAAAACGTTTGCTATTGTGCTACATCCAAAACGTAAATCTCCTTTAAAAAACTTTTCCTTTGTAATGAAAAGATTAACACATTGCTAGCAAATCTATCAGTGGCTAGGACAATGAAGTCAGAATTTGGATCCTCCTATTCGTGATGATGGCAGGGCAAGCGAATGAAGAACGACGAATTCTCGATAGGTTTTTAAAGCGAATGGTTGTGGAAAATACAACATTAATCCTCCTTGCAATATATTTTCACGATCAAAATTCATTCCCTTGGACACCATTTCAATCGACGTACCTTTCTCTTATTTTCATTCTAAGAAAACACAGTTCTTTGCAATAAAATAATTGGAAGTCTTTAAAAGATTCTTAAAAGATCCATTCATTTCAATCTAAAGAAATTTCTGTATACCTTGTTTCAGAGCTTCGATACTAATTACTTAGTGATAGAAACAGCATCCATGAGTAAAACGTCATCCAATCCTATAATCAAATTATGAGTAGAGATTGCCTAAAGGTGATTTTCAAATCAAGAAGAAGAAGAAGAAGGGTTTTGATAAAAAATCCATCTAGAATTTGCTTTTAAAGTATTTGCTATGAAATTGTTCTATTTTGAATAGTTTTGCTGTAATTGGAGCTACCAAGATGGCTAGGATGGGTCATAACAATCTGAGAAAAAGTTTTTGAAAGCACGAGAAGCAAGTTGAAATCTGTGATTCTAATATTGATTACAGTGCAGCACAGTGTTTGTATTGTAACCCTTCAATTTTCAAGTCTTAAGGAATCGCCTAGCTCCAATTTTCCCGAGTTGTAACCAAGACAAGATTTCATTGGATAGTGCTGCGAGAATGGCAAAACGTACTCTAGATGTGGTCTAGCATTCGAAGGCTCTAGGCAGAAAGACAATTGTAGTTGTAAGCCTCAACATCCAAAGAATCACGTAGCAATAACCAATAACAGAATGCCTCAATAAATGCATTTGAACAAAAGAAAGATGGAATTAGGGTTCGGGCTTCAAGGTTTTCCATAAATGTCACATTCGAACCATTTCTGCTTAACATATTTTCATATTACATCAGTTACTTTAAAGAAACATTATGCAGGTAACACAACAGCCTAGACAAAGGGGCCAATGCACATTTGTCCACGAGTAGCTTGATGGTCAATGAAAACCACTGGTGTTTGCTATACCTTCATTTTGAGAGCCAAGCACACATTACTTGGCACAAACTTGTGTATACTTGTTAAAATTCAGTCACAAAAAGAGGCGAAAACCACTCTCTTTGCTAGTGTTATTGCTGACACAAAAGGTAAACCATATATACAAATTTATATAGCCAAAAACACACAAATCGCATAATCATCTCATATTGGCAGCCACAAACCCAGCAATCGCGTGGGTCATTATCATATAAAGCTTTCATACATTCAGTATCAACATTTTAACTGGGATTTCTTTTTGGTGAAGAAGGGTTACCAAGAATTAATCCCAACCAAGAAGGGAAATTGAAAAATTATTAGGAACCGAAGCTCTATCTCACTAAAACTTTCAAACGCAGGAAAAACCACTAAATTTTCGCTTTTAACTTTCAGACAGAATTCAAAATGTCAAAGGTATTACACGACTTCAACTTATCAAATCCGATACATTACAACGGGGCTTAAACGTTTCGGAAAACATTTGCAGATATTTTTCATTTGCAAACATTGCAATGCATAGCTACATGCTCTATGCATTAATGATTATTTTCGGGTTGTGGTTTTTCTTCACTGCCAACAAAAAAAATCATTAGGTCATCGTCACTTCTGCTCCTTAACTTCTCCCTAGACTGCACTAATGATTTTTTGACGCCTCCAAAATTTGAATTCCGATGCTTTGAATTTTAAGTCACATTCAGTCAGTATTTCTAGTCCTTTTTTGCGACTGGTGATGGAAAATATTGCGAACTTGGGATTTTTAATTAATTTCCTGCAGATTTTGTAGAACAGTAGGTTCATTTTTTGTAACTTTTTCATTGCATTCAAGATAGCTTTGTGTCTAACATAACAACAAAAAAGTGTTTCGTTTCTATATTCACTTTCCTCCCCACCGAAATTTCTCAATTCACCACGGTATATGACCAAATTATTTTCATACAAAAATAAAAGCACGGAGATAGTTGGCACTGGACTTCTTAGCAATGTATTTGTTAACGAGATCCCGTTTGAAGAAGAAACCAAACATCACGGGAACACAATGCAAAGAAATAAATATTAAAAATGCCTTTGAAAAAGCAACTTTTTAAGACAAACTAAAGCTTTCCATCCGGCACTCGTTCAGTGTATAAATGTCAGAAAAGTGATCGATAACTTCTATTCACAAAAATTAATATTTTCCTCGAAAGACAATTTATTTACGAACAATGAAAAAATAAAACAAAATACTTGCAGGTGAGCCCTGTCGAAAAATCTTAATTTCGACAGATCAATAAGTTTGCTCAATAGGTTTGCTGATAAAAATGTTGATAATGTGTCATAATGTGTCTTTGGTGGACAACTGATGACAATTTCATGGATAAACGCAGACAGTTTCATTTAATCAAACATTCCCCAGGCTTAAGAAGATTATGGCAATAAAAACATCAAAAAAAGAAATACATTCAATCTTTTTCAATTACTCACCAATCAAGTTTATTTCCACTTTTCTAACTAAACTAATACGATTTTCTTGATTGATATAACTGTCACCTTAAGTCATATATGTACAGAATAGGACTTTAAATCCCCTCTGTTTATGGAAGGCATAAAATATCCTTGCTCTTTGCTCTCGATGAATACCAAGAATTCGGTTTTGAAGGACACAAAACATGCAGCCAAATTGAAAGAAAAGAAACAGGCTACCAGGTAATAGACGCTCGCATATTAAACTGATAATAACAACTTCATGTCAACATATCTCTGATATTCCATCCGTCAAATGCCTATTTTTGCATGTTTTGGTTTTCTGGTGATAATGATGGCTTTCTTTTTTGTAAATAAATCAAAACTGTCATGATCTGAAGGATGGGAAAATTAAGTTTGTGAATTTAAAGCCGAGCATCGCTTATCTCATTAGTCTTAAAAATGAATACACTTTTGCGAGGAGAGTGCCTCAACTGGCAGGCATGGATGCCAGACTGATAAATCGCCACGATGCAATTTCAAGTTAAAATACTAACTTGAAGCTTATAAAATTGGCTGAGCTGTAGCCAGCTTCAAGCTCTATTCAAACTCCCTGTTCACAACACAAAACAAAGTTAAGAAATGAATTATTTTCCTTACAGCTATTAGACTGCACTCTTTGATTGCTCCAGATACTGCTACACAAGACTTGCACCATTCTGGAAAACTCTCAACACACCGTCCCATCACTCTAACCATGGCGTTACCTAATTCAGGTGAATACGTTTATAACCTACCTTTGTTTTCTGTCCATTTTTATAATCGGTCAATACAGTCTTCAAAATGTGTTTCTATTAATATTTGTGAAGTTTAAAACCAGCTGAGCAGGCAACCATTTCGCTTAGGTCGCGGAGTTTAAACCACGACGTTGGATCATCGCATAATTTATTCATGAGAGAAATTGCTAAATTTACTGAAGAGTGCTTCAATTTTGGCTCTGAAAAGTGGACATGTGGCGAAAACATCACGAAATTCGGCTACAATTTGCATATCAACTGACGCTTCTAAAACTGGAGGCAAGGTCTGGTAGTCTCTTTCTAAGTAAATGTGTTTCCAGTGATGAAAAATCACTCACATGTCATATAACCACAATGGTAGGAGAACTATCTTCAAAACTGACACAGCACTCTCAAAGTGCTTCTTCGAGCATTTGCTACAAGCTTTGAAAACACCTTGGCATAACAAGAAGGGAGGGGAAGGATGGGAGAAGTTGAGATTCAGTTCCCGTTCACAAAACCAAACTAAATGATCCACTCGCGGCATTTTCATGTCCTTTAACAATGAAGGCCGAATAAAGCATCTAAATTTAACAAAACACCTTAAAGGAGCAAATGAAAAACGGACTAGGGTTTGAGATGGTCATACAAGTAAGAATAATATGTTATGATCTACTACAGGGAATTACTGTTATTGCCCGCATATTAATGCTAAAAAGTACCAAGTCTAGAAGGCCCAAAACAATTATGGTCTTTTATCGTTAAGGCTAGCAAGTAGGAAGTTTTTTACGGCTTCCTTGCTAGAAGAGAGTTTTACAGCATAACCGCTCAAAGGAAATAAAATAATAAAAATTACTTTTTAAAGCAATATCATCAAAAACGCTCTTTTTAAATTTTATTAAAAGTCATAACTTTGACAAATAAATCCTCGTAACTTAATCTAGGCCCTTCAAACGAAAAGATAAACGCAAAGTGGAATTTAAACAAACTTACGCGAATTATTCTAACAGATCTTAACATCCTGATATGTCTTTCCTCTTCTTACGATAGAACCTTGTCTCTTTGGGGTCAAAGCCACGATTGACGTCACCAAAAACGGCCCAGTGTGGGGTTGGCGCGATATAGTCCATGTCACTGAAGGCCTCGCGTCCATTCGTTGCATCGTATTTCGACATCTACGGAAAAAGATACTTCAAGCATGTAAACATCAGCGAAAGCATGTTTTTAAAAAATCAATTTAAGAAAACAATTATCAATTTTACCACAATTGTAAAAAATAAACCATAATCCGTAGAAAACAATAACGTTACAGTTGGTTTAACAAAAAATAAAAGCAAATAAATCGTCCATATTATATTTAAAAATGATTGTTTTTGAAAATCTTTATTCTCCAAGACGCTTCCCACTCTAACTCTCAATTCAATGAAGATTTTTCTCTTTTGTTAATTGTAATAACCTAAAGTGCTTAAAGAAGCTGTATCAAATGACATGATAAAGAATTTATTTCCTAGATCCAGGTTTAAATCTATTCAATCTACGAGCCTGGGAAACCTACTTGTATTGTTGATTTATGATTTCTGATTTGTGATTTACGATTGATGATTTCTAATTGACGATGAGGACAATGATGTATGACGATCGTGAAGATTATCATGATAGCCGATGATGATTGATGACAATGATCGATCATGACAAATAGCTGAAGGCAAGCAAATGCACTCCTTACCAAATCGTGGAATTTTGGGTAGTCAATCCACGTGTGCCATACATCGTTGATTTTGAACTGCAAATCAAAAGAGATTTACCTTCGTAGAATCAAATTTCATTTATAGACAATAAAGATAACCTCGATTCAAGTGCTGTAGATCACTAATTTCAATGATATCGAGATTGGCAGTCTCATTTCAGTGTGGGTTCCTAAGCAACATGTCTCGGACATAGTCTATAGAATGGTGATTCAGAAGCGCCAAAGCTTCAGTGCCTGATCTCCATTAGGCATATTTTTCTGGCCTTTGCGTTGGCAAAAGGATGTCAGCATGCCTATTTGAAATGTTTTGGTTTCCTATGCGGTGCGCAACATTTGCCTTGAAAGCTCAACCTGTTTGTACTTTTTTCTGTCACCATCGAATTTTGATGTATTTTGAATTTTAAGCCAATCGCATTCAGCGCATCTTGCTCCTCACTTGTCTTGGACCATACTAAGGGCATGGAAATAGCAATGATAAAATTTCTGGTCAGAAGCGGAAAAATACACAACAACATTGTTTCCCAGTGCACTTCAATTCATCCTCTAACAGAGCTCCTCACAAATTGTGGATCTATCTCAAGCTTTAGCGTTTGCTGCTGTACCACAACAACAACAACAGCAGCAACGACGCCAGCAGAAAGATACTGACACTGAATAATTGCGTAATTGGGTAGGAGCGGTCTGAACTCGCCTAATAGAGATAGTCTTGAGAATGTGGTCGGTTGTCACACGAGATGGTAGTTACAAGCTACACGTACTGTCTATTCTTCCAAGTTAAAGGCAGTCTGCCCCCTATTGTGCTCAACTTTATTTTCACGGGAGTGAAATTCACGCACCGTTGAGCTTGATCGACAATTAAACGATTTAAACCAACCAGAAACAACTTTGATTCCAGAGCTTTGAATCAAATGCCTGTGTTCATGTTGTAGTGAAGCAGTGACTAGAAAAATATGGCTCCCTGTTTGGTTTCTGCGACAAATATGTCAACAGCGAAAGGAAATGCTTCCATTATCATTCAATTCCAGTAATTAAATCTTCCTTCCATTCCCGATAGCTTTTTGCGCGCAGTTTCAAATGTCGTCCACTACCGCAGCTAGGCCAGCCATTGACTTGCTACAAGTCTCTCTCTATCCATTTAGTAATCTGAAAAGGCCAGCCAAAGCAAGCATCGTAACCCGTTATCCGTTAAGGCAGGAAGACCTATTGTTCATATTAGCCAATCATTGAGGTGACAGACTGCCTTTAAGCTACCGTATAAAACCCCTACAAAATGAAAACAGCATATAATTCAGCTCAACTTCCGAAACATCGTTCGTTTATACAAATAAGCTTCAGTGTCGTCCAATTGACTCCTATCGGATATTTCCGATACACGTTTTTCTATTTGTTTATAAAAAATTCAGTACTAGGATCGTCAAAAATTTGAGAAACTTTAGTACTAGTTTCAAGAAAAATAAGGAATTTTCATAAAAAAGAGTCTAAAAGTTTTTATTTTGCTGACCTTTCTTTGAAAGAAATGGCATACTTCGCTTTTTTATCTACATGGCATATTTTCGTGTCGATCTGCGTTTATAATCTTTCAAAAATTCTCAAATTCAAAGCAATAAGGCAATTGTAGGTCCCGAAAATATGAAACCAACTAAGAAACTTTTAGTACTAAAACACAAAAAGTTTTATGCCACATTTAGAAACTTTTAGCACTTAGTGCTGATCCAAGTTTCTTATAAATAAGAACAACGTGTAGCTGATTCTACCACCAACATTGTTTTGTAGGGGATATAGATCTTTAAACTGGAAACTGCTAATTTTGCCGAAAAATACTTAGCAACAGCGCGATTCCAAGATAATTTGGCAGGATTGAAGCTAAGCTATAATGAGAACCCAATAAAACCTAGCCCGACTGGAGTGAATTGTGATTCATCTGTGTTTATCACTGTAAAGTGGCTGATACGTGTCTTGGAAACGAGTCTAACAGTATCTTGTTAAGGCGTTGCTAGACAGCTTTAGCGTACAAAACACACTGGTAACTAGCCATGCATTTATCTTCGCAGCTTTAAACAGCGACCGGACGAGAATATAAACCCATTGAGGCTACGGAATGATTAATCTTGACGCAGTCGTTTCTCACTGTGTCCACAGTCGACACATTGAAGATCTGCTTTCCTGTGCATTTTCTTAAAAGGTGGCGTTCATAAAGTCGATTTTCTTCAAAACGGATTTCATAACATGTGTGGGAGGACGTCAGATTCGAATGAATTTCAAAATGCATATAGTAATGGAATATCAATTCATTATAGGCACAGCTAAAGGGAGCAACTAAGCACAATAAAACACAAGAATCATCGATGTTAGCTGTTTAGCTCGGTTGTCAAAATTTTAAATCGTTCTCCGACAACTGCATAATTAACAGAAAAGGTGAATAATCCTTCCCATAATATGCATACTAGACGAATACTGGGGACATACTCCCAGTTATGTAACGTAATTGGGCAGGTTGGGGTGGCTGCTCCTTCCAATGTTTACCAAGGTCGGTTTGTGATTGTCTTTAAAATCTGACAAGATGCAAATGGGAGAGGGTTAGGGCTGAGAAGCCAATTTAGAAAGGTTGCTTCCTTCTTCACAAAGCTTGATCATATCAGCAGTTTTTCTGAATACAAAACAGTGGGTTCGTTGCGAATCTCCACAGCTTTTAGCTGCTGAATGTCTGCGCACAGGCAAAATACTACTATTCTTCGCAGAAAACATAATTTCATGAACTAACAGAAAACCTCTGTTTGCACGGAGCCCTTAATCCACACATCCCCCCCCCCACCCTTTCCAAATTTCCACGATGAAAATACCCTAAAATGACGTATGAGAATTCACTTTCATCTATGCTGTATTTGGATGTTGAGGGCGTATTTTTACTTTTAGTGTCTAAACACTTAGAAAACAACTAAACATTTCACTCAACACTTCTACTCCAAAATGAACGATAGTAAATGTTACAGGGATTTCCCGTAGTTGCGTTTTCGAAAAGCCTTGGCATAGAGCTTCGTGCAAGCCAGGCAATTGCGTTGATAGATTTCACAAAATTTCAGAGTTCCGGATTTTTTCAATCGTTTTGCATTTTTCGCTTTGAGTACTGAAATTTATCATCTTGAACAAAACGTAAAGTTGACACTGCAGGTCACAATTGGTCCCCTGTGGCTGCCCTTTGGATATTCAATCCGTGAAATCAAAACAATCATTGTTTATTAATTGCAGGTATTGTTCGTTAAATCCTGATCCTCATTGCAGGCGAGACCTGAGATTATGCTTTAAAACAAATGTCTCACTAATTCCTAAAAAAATTATAATTCAGCTTTATTCATGTTTAAACAAATATTGCAGCTACTATAATACAGGTAAATCCAGCAAAAATCAAGGACTAATTTCAGTCAAAGAAAGTTGTAAGTTCAAATGTAAACATAATCCTTCCAGGTGTGTTTAAAACCAGGGTCCTAGCTACTCCATGTACATACCATACACAACTCCAACAGCAAACAGGTTGTCTGAGTTGAGACGATACTCTGCGAAATTGTCCTTTTCCTCATCGAACAAGCATAAACTGGAGATCTGCAGTCCTTGCTTGGACGATTGGCCGATATAAACGATGCAAATTATCTTGTACCTATCGTAGCAAAGAGACTTAACTTTGTCCTTTATTAAATTTGACAACATTTTTGCAGCAACCTTGCAGTCTTCGCTGTCATACTTAACCCCATTTAAATTCTCCTCCAAAACACTCTTTATAATGAGTCGCACATCTGGTTCATAAAACCGTTGAGATCTGGCACATTTAGCTTTCTCCTCCTTACGGGGCAATGAACAAAGAGGGACAAAACTGGGACAAACTGCTTCCAAATCTGTCACTCTAACTGGTTCATCTTTATGTACAACCAACACCACCCCTTTGTTCTCTCTCCGCCGCTTCTCCGCCACCAAAAAGACAGCTCTCCTTTTCAATTTCGTCGCCAAATTCTGCGCCCGAATCATACCTCCAAGACTTATTTTGTACTGAAGAAATTCGCGCTCCATTTCTACGAAAATCGCTCCAATAAAGCATAAAAAACGCTATCCTTTAACAAGCAAATTATTCCCAATCCTGAACTTGGATATGCAATTACTGGAAACATGTGCCTGCCCTTGGAATCTCGTATAGCCTATTTCTATAACTAGTCTAAAAACTTTTGTTCCATCTGTGTTTTTCAATCGGGTTACAGATACTTAACGTCTGTTAAAATCTTAAATCCTTTAAATGAACCATTTTGCTTATTAAAATTGCTTTCTTATAAGTTGAATTGTAACAACAGGGTGTCGTAATACAAAGACATAACCGTCGTCTATAAAAACAAAGATTTTGTAGAAAAACAAAGAACACTTGTTTACTTTCGCTAAGCCCCTGTCAAATCCTTTTATAGAACTATACTTGAATGGCCATTCTAGGAATTTGTTTTACATGGGATCCTCTTTGTGTTGTAGACACTGATCTGAAAAGATTGTAAAATTTGTTTTCCCTGCCTGGGTAATCGAAAGTATTGGCAGAGTAAAGGGAGAAAATGGGATGAATGCAGCAAAAGCTCAGTTTTGTTCTTAGATATGGCATAAAGTTATTTTCTTTTCACACAGCCCCCGTTGCAGATTCTACGGAGGAGATAGAAGAGAAATCCTCCAAGTAGAATTCCTTTGGACAAGCATGCCCCTAAAATCCTTTCTAGATACGTTCTATTTCATGGAATATCTTTCTGTCAGCAGTTTTGTACATAGTTTATAGTATTACACAACATAAACATAGGTGCATGGAGTTTGTGTCTGAGGCGACACCCTTGAGCGAAGCACAAAGATTCGGAACAAATTCGCAAAATATTGCGAAGATTGGAAGACTTTTTCGATGGAAAACATATCATTAACTGTTTTTCGCCAAATCTGAGTTTAGTGTCGTCTTCAACAAACATTAACAGTCTTAAATCATGCCAGAAACATTAACAGGCGTAAAAAACTAAGAACGGTGAAAATCTTACAGCAATAACTTAATTTCACGATAAAAAGCCTAAATATTGCTGATTGTGAAATCTCTTTCACACTGACTTTGTTGTCAGGAGTTTTTTTCTGTTTGGCAACTAAACTCCCCAGTACATAACTTTGTAGACGAGACAGACTTGTGACTAGAGACAACTTTATAGCTGGATTCAAGGGCAATTTTGTCACGAAAATTTATGTTTCAAAATTAGCTCGACATTTATTTGTGACAGGGTCCTTCTAGCACTAGCTCGTCTCCCGTTGGTACATCACCTGATTCAGAACCTGCCTGAGCCTGACCAATCATTAGTGCTGTAATTGAAAGGGTGCTTTCTTTGAAATCTTCTATTGTCATCAAACCATTAACACATCATTAAAACATACCTTTTTAATAAGAACTTAATGTGAGAGCCATTGATCCTGCAATTTTCATAGGCACCTTTCAAACAGGACCCAAGAACAGCCTGATACTGGAAAAGTGGATCCGGAATTGTTGCCGGAATTTACTGTATAATGACATTGAGGGCTAGCCGCGATTAATTCAGATAATTCTGCGATGGTATCATATTTATCGTGAAAAAATACCATTTTTCCAATTGATCTCCCCTGTTGGGCTACTGCCTTTCTCGTTTCTCATTTTCTAGTCTATAATACAGCTTCTGTTCGCTTCTGTTGTCCATAAAAGAGCCAGAAATAAATAGCTTTCCCAACTGTAAAGAATGCTGTTCTTATCAAGCCCGTTTATCTCTAGGGCGATCTACTGTTCGACATCAAGCCACATATCTGTCGTCTCAGAATTCATATTACTTTCCAGCATGAGGTGATTAATAGGTCCCATCTGTTCTCAATAAAACCACATCCCTGCCTAGTTCATACAAGTTTTAAAGGCAATATAGATAACTTTGTCTACAGCAAATGTGGGCAATTTATGTTTCTTGTATTTTTGTAATCAAATTTTTGTATTTTTTGAGTTTTGACCATTTGAGTTAAAGGAGCAGTATAAAATAATCCTAGATGAAGAGAAACAGTTGGCAATGGCTCCTTCCCTGTCAAAACACTGCAATTCGGTCTTGGTTCTAAAATTTAAATACCAAGCCAAAATCAGAGTCATTTTTTGCAAATTTTGTCTTGGCTTATTAGTCAAGATTTTGCAAATCTATATGCTACTTTTCAAAGACCTGATCAAAAAATATCTAAAATCCGACTTATATGTCGTCATCACCTTGTCGCCATATAAACGTGCATCGAAAGAAACTGGTTCAAAGCTGGTTTTTAAACTGCTCTCTTTATTGAAACATTCAAAGGGCTACCCTTGAGAAGAATTTTCAACAAAATCTAGCGCCCATTTTCAAAATTATCACAAAATTTAACCCATATAATTTACGTCTAGTAGAAAAGACTACAATGAATCGACCTTCAAAATTTTACAAAATTGTCTGACTGTTTGCAGATAAAATACCAAAATCTGAAATGGAAATGTAAACACGCAGAAAACCTGTTCATATTTGCTACAATTTGTCAACGACGCGGGACAAAGAAGCTTGCAATGTTTTCAGTCAATCTCTACTCGCACTCATTTCAAACGTTGACACAGCGGACACACAAAAATGATCTAAGGAATTCGACTTTCGCCAATGTATGCAAAGCACTTTTGGATAAAAAATACGTTGACAAATACATATATTAGCAAATATTTGTAGTTCAAATGAATTGCAAATGTCTTTAGCAAATGAAGAGAAGTTTTTTTAAAAATTCACTTACCCGTTTGTGTGCAAGAAGAACGCAGTTTGAATGCTCGTGTTCTGAAGCTAGTTCATATTCTGGAATTTTCTCGCACAATGCGTTCACAAAATCAACAACCTGATCAAATAAACAGAAAATATTGAAAATACAAAGTGAAAGCTATATGAAAGCTAAAAGAATAACTTTGGTAAAAGTCTCTAAAACTTATATTTGTGCATTCTGCTTCACGTCAGCTTATGTAAAAGATCTTTTAATTTGTCAGTAAATCCTTGATTAACCATCTGGACACTGACAGAAAATCCTTCAAAATCTGTTAGCAAGTTCAGCATAACCAACGATCTCCAGATTTTCTCGCAAATAAATGATTCGAGCTTACGTCTGGTTACATAATATTGTAAAAACGAGCTAGATTTTACAAATAATTTTAAAATGGGCATGTGTCTTAAGAGACCCCGGATATGGTTGGTTTTCCAACTGAAACGAAACACAACTTTTACATCTTTCAACATCATTGCAACTTAAGAAGAGATTTTTTCACAAAACAATTTGCCTGTAAGGGATGTCTTTCGAAAACTCATCTACCTTGCCATTATTTAAATTCGTTCAGATGGCATATCTACTCTGACAAATATTGACTTCGATTGTTCCTTTCTATCTTGAAAATCTCCCCAAAATATTACAAAATCAATTTTGAACCTTGTCCTGTTAATCTTTATCTTAAAGCTTTCCAGATCGTGGAAACAGAGCTTTAAGTATTGGTTTCAAAATTGCAATTAAACTGAGCATTATATTGATCAAAATTCAAGACCAGTTACTGAAGCTAACAAAAAAATTATCTCTCGTGGTTTTGATTCCGGAACGCATCCAGAGCCGGCGTGCAATTGAATCCGACATGCAATGGAATCCGGCACACAATGAAATCCGGCACAAACTTGGAATACGGCAGGCATTCCAAACCCGGTGCTTATTTTAAAAGATACGATAGGAGCAGAACGATGCCAGCAGTTACGCATTTTTAGAATCAGTGCAACACTGAGCAAAAAATGTCAATAAATCTAAAATAATTTTGAATCTTCAAAATGATTATCAGTGTCCTATCTCGTAACTGATCTATTTTTAATGAATATCGTACGTTCAGAATCGTCTAAGTAATGCGACTAGCTGATTCTAAACAAATTTCAAAACTGAATATAGTCATGATCTAATAGCATATTCAGAACAGAGAAAGATCCGCCTTTATGCTATGTAATATAACGACACGAGTGCCGAAAAAAGCGAAATTTTATATCGCTTCAAGGCAAGTGTGAACAAGTCGTGCAAGAGGATTCTCCTCTATGAAAAACAAAATATATTGTATGTACCCGCATATAAGTAACTGCTTTTTTAAACTGAGGCCTCAGAAAGTTTCTTATTATCAGAGACTTTCATCATCAGGGTCTATGTTTCTTATCAACAAATGCAGTCAAGTCAATTCAAGTCAAGCTATATGAACGACAGTACATTTCATGGATGTGTATTCAATATTACTGGTAGTAATGTATTATACATAATCTACAGTATAATTCTTTATATCAATAGAATACACTACACTACAACCATCCTAGAGCATAAACAGAAAATGCTACTGTTTATACTTGAAAGTAAGAAACATTTTAATTTCAGGCCTAAAATTGTTTCTTATAAAATAAGCTCCTTTTGAAGAGAATGAGGCCTTTTTTTATACAAAGTGGTTTCTTATATGCGGGTACTTACTGTACACCATTCAATATAGAAAAAGAGCCTAAAGACTAGGCCAAAACGTTTGTAACCTTAGGGCACATCAAGATGGAGAAATCGGATCTTCTGCAAAAACATATCAACTTTGCTCGAATATTTCTTCTGTAAATTTTTGAATATTTAGGCATGTACCAAAAAAAGTAAATTTGTTACCTCTTGGTGCCAAGGGACATTCTTCATTGTTAGAGTAGATGCCTTTGATTCTCCACAATATGTGACACCCTGGAAATTAAGTAACGGGAAACTTGTTACTTCCAATAGGAAAATATAGAGGAACGATATAGCAGGGGGTAAGGTTGAACAGGGGTGGGCTTGATAGTTGGATTCAAAATCAACTGAAGGTTAGTTTTCACCAATGTGTGATTTCACTGTTCATGGTTGGCGCTGTCAATTTCTTCTTTTCACATTTGCCAAAAATTGGATCATAGAATTTGAATCATGTTGCTGAAATCGAGGGGCAAATCACTCTTAGAAAATCTCGTACACCTTTTGTAAAAATCCTTATGTTTTATCCAAAAATCCCCAAAAATCGTTTTGTTTTAGGAAAAATCTCGTACGCTATTTGCAAGAGTGAATCGCTCCTCGGCTGAAATAAGACTGTGACGAAAATTTGATGTTGTTTGGACAATCAGGCCGCGAATCAGGGGGGGGGAGTGAGGGAGCGATTGATACAATGGTCTTTTGTTCTAAAACAATGGGAAAATGTGAAGTCATCTTTTCAAAACAATAGGCTTGCCCCCCCCCCCAATATTTGTGCCCGTCCGCCCCCCAAGTGTCCGCCCCTGCCGCGAATCGGGCCGTTTTCAAAACTTAGCTTTTCCTGTATATTTCACTGGAATCGGCTGCTGCAGAACCAGTCAAATCTTTAGAAATACCTAAGTAACTCGCAACTTATCTTTCCAAATAACAGGAAATTTTAAATATATACTAACTTCAAGACGATGTTTTCAAATCTCAAGTTCCTTTACCGCCAAATTAACGGTAAAAAACAAAATTTAAACTCTAAATTACTTAATATAAAAAGCCAATAAATTTGTACTTATAATCATTTCAAAACAATATTGAAAAATATTTTGCAAAACAATGGTTATTTGGAGTTTTTAGTAACGAAAATATGGTTGCATTATAACGAGATTTTTGTCTCTTCGATTGGTTTATCAATAAGAGAGCACTTTAAGTAAATCCCTTCATATAATTTTTCACCAATCATTTATATTTTCAGTAACTTTTTAAATTATTCACTGTATGAAGATATTAATTCTTTGTAACATGCCTTGTTTCATTGTTTTTTCTCTTTTATGAAGCTATCTGTTTTCGAATTTGAAACTGAACTCTAATGAGCTACTTTCTTAAAGAATAAGGTGCGATGTAAAAATATTGATATTGCAGCCAGTCACAACGATTACACAAGAAAAATTTTTCCATGCTTTTGTGGCCTACCTTAACTTCGATAAAGCTTGGATTTCCGATTTCAACAAGTTTGGCATAGCCCTCGATTTCATCTGTATTGAATGACTTCACCAATGTCAGACGATAAACGGTTCTCTGTCCCTAAAATAAGACAGAACTTGGCTTATTTTCAGTTTGCAAACAACTTACAAAAAACTTACAAAGTATGATAGTAAACACACTTTCAAATGACACGTGTTCGTCCACGCAATTAGGCTATTTTTCAAGCAAGATCTGCAGTGACTTAGTAAATTAAAACAAATGGCTTTTAAATATTTAGGGAAGAAAACTTTCCTTGGTAGTATAGAGCTTCAAAACTACAGATGATCCAGTTAAATTTAAAAATTACCTTCTCATTCAACGCCTTGAGACTGTCGATAAACCTCTGCCAATAATCTCTAAACAAGGGCCTATCGATTTTCTTGAGGCTGTCCTTGTCACTCGCGTCCACGCTAACATATAGTTGAGTGACTGGTTTCAGAGTTCTGCGAAGAATACATGGGGGAATTGTGAACACTACAAATGAGACTATCAAGGGAATACAACCCAAACAAAGGGAGTCATAACAAAAGTTTCGACAGGTGTCAGGGGAAAAGAACTGCACAACTGGGGAATTAATAACATAAAGAAGGGAATGCATTGACTAGCATGGGAATAGCATAGCAAGCAAATTTGTTTGCTAAAAAGACGGTTGCTTCAACGAGGAGGCATAAGAGGGTGAAGATGCTTTTAATGAGGAAAAAACGAACTTAATAGATTGGAAATTTAAAATAAAAAAGGGTGAAAGTTAAGGAGGCAACAAATACAGTCGCCAGTTTCCTATGCCTACCTTATGGCATCAGGAAACTGCGCATTTGTAACGAGAAACGAAGATATCTTCTTGCTGTGAAGAAGATCGACCATTTCGTTTATCTTCGGGTACATAATTGGTTCACCTAAAAACATAAAAATCTTTCTGAACCTTTTTATTTAAGTCTATCTATATATTTAAGCACGAATCATTGATCATAATAACCAATTGATGACTGATTTTTGCGTGAAACAAATCTGGCAAATGATAATTTAAATGCATGAAAATTCTAGGGTAAAATGTTATTAACCAACGGTTTGATAAAAAGCCTTAATTTACAACTTGATACATTTATCGACCGTCGATTCATTCTCTAAACATGTTTTTAGAACCGTGTTATCAACTAATTATTCTTGACTGCGAACACTGCCCTAAAACAGCCATTTTTGTCTGTTTCAATCCCTTCAAATGCTTCGCTACTTTGCAACCCCCTCAAATTGCTGAAAAAAAATTCGAATACTTTAAGATTTTTAAAAGTCCTACCAACAAGAGACAGAGCACAATGCTGAATTTGCATCCCTTCCTGAAATCTTTCGAGTAAAACGCCAGGTACACCTAGATAACGATTCAAGACAAAAATTGATTCAAAAATAAAAGCCATAAGAAAAACTATTTTGCAATGTAAGATTTTTTTGGAAAGAAAAACTTAAGAAGAAAAGAGGCTTGATAGAAATGGCGGGGGAAAATCTAATAAAACTGTAAATATCAATTTAGAGTAAATTCAAAAAAGGATTTTTGTAATAGAGGAAAGACAGGGGGCACCTACTCTAGTATAATCATGTCATGAACGTTTGGATTTTTCAGAGATGAATCAATAATTACATTTCAGAAAGTTTGTTTCGGCTGCGAAAAGTCGTAGGATTTGATGAAACATTTCAGATTCCATAAAATTCAAAGCCTTACGTTTTACTTTAATTAACGCAACCTTTCGGGAACTTTCAGCAACCACCCCACCTCTCCCAAATTTTATAAGTTCTTTAATCGGAATGGTCTGTCACTTCTACAACACTAAAGCCGCTACGCCCCCGAAAGCGTTTTTAAGAAAATACGAGAAAAAGTACCTCGGAATTGTTTGATCATATTATAATGGTTCTGCATCGCTCCATCGACAATCAAATCTGGATCATCCATTTGCCAGCGCCATTCAGTCCCAACTGGGTTTGTGTGATGCCTGTAATGAATTGCATTGTCAACAAAAAATGGCAGAAAATGTTCTATAGTGGCCACATTACTGGAACAGCCGACCTCCACTTCAGTCCATTTGCTTATTCACGCGCGCGCTGTGAATCTCCTTTTCTCATTGGCTCCTTGCAGCTTGTTCACTTTGGAGTAGCTTCGCAGCCTACTAGCGAGGCGAGCAAAAGTTATTCTCTGCCACGAAAATGATTTCAATATACGTATTCAGAAGCTCGGTCACAGCGCACGCGCGAAAAAGAAGACTGAAGTGGGGGGTCGGCCCTTCGTCACTAATGATTTTTAAGTGACTTTCCACTATAAACAAAATCAACCTAATTCAATTCAATAAATAAATATCACCATAAAATCTACTATACACTATTATAGTTATCTTAATATCTACGATAAGAAGATCAATTGCCAAACACCTACTTACAAAGGAACAAAATATAACAACTAAGTCCTAAAAAGTCAAGCCTTACCTACATCCATTGATTTGCACCTTTACATGCAATCATAATGCACCTTTACTTTACATCACATTAACATAAAATTCACAAACGCACAAATGTATATTAGGACAGTAGGTGTCAACAACAATTGTCTTAACCATTGATCAATAAGCTGTCTGTGCTCCAGAGAATATTTAAAGTTATTTACACTTGAAACCCTTTAAAAACACGTAGCTTATGCAAGCACACTGGAGCCGGGGGACTTGGGGGCCTGGGGGGCTATAGCCTCCTCAAGTTTTTGCTGAAGTATGATATTCGGGTTGTGGCATCAAGGATAATGGTGGGAAACTACCATAAAAATTTGACAATTTGTCTAATGATGTCAATAAGCATGAAACTCATAGTAGCAACATGGAACCGTCCTGTCCTACAATGTTTTGGGCATACACCAAGAAAGTGTACAACTCTGACTTGGAGAGGCGCCTACTGTTACATGACATGCCGGTATACAGTGTATATCAATTTTCATTAGTTCATTTTTATGCAAGCTTCGATTAACAGTTGATTCGCGGTTGTGGATTGTTCATCTTGGCAGACACGGTGTCTCGCAGATGGCGATGTTCAGACGGCTCGAAACTAATTCTGAATCCCAATTTACAACAGATCCGAATATCTTGTATCCGGACATAAAAAATTGTTCATGTCTAGCGGAAAATTTGTAATTTTCACAACATTGTTCTCATAAAACTTTGTGCGACTACCAGACTGAGTTCTCGAAGATTTGTGCGAATCTAATTCACGGAAAACATTAGTGGACAAATCTTCTCCGTGTAGCTAAAAGGATCCTTGCCGACCAAAATTTACGTGGATAAACTTTTTACCGCACAGCATTAAAGCTACCTAGATTTAGATGCAAATTACTGCACATTCTAAGACACTATGTCATGTCAGTCAACCTTTCAAGGTTTAAACTAGGCCCTGTAATTCGTTTACAATCGAGAAATCGTCGATAATATTACCTGTGTTGTCTATTGGAAAACGTAACAATGGACAATTGTATAACGCTACCAAGGGAATTTAGGTGACCACTGGAATACCTTGGAGCATGACAATAATTAAACGACATACCTCCAACAGAAAACACACTTGTTGGCACAGGCAAGGCTTGGGGTTGTTTCCATACATTGATGACTATTGATGCCGTAAAATGTGTGCTTATAACAGCCACCCCGTCCACGGAGCATTGCCTGTAAAGATAGAAATAAATTCATATTTGTAGGCTAGTCAAAATACTACAGTTCTTTCCAAAGTCGAACAAAACACTTTTCTCCGCCCCGGAGATTGACTATGGAGAGCTATAAGAATACAGGAAAATAGCCACAATCTATAATGTTTAAGCATAATTAGCATAATAAGCATAATTAATATACGCATGCTGTCGATGTATTTTGAAGAACTTGATTGAAGAATGGATTAGAATCAAGAACATATTTTCTATGGTCTATATCTATGAGGATTTACAGAACACGATACAATAAATATAAATAATTTCAAAATTCATCGATCGAAATTGTAATTAGCTTGATACAAAAATTCAAACCTTTGTCCAGCGACAAATTTTGACTCCAGAGTGTGAGCCAACAACTTTATAACCTGAGAAGGAAGATTCTTTATTAATTAATGTATTCAGAAGCCACCCATATCGATTTTAAAATGTATCAAGGATCCTTCTATCACACAAGGATTCTTCTACAGAAAGATGTCACAAATACTTGAAGTCCTAAAACAACAAGCACAAAATGCTAAACTATCCATAACTATTGCTATACTTTTTCTAATTAAATACAAAGCCACTGCACGTGAAATATATTGTCATAAGATCAATGGTAACACATGCAGAGGAATAGGCAAAGAGAATCTGTACCTACAACCCATGAGCCTTTGCTTTCAGTGAAGATAACAAGCAACTTAAGAATGGAAGTTTAAGGCCAAAACAAAAGAGAACTCCGATAATTAAGACAAAAATAACGGGATCTGTTGATGGCTAAATTTTTACGACTCAAATGCGTAATTTTATTTTAGATTAATTTTTAAGATTAATTTTTTCGATATATTACCTTGCTTTTCTAGATTTTTACGAATTAGCGGTGTCACCATTTCCTTTGCGTCTGCTGGGACTGTAGATTCTTCTGCTGAATAAAGACACACAGAGTTAATTAAAAACAAAAAAACCATAACTTAAAAATTAGCAATAATTTTTTGGCAAATTTTACATCATAAACGGAATGTTTTGAACATGCTAAAGACTGTTAGGATTAGCCTACGGTACGAACAATGCAATAGAAATTTTGAAATTTGCTTTGCAAATACGTGCTTACTGAATGAAAGATCATTATCGAAAGCTAGCAAAATGCACTCGACAAGAAGATAGTGAGACGAATTTTCATAGATCAATGAATCATTCCATTTGTATTTATATCACCTGCGAAGAAGCTTCGTATGTTGGGGTCAATCTATAGCTCTTTATATCTCCATTTTGCAACGTTAAAAAGCATTTTTTCCCTATCTTAGAAGATATTCTATCTAGGAGAACATTTTTTCTCTGTAAATCTTAACCAGTGTGAAATGATGTTCACAACTTCAAACCAACAAGATCTATAAGTGTGAATCTATGTTAAGAGAGATACCAATACTTAAACGATACAAGCAGACAATTGCGAACAAAAAGGCCAAGAGGAAAGGTACCCTTCTTTTTTCTTTGCTTTGTTTTTCTTGCTCTCACGCCATCAGTATTGATTGTTTTTCCCACCTTGACAAATTCGTTAAGTAAGAGTTAACAAGGAGTACAGAAAAAAACGAGCGTCTAAGAATTTACAAGTCCACAGAAGGCTAAATTCACAAATTTTTAGCCGGCTTTGCTTCGAGACTTGAAGCAAAGGCCAAACAAGGAGAGGGAGGGAGAGGCTGACAAAAGATGGAGGTATGGCCAAGTTGTTGATGTTCGTTTTGAAAGAAGAAAAATAAAAAAATGCTAGGAAGCAAGGAGAGAGCAAACGTTCTAAAGCGTTCCAGGTCTGTTCAAGTTGTTGAACAATGTTCGTGATTCACGGAAACAAATGGTTTTCGGAAGATTAAAAAATCTCCTTTCTTCTTCCTAGTATAGGAGGCACAGTGCTATTTACAAACCTTTGCTTCTTTCAATTTATTCGCCATTTTTCCGAGATCTTCTACATCGACTACTTCTTCATCGTCTCCGTCTTCATCATCGGTTGAAGATTCATAAAGTACCTAAAGCAATAAAGTGTTACAGTCTCAAAGAAGATTTCCTGGTATTTTTTGCTGCCCATAAACCCTTGACAGGTAAAAATTACTACAACCACATTACCGGCAGCCTTATTATTTGAATATTTAAATTCTCAGTGAAATTAAAAGATACTTAGGCATAAAGAAGACCCTTTTAGGCCGGCTAAACAATTGAAGTCTACAAGCCACTTGTCCCTAACAAAAGACTTCCTTCTCATTATTGCCATATAACGTGTTCAAAATGATAAACAACTTTAACCATGATTCAAGCTCATCTTTTTCAATATTCTGCTTATTTAAGAAATCTTACCTCTTCACTGTTACTTTCTTTGCAACATTGGTCTTCTTTGCAACATTTATCTTCTTTGCAACATTGGTCTTCTTTGCAACAATCTCCATCTTCTTTTTTACAATTCTCTGTCTTTCTTTCTGACTGAACCCTTCTAACTGTTAGGAACAGCAGCAACGACTCCATCCACGAGTTGAAATCGCCTTCCAACCCTTCCAACGGAACAAAAGGGCATAAAAACTGAAACACTTTTACAAAAGAATACAAACAAATTTAAAGATAGAGAAAGCAATACATAATCCGCATTTCTTGAAGAAAAGTTAGCATTTCCTTTCTTTCGCTTTCAGTATATAACGAAAATCACATCAAAACAAAGTTCTAATTGAATTCTATCAACTTCAAAGAATAATTTGAAATGGCGGAAATAGTCGGAAAATTTTGCATCTATATTCTAATTCTTTCTTCTTTCTAGAAATCTGAATATGAAAAATATGATGACTAAAAGATAGGAGAGAAATCAGGACAGCACTTTTGTCATGTGAGCAACCTTTGTCAAAATGAATTATAGAAAGATTCTTTATTCATTTCTTGCCTCCAAGTCTATATTGCATAATGTTGCATTATATAAAACATAAAACGTACTGCCAAATCGCATGCTTGCTGTGTCTTAGAAGCACAAAATAATTCATTTACAGCAAACTTCAAAAGTACCTTAACGTCAGCAAATTTTCATTATCAAAATTTTTTAGTCGACTAAGGGTATTTCTTGCGATGGACCAAACAAAGGAATGAAAATTCACAAATATAATTGACAGGGTAAAAAGAAACTTCAAATAGATTAGAATTCTGAGTCTTGGAGAAAAGGAAGCAAAAGAAAACGAAAATAATAATAAGAAACAGAAAAAATACATAGGATGAAAGGAGGAAATGTAGAGAGATATTCACTGTAAAGATAGTGGAATAATGGCGAGAAACAAAACAAGGAGTTAAAGATGAATGGGGAAAGGAAAGAGCAACAGAGGAAGAACATGAAGAATAATAGATAAATGAAAAAGAAGGAAAAAGAAATATGAAATTAATTTATGAAACTTATGCAGATCGCTGAACTTAATGCAAACTTACCACCATTTTTGCTATTTGCAAGATTTTCATCACCAAGACCAGTAGGGAAGATTTTAATCCCAGAGAGTTTGTGCATTGATTTATCCAATGTCTTTGCGGCCTAAAATCAACAAATATTTTATTTATTTTGCTATATGACGTAGGTACTCTCCTCATCAAATAACTATTATTTGGTCATGGTTTCAAATTATATAAACCTAGCAAAAACTCTTTTTTTTCAAAAATTTAAAAAAAATTTACATGTTTCAATAAAAACATAAATACTTACTAGATTGAAATTATTTTCATAAAGGGAATTGCCAAGCCCAAACACTGCATATTTTAATCCACCCAGTAAACCTTTAGGCATTCTGCAGTCGTCACTAGATTCCACAATGTATTTATAAAACCATTTTGCTGACTCAGGGGCTTCTCCATTTGTATATGTTGAAATGACGAAAATGAACAAAATTTCTTTCTCAATCTGTAAAGAGCAAAGTAGACAATATCGTATCAGAATTTGGAAGAAAAAGCATTTGTTTTATGTTTTTATTGTGCAGAAGATTTTGGTATAAATGACAGAGTAAATCCTCTATTAATTGACTAAGAGGTGAACAAAAATCCCTGCTCTCGAAATGAGCGGCATTTATTGCTGGGTAAAGATGGTTTAACACTAGTTTATCGGAGGATAAATTCATTATTGTTTGCTATCACATGGCAAATGCTTCTCATCTTTAGCACCCAGGTCCCTAGACTATACATGGCTCATTCACTTGTTTAGGTTTCGAAGCATATTCCATGTTCACCTTCATGAGCAGCAGTCATGTACAGTAACACTATCTCCAATGTATAGATTTATAAATCATAAATGACTTAACCTCGTCAACAAGTTTATCCTCAGGATCATATTCAGACATATTATAAACTTCTGTTGCATAAGATGCTTCATCAAACTTGAGCCTTAAAGCTTCTGCAAATTCCTATCAAAATAAAAAAAATTCATCTGTGAGATACCAACTGCAAAATTACACAAGGATGAAAATCGTTTTAATTTTCAATTCACAAAGATTTATCATAAAGAATTCTACTCAAAGATAGAATGAGCTAGCTGAACTTTGGATTTTCCCATTTTCATATCTTCAGAAAACATTCATGTCCAAGAAAAAAAGGTGCTTTTTGCTTAATACTGGCCTTCTTATGGCCTTGACATTTGACTTCGGCATTTTTGCAATCATGCCATATAACTCTGACATTGCTTTGGTACTAAGGAATGTGTGTAAAGTTGTAGAACAAACAAATCCAAACTTCATTTTAACTTACCTTTGCAGTCCCAGTTTGTGTACCATAGAATATTTTCACCCTCTTTAATTCATCTACATCACTTTGATTTTTCTTTATCTGCATTTGATGAATGAATTTTTTTCCATAAAATGTATATATACAAGAACATAGAATAAAAAGGTATTTAAAAAAATTATTTTTTCAAAACTTATCTTTTCAAAAGTGTGCTTCTTGAATGGAAACAAAAGATCATCAAACTTGAAGGTTTCAAAACTTGAGGGCTGCTATAACAACAAGGATCAAAGAGAAGCCAGAACAAAAGAACTGCAAAGGGGAGACAAGAAATCCATGAATGGCAATTTTGTTGAAGTATGGTGGAAAAATACTAATAAAAATTAAAATGTTGGATTTGTTCCCTTATAGGTAATTCCCCTTCTTATTCTTTCCCCATCCTCAACCAGGCTTAAATTTTTCAATATTTTTTCTCACTACATGGTTCATTTTTGTCTTTTCTCTATTAGCAAACAAAATGAGAATAAGACCCTTCCAAAAACAATCTTAAAGGTCAATAAAAACTTTGGTAGAAAATTAGGACTCATTTCATTGCTACTTCAAACCCAGCACATATATATAAATAATGTATCTATAACATGTTACCTTTTCAGGATCATCTTTGAGTGAAGTGGTAGATGCTTTTTGACCATTTACATTTTGGTACTTCAAAAGAAAATACCAAGTCATTCCAAAACTTCCCATGACAAAAGTAAAGAGAGGTATTCTTGCATAACTCCACCAATATACAAAGTCATCTGTCCACGAACTGTAGGATGCTTCTCTTGCTAAAATTAGAAAAAAAATTGCTTATAGATAAAGTATAATTTTTAGTCTTGGGTAGAATAAATAAGTTTTTTAGAATAATCCAAAGAACAAACAAAGTCAGTGTTTTTGTGATTCTTGTGCCTCATATCTCAGTCAACATAATATCATTAACCTTTATTGTTCTGCAGTCCCATTAAAGGTTTCCAAACACTTTCTTTCAAAAGGACTTACAAGCTAATTAAAAAAATATATGTTTTCTCATACACTTTTAGGAAGACATATCTTTTATCAAATTCCGATAAAAAATTCAAAGCGATGAAAATGAATTGAAGATGGGTAAAAGTTGACTTGAAGACCCTATCCCTTAAAAACATTCAGAAGTAGCTCCAATATTTGGATCCCTTTACTGGCCTTGATCATCAAATATATAAGCACATATAAGATATAGCAATATAGCAAAAAGCATATGGTCAGTGGGGGGAAAAAATGCGCATGGCGATTTTGGGAGTAAAAAATGCGCACCCATTTCTACAGCGCTGTGGAGGAGTAACCAACAGTTGGAGATAAGGCATGATAAACCAAACCTTTGATGATAGTTTCAATGAATACCAAATCCAAAAATAGTGCACTTTTGTTTTTCATTACGTATTTGAAAAGCGGAAGCTCCAATTTATGATGATATCAAGTTTTCCATGACAACGGTAAACTTTTCGATTTCTCAGCTCATTGACTGCATTCCAAAGGTATTATCACAGCATTACACTACTTCAGTGTTGAGGTCATTGCCCATAACCAGATGTTGTTGCTCCTCCCAAGTGGCATGTCTAGAGGGGCCTGCGCATTTTTTAACCTCAAATTTTCTGTAGTGAGGGGAAAAAATGCGCACCATAAAGTTATATTTTCGTCGGAAAAAGGCTCTGTATCTGTTCTTAAAACATGTGACATATGCAAGAATGAAACCATATTTCACAACCATATGGATTTGGGAAAATTATTTTCTAGAAACCAAGAAGTTTGCATAAAAGGTCAAGTTATAACTTTCTAAAAAGACTTTGGATCCTTTTCATAAGAGCATTTGCCTTTCTAATAATTCTTTTAAAAACGTATCAAAAGACGCTTTGCATGGAATATACCAAGAAGTTATCTTGTGCAGAGGGGCAGAGGGGAATACCTTATCTCGGGGGGATGTCAAAGTTTTGATTCCGTCAGCTGATCTAACTGTCGTCAGATGACTATGATGTAATATTTAAATTTTACCTTGCTGAAACAGCAATAAGTGAATTACAATAGATGCTATTTATGGGCCATTTTATGTCTTGCGTGTCTCTTGATGGCTATAAAAGCTTTTCCACTGAAGACAAGATCAGTTTATTTTAGAAGACTACAAATTAAGTCGCATTGCATAGATTGAAAGCAAAATGCCGAGGACGTATGTAAAAAAAGCAAAATCTTGGCAAGAGAGCGATATGGAGAACGCTTTGCTAGAAGTTTCAAGGGGCGATTTAAGCATCAGGAAAGCTGCAAAGACATATGGTTTGTCAGAATCGGTAAGTTACTTATTCAACTGATTCAACAGGCAGATATTTTGTGAACAATTTATTTTCGAAAGTTTATCAATCTTCAAAACCAGAGTAATTTTTACATGGCCGAATTAATTTCGATAAGATTGTAGTAGCTAAATCAAATTGAACAAAATGGAATAAATCTTTGCTTGATAATTATTTTTGAAAGAAATTAACACCTGATATTTAATCTCATAGAACATCCGCCGTCGAATTGGCAAAGAGAAGATTGGAGTGCCCGTAACACACCAAGGGCGAAATCCGATGCTGGACAAAGAGACGGAAAAAAATTTGGCTGAATGCATCAATGTTATGTGTAACCTTGGTTTTAGCCCCTGCACAAGTGAAATATTGGAGCTGGTCACTGAATATGTAGCCAAGAATAACATCGTGGTACCTCTGTTTAAAGATGGCAAACCAGGAAGATTTTGGCTGGCTGCTTTTATGAAAAGGAACAACCTTTCTCTGAAGAAGGCAGAAATGATCAGTGTGGCCAGAAAATCAGCAACAGGAAACCCTTTCGTAATATATGACTTTTATGAAAAAATTGATGAACTGGTCAAGGAAAAAGCATTTAAGCCTCATCAGATATGGAATTGCGACGAATCTGGTTTCCCGAATGACCCCCAGCGATGCAGAGTGATTGGGAAAAAAGGCCAACGCACATTCAGAATTACATGTGGTCCCGGAAGGGAAAACACAACAACACTTGCAGTTTGCAATGCTGCTGGCCGTGCTCTCGACCCACTGGTGGTTTTTTCCGGGAAAAATCTACAGTCAACATGGCGAGGAGAACGAGCACTGAAGGACACCTGGTATGGAGTTTCAGAGAACGGATGGATGACAAGTGAGCTCTTTGCATCTTGGTTTGACTTATTTGCCAAAAAGGTCACAGAGCGTCCACTGCTGCTTGTTTATGATGGTCATCTCACTCATGTGACTCTGCCAGTTATAGAGAGGGCAAGATCCGAAGACATTACTATTGTCAAATTGCCTCCCCATACTACAGATCTCCTTCAACCACTAGATGTTGCCTGTTTCGGACCACTAAAAAGGCTATGGGGACAGAAACTGAATGATTGGGTCAGCCAATGGGGTGCACGAGAACCAGTAAGAAAAGCGCAGTTTGTCAACCTGTTGTCGGAAATTTGGCATCTTGGTTTATCTTCTCAAAATATAAAAGCAGGGTTTGAAGCCACTGGGATTTTTCCTGTCGATAGCTCAAAATACCCAATTTCAAGGCTGGATGCCAACATGCTTAAAAAGTACAAGACCTGGGTTGAATCTGGTAAACCAGAAAATGCTCTTGACAACCTGTTGCACGAAGCAAGGACCAGTCCAAAAAAAGCAGCATCGCCAAAGAAAATGTCAACCCCCAAGAAGACATCAACACCAAAGAAGTTTTCTCCAAAAAAAACAGCATCCTTTAAAGAACAAGCTTCACCAGATTGCCCTGCCTGTAAGGAACTTGGTCCTATGCCATCAAATGCACCAGAAGGAAAGCAGTGGATAAGATCCTGGATTTTAGTCAACGACCCTGTGGTTGTCGCTACAGACTCTTCACCCTCAACTTCAGCAAGTTTTGAAGAACTTATTTTGCACAAAATGAAGGACTCGTCAAAAAAGGAAACCAAGAAGCGAAGAAAGATTGACCTGAAGACAAGAGTTGTGACCGATGATGATTTTTACAAAGCAATTAAGGAAAAGGAAGAGAATGAACCAAAGAAAGGAGGTATCAGAAAAAGAGGAAGACCAAGTAAGAACGCTGTTCAAGGAGGCGCAGAATGTAACATCTCAGCCGGGAAGCGACGGCGAACCGAATCAAATATCGCAAATGACGAAGCTATCTCAGACGATTCAACGGAAAGTAATGATTCCCAGAGTGACTGGAAAGAAACAAATAATGGAAAAGAAGTCGGAGAAATACAGAAAGAGCAAAAAGGCCAGGAATCTGCGGCAAAAAACAGAGGGAACACTGAAGAAAGTTTGGCTATGGAGATCAGCCTGATAACGGAACAAATGGATGATGACAAGAAAGGTCTTTTCTATTGCGTTTATTACGGGGACCAGTTTTATTGGGGGAAAGTACAAAAAACGTTTGCACAGGATCCTGAAGACAATGCTGACACAGTAGAGATGAACTTCCTCCGTTATCGAGGTGATGGATTTTGGGATTTCCCTAAACTCCAAGATGTTGAAATCGTTGATGTGAAGTACCTGTTTCTTGGCCCATGTCAACCATCGCAAATCGTCAGTGGCAAAGGATACAAATTCGAAGAAGATTCAGCTGCACACTCACGATTCAGTATAATAAGAAAACATGACTTCTACGGATGTTGAAACTATTTTTATTAGCTGTATTTTTAGTCTATTGACATATGTATTTTTTGTATTAAATGGAAATCTTGATTTAAAAAAATTATTTACAGCAAATATCAACAAATTTATTGAATCAAATCAACATTCTTTCATAATTGAGAGGTGCACAGTTTTTTGCCACATGTGCGCATTTTTTCTCCTTTTTGTGGTTAAAAAATGCGCACCAGTTTTTCATTCTTAAAAAATAATCTCTTAAAGAATGGGTAGCAATTTTTTGTTGCTAAAGAAACTTATCAGGGCTACTTTGTAACTATACATAATTTTTTCCAATATGTGTGAACAATCGGGGGGAAACCGAAAATTTCTCAAAAATGCGCATTTTTTCCCCCCACTGACCATATATAAGATATAAATAAAATCTGTCTTTTCCAGTTATAAATACTTATTTCTCCAAAATGCAATATTTGGTCCATTATTGACCATTCTTTCGGATTTAGATGGGTTTCAACAAACAGTTTCAGATGTGCAGGAGTTGGTGTGCAATGGAACTTTAAGTCAAAATGTCAGTGATTTTTTAAATTTAGAAAATGTTCATTTTGTACTCTTATTCTTGTAATTACTTGAAGGAGCAAATGTATGATAATGTATGATAACATATTTAAAAACAAACATCTATAGTCCCACACATAGTCCCAAGTGTTCAACCTCATTTTTAAAAAAAAAATTGGGTAAAGGCTAATCGTTTGACCTTTTGTCAAGTAAAGAGTATTTGAGGTAAACAGAGGACAATAGAACTGCATCATCTTCATAATAGGCCTTCGCAGCATTGATACTGTCTTGCTGTTATGTACTTTACTGGGTAGATTGGGCGATAACTCTTTTCCACAACCAAACATAATTTTTCAAATGCTGCCTTAATTGATATTCCCCTTTCTGATCTCTGTCTGTATGTAATTTGCGCAACCTAACTTCATGTCCCTTTTTTAAAAGCTTAATCCCCCCTAATGTTAAAGGCATTTGACATGCATAAGTACAGCAAATCCAAAAATAGCTTAGGCCAAATTGATCAGAGCACACGCACAAGAAAGGAATTAGAAACAGCTCACGTGAAACCACTGCGTGCTGCTCTAGAATTTCACAGATTTGCAGAAAGGTGGAAACTGTTCATGTTTTTTTCTATGTGCAATTGGATTGGTAAACTGCTCGTGGTTGAGTGGCTGTAAGCCACCTTTACCTCTGTCAAATGTCTTTAATATAACTGAATTCCTTTTTTTATCATATACAAAAATTGAAAAGACAGCTCTGAGATAACACCTTTGTCGTAAGAATCTTGTGTGTGCTGAAATTTTATTGAAATCAGTGGAGATTGGAATGAAGAGAATTTGTACGAACAGATCAACGAACGCTACAATTCAAGCGTCATTGGAAATTTGACTTAACTGGACATTTGACTTACTCTTACTGTTTTATAGTATCCAAACAAAATTGCTGCCAATTTCCATCTTTCATTAACAGACCTGTCAATCTAGCGTTTTCACAACCTTAAAATTTAAGATTTCATCTTTTAAGAAAAACAGGGAAATTTGGTCCGTATAACATTTTCCTGCTGGGCATACAGTTAACAGCAAAACTTAAAATGACACATTTTATTCTTAATGAATTTTATTGTTTTTGTTCACTCTTAGGCAAGCACTAGCGAAAAATTTTGCCATGAAGAAACTCATTTGCTAAAATTCTTTATTACAAGAATAACTCTGCCAAACCAAAAGAAGCAACGGGGAAAAAAATTTTAAAAAAAACTGGAGACCGGGAGGAATCAAGCAAAACTTGGATTCTCCAGGCGAAACCGGGAGAGTTGACTGGTCTGTGCGTTAAAGAAATCACGATACTAGGTCACATGGCTTTGAAATCGATAGTAACTTGTAATTCAGTCAACAAGTGAAATTGTACAGTTTTAAATGAAACTTGATGCAGAAAAAGAAAGTCTTATGCCCTTATACAATATAATAATTATTTATACCTCTCTCTGATGTTTCTCCCGAAGCAGCAGCTGAGAAAAAGACCAAAAAACAACTTAAAAGCACAGCCAAACAAATTTTGTGTCCAGCCATCTTTTTTCTTACTCGTGCTTGGCTGAATGGAAAGGAGACTGAACAAGATGTACTTCAAATAACAAAGTCACGAATTCTTTTATCCATCAACAACTTTGACAGCGTGAAATGTAGGAGTGCCATCCTAAAAATTGGAAGGGGGCTGTGCTGTAGACAAATTCTGGAAGCCACATCCAATGTACTTGCATTTGTGTTTAAGATTCTTTTTATGTATATGAAATCATTCAAACCATTCAGCGACTCAAAAATACTGCTACTTAGATAATTGCTCATTTATGGAAAATCTTAAGGAAAAAAGGGTTACCAACACAGAATTCGTCCAACCAAAAATGTTTGTTAAAGGGGGGCCAAATCCCCGAAATTTCTCGAAACCCAAACGAGGGGCTGAGCCCCTAAAGCCCTCCCTCCGCGGAACCCATGTGAAATGATGATTATCATTTATTCTATATGTTTTCTTAATTGTATTTCTTACGAACAATACAAAAAGTAGGTAGTTGATATTGCACTCTCTCATATCCCACAGTCAAATATGATCCTTGCTTTGGTGAATAGGCCAATATCAAGGGATAAATGAGGTTGACATTATAAAAACAAACCACCGAGCGACAGGGCTAACCTGTTGTAGGGGGGAAATTTATCTAATTTGTTAAAATGCTGAAAAGGAGCTTGCAGAACATCTACGTTTAACATGTCTTCACTGAAGTTTTTGAAAAAAATTTAATTAAGAAGGATGGACGAAGAAAGATAAAGCAAATGTCCTTCTAGGAGGCTAATCCATGCCAAGTGTCCTAGTGGATGGATCTTCGTGCGAAGAATGGTATTTCAAAATTTGAAAATGGCTTTTAAAAAAAGCAAACATTTTGAAAAATACTTAAAGCTTTTCGTCTTACACTCCTCAGAGTACATAGCGTCAGAGTAAGGGTTGTTCTTTTGGACCCCTACTCTGATGTTTTACACCCTGAGGAGGGTCAGACAAAAAGCTTTTAGTATGTTATAAAATGTTTGCTTTTTTCAAAGCAACTTGATTAAATTTGATTTTTTTTCTGTTCAATTATGAGTGTATGTACCATATGAGACATTACCTAATAATTCCTCTTCAATCTCAGAAATAAGACGTGGAATTTAGTAAATTATTTTCGACAAATATCTTGTGCTTTTACTCTTGTGCAAATATCTAAGAGTAACAAGAAACCTATAGCTTTAATCAGTACAGAAATTTATTCACGTAGAAGTAATTGCAATGAATATTAAAGCAGTGTTCTGTACGCAAATAATTTTGATTATGATAGTATGCAGATGTTTTATAAAAATTCAACTTTATTATCGTGTGGTGCAATAAGAATAAATTAAATCTAAATTATCTAACACATATTCAACAACGGATGGATTTAAAATCGCTTGAAATAAAAGATAGAAAAATTGTATATATAAAGTAAGAGAAAAATAGAGAAAAATTGCTAGCAATGCATAAATAGAGTTAGCTTATGAATTTTGTAGGATTGTTGCATAATTGTTTTATTAAAAGGGATTGAAAATTCACCATTAGTTAATAGAAACATATTTTGAAGCATCCACTAAATTATGTTACTACCTTCAACAAAATATGTCAAATCTATGAAAAATAAAAAAAGTATATTTATAGTTGATGCAAACATGATAGTGCTTATCTGATTTGCGAAATGTAACTTTCTTGCAAATTTGTTGGCAGACCTTTAGAGTCAAAAAGGTATGGAAGAAATTGCAATTGGTGACTTTTACGACGCAAAGTTTTGCTGAAGCAAAGACGAGAAAAATCTTACACAACATCTATTAACTAATTGCTTGAAATAAGAACATTCTTCCTTAGATGCAAACTATAAATTCTAAATAAACAAATAACTACATGTAGATCACGTGAAAATGTCTTAAAATTTAAACAGGATCAAATTATGCACTGCGTGAAAAATTCATTCAAAGCCATTTAAATTATTTGGCACTTCTAAAAATGTTAAACAGAATCACGTACAATTTAGCTTAACACCTCAAATCTAAATATCTAATGATTTATTTTTAATTCTAAAACATAATTCTATCTTCTTCGATTCTAAGCGTTACAGCGGTGACGATGATGTAAATATCACAGATGATAACTCAGAGGAAAATATGCCGATGGATCAAGAAGTCTAAGCAATTTGGGCATTATGGCAAGGACCAGTGAAAACCTGGCAGCTATAGCAAACACAGGTAGAAAACACATTTGTAGGACGTCATATTAGCAAAGGAGGCAACAGACCCTAGGCAATAACAGACGATTCACAAATTGTCTCCAGGCAACAACTCCAGTCACCAAGCTCTTTGACATATATGACACATAACTGATTGAAATATCTATCCAGTTTTGCCATGGCTGCCGGAAAAGACCTGCGAAGAACCTTAACTAATCACTATAAAATGATTCCAACGTTGTCCTTTCGCAATTTGCTATTAAGCCTGCGATCCAATACACATGAACCATCATATGGCGTAGGTGCTCCCTGTATCGGCTTATAATTTCCTCGAGGTTGGTAGTATGTCTCTTGGTGATTCGTGCGTTTTCCATAAACTGCAGTCTTGTAATCCCTAAAATTTCATAAATAGATTCGTGAAAAGGGGGTCTAGCGACGACAAAATCTTGTGGCTACGCGTCAGTTGATATGCTAGGCGCTAATTGCAGAATAATATTAGATTAAACCGGGTTCAACTTAATTTTCAACAAACAGAAACAAACAGAAACAAACAGAGACAAAAGTGAATCCAGAATTGTCACACGTTTTGGATAATTTGCTATTTGACAATGAATTTTGAAATTTCATAAAAAATCGGCTTTATAAAAGACCAGATTTAAATGCCAACATTTTGAAAAAAAATGCAGAAATTTTAATTTATAGAAGGGAAAATTCCACCCAACAGTAGAATAATCTCATGATAGTGCGTTAAATGGACATTTGTGTCTTATGGCGTAGAGGGGCTGTGTAGCAGCGACAACTGAAACCTGCAAAACCTGCGATTAATTTCTTGTTTCAGCATTTTTGGATAGAAAAAGACAAAATATCTTGCAAATAATGTATTTACAGAAAATTAAAGTCTAGATAAGGGTTAATTTATCAATGTGTAAAATAAAGAAATTGGATTTATCAAGAATGTGACCACATATACCCTTTCAAAGAATCTGGTGGTACCAGCACATAGATACGGAAAGAAGAATAATATGCAAAATGCAAGAAAGAAACCCACCTGAACGTAGCTTCAGCCATTGTCTTTGAGTTAGAAAATTGCGCGTGCAAAGTTGCCATTGCATTGCCAAATATGTAATCCCTTTGGGATATGAACATGCAGTTTCCTGGAAATAAAAAACAAAAATGACTAAGTACACATACAAAGTGATTTGATATTGTTGGAATGGAAATGGCTTGGCTTAAAAATACATTGCGGGATAAAAATGATGCAAACAGGGAAAGAAAAGCGATATGCGATGAAAAAGAATAAAAAAATAAACGTTGCGATGTGGATCGAGGCGTAAGTTTTTTACATATGTAAACTATTGTTGGTCTTATGAAGGGTATCTATTGTTGACTCTTTGGAGGTACTAAATAATGGATATCAAAGACTAAAACGGTTTTCATGTTTGGAAAACCAGATGGTCTCTAAATGCTGCTAAAAATGTCTCTATAAATACGTAACGACGGCTACTGTAAAATGTACATAAGTTTTCGATGACTCAAAGGAAAAGATAGGACTATATAAAAAAGTTTTGGTAACTTTATATTTTCAAGGGATGTCATCGAAGGGAAGATAAGCGGCAAAAAGAGCAGAGGAAGGAAGAGAATGACATTGTTCGATCATTGGCGTAAGAAAGAAAATGGCAGAACTGAAACATATGGAGAAATCAAGCGTAGAGCTGAAGATCGTGATGGTTGGAGCGTGTGGCGCTAAACCTGCCTCGCTGCAGACAACCACGAAGAAGAAGAATACTTTCAAGCTTTCAAATAAGGCATAAATAGGGAATTTTAGCATAGGATTTGAGCTAAACAGTGGATGAAAAGGTGTTATGGATCAATTTCAAGTTCTTGCATGTGATAAATCTGCTGCAGGATCTGATTGGGCGAAATCGCAGGTCTTCATTTGATTTGCTGTTTGCAGATTGACAGACTGAGTCTGACCAATCACATTCGCTCTTATAGCAGACACGTGCCATGACAGTAGATCTTTCGTGTGCTTTGAGGAGCGTGGTTGAATCGAGAGACTTACCTGCTTGCGTCTTTTGTTCACTGTTATAGGTTAAGTAGACGAATTCATCGCTGTATTTCTAGAAGTAAAAAAATGCTGGTCACTAGGGTTAACAAATGGAAGCTTATTGGAAAATGCAAGACAGTTTAGGAATCAACAGGATTGAAGAATTGACAAGTACTAACGAACTGAGTACTTCACAAAATTACAAGAATGCAGGTCGAGATTTGCACAAAAAGGTAGCCTGCAAGTAACTGCTCAGAGAAAAACGCCCAGAAGCGACAAAAATTAATATCCAAATATTGGCAAAAAATGACTTGAAATAATGAAATAAGCTTCTGATTGGTTTCTTTGTTTGACTTATCGGAGAGCATCAGCCCTCAAAAAGTAAAAAAGATGCAAATGAAACGAGGTCTTTGAATTATCACGAACATTTTGCCTCCTTTTCTAGACACATATGCTGTTACAAAATGATGCAGCAACTGGAAAATCATACAAATCTAACTAAATCCTAACCTGAAAATAAAAACATATGCCATGTTCACATCAAAATTCAACTCAGCACCGATTTCAATGCAATTAAACGTGCAAATAAACTTACATTTGCTTCTGTGTTTTCAAGCAAGTGTTGGACGCCAAGTTCCAAGTCTCCCAACTGCGCAACAACGATTTCGTACTAAAAATATAGAGACAAAAAGAATTCTGAAAAATCCGTTCTAAAATGTTTGTAAATATTCAATTGATTTATGTGTGTTTGTTGCTGTATTATGACTTAATGCACTTTTCCAGAAAAAAATTAGTTATTGAACTTAAACATTGCTCCACAAACAGCTTAATACCTTCTTTCACAAAACTCATAATTGTCGTTATTTTTTTCTGGTCCTGCTATTTTTTCATCTTACAAGAAAACGAATTTTATAAGAAACTATCAGGCCATTTTTCAAAATTTATTCTTTTCATAAGAAACTTTACAGTCTAATCGAAGAAATGAGCTTCCCATGTGCGTGGTCTTACAGTCTTGCACAGGAATTTTTTTCAACGATTTAGGATGTTTATGTGATCTTTGCAACAAAAATACATAAGATACAAAATATATCCGTTACCATGGGCGTAGGGCCTAAGACATCTTAAAATCATTGAAGAATCATTTGAAGAAGTTAAATATCAATGTTCATACTATAGAGCGTAGCATCTTCTGGTCATAGTCTGACTGAGGTTCAAGAAACACTATAAGGACGGTGTTTGAATTTGATTGGACATAAAGATGCAACGTCATCAAATCGTCTTTATCCTGCAAAAGATTAAAAGAGGAGTAACCACTGGTTTACTGCAAAATTTCTCGATTAAATCGAAAAATCCAGCTGTGTTAGGAAACAATGACACAAAATTACAGCATACAAAAAGGGAATTTTAATGGAGTATTTAAAGTTTAATATTCACCACAGCATTTCAGTATTTGTTACATTATCTTAACATAGATATACAGGGTTACAATTCAGAAATTAATATCTGCTTTACAAATGGCCTTGTGAAAAAAACCAGTGCACAGTATGAATTCATTTAGACTAAATGAATAATTATATAAAAATTCATCTAATTCATAAAAAAAGTAAAGAAACGAAAATAAGGCCGACTTTTTTTTGAGAACCCTGTAAATTTTCAACTTAGCTTTAAAACAGGGGATATGGGGTGCCAGCTTTGTTTCTGAGTCTAGATCATTCCAAATCTAGATTGACAAAGTCAGCTTTAGGGCACGGAGAAGCTAAGCTTATCGAGCAGTGTCCTGGTCCTGTTTCACTATATGACCATACCTAGTGGTTTCTACACCCAGTAATACAGAGAACATGCACCTCTTGTCACTCTCAGAGAACTGGCCTGTCATATTAAAGTTTGGTCCTGAGCAATCTAGCAGCTTTTCACAGGAAGCATCCCATATAATGATGAAGGGGCTGCTGGTTAAAGGAACAAAGGAATTCGGTGGGTTTTGTCATATTTCAAGATGAATGACAAAGCATACTTTTCATGAATACTTGTTCATCTTGTACAATTTCAGCTTTCATTAACATACTGGTTATCCCTGGGGGAGAAGGCTGACTTCCCAAGAGAAAACACAGCTGTTCCTTGGTGTCCCAGTTGGCCGTTGAAAAAGGGGCGCAAATTTTAGAGTGCTAAAAACACCGTTTTAAGTTTTTGCCGTGTTTTAAATGGAGAAATATTATCAATTTATTTCTTTTTCTGAAGAAACACTAAGTTGAAAAGAGCTGCAAGGGGTTGCTTGGCTACCTGAAAACCCCCTGGGGGCGGCAGCCATATACATGGAGATCTATAATCAAAGAAAAAGCATTTAAACTTCCATATTGCCTCTGAAGAAAAAAATAAACATACCTCAAGCAAGGTTTCTTTAGTCCAGCCAGAATTTGATTCATCCCTAGATTGCGACACTTCTTTTTCTGTGGCCTCGTTTCGCTGTCTGTCTAGATCCTTATCCATACTTGAATATCCATCGTCTCCTGATAAATGAATCTCGTTTTCACGGAGCTTTTCTGATTTGAGTTTTTGTACAACAGCATCAGCAAATGCACTGTTTTTACGTTGTTCCCGCGTTTGTGATGAATAAACGGTATTTCCTGTAGGTTTAATTCTATCATACTCTTTACAAGCAAGCTCGTTTATCTTTGTGTCTATGTGGTGTAAGACTGGTTTTGGTCGATTATTGTCTTCGAAACTTGACGCTATATCAGATGATAGGTTTCGGCTTAAAGACGATTCGTTTACAATTCCTGAACATGAACTCTGTAGGTTACTATTATCAGTCGACGCTAAGGACGCTGAATCAGAATCAATGTCGTTTGATTTGCAGTCACTACTTTTTGATAAAACTTTCTTAATATCTCCATCCAAATCATTTTGTTCATTAACAAAGTTTTCAGAGGTATCTCGATCTTGATGTTCAAAATCTGCCAAAACTAAAAATCTAGATGAATCATCAGACATTTTATCTTTGTCGCGGCTATTCAAGCCCGTATTGACGTCAGTAAGACGATTTGATTCATTCTCGTTGACTTCGGTGTCATCGACTGACAAAGTACCAAGTTCAGTAGGTGTACCGTTTTGATCTGTCCGTATAGTTGTATCCTCGTGAATTATACTATCTGAAGCATTATCTACTTTCTTACTAAAAATACAGTCCATTTTCTGACTATTTAGATCAACTTTGACGTCATCAGCTTGATAGTTCTTTGTTTTTTCGCTACATTTTTCAATATATTCACAAGTTCTCTTAAATGCATTGATTGTCGTGTCGTCACCTACAGGCGTGACGTCATCATTACTAGTCCATTCCGCTTGCGACGACCAAGTTTGGCTAGGCCTAGACTGTCTGTTATCCGTTCCATCATCGTTTTCTTTATAACAAAGGTTAAACTTCCGGACACTTTCCTTGAGATCTTCTAGATTCCCTCCAAATTTCTTTTCTAAAATAGCGTCAATTTCGGATCCATCGAAGGAATTCGACCTTGCTTTTTCGCTATGCCAATCCAACGAATCACTTTCTAGGTTAGAATAGGTAGAAAAATCGATGTTGGCAGACGAATTTGTGCTTTTTCGAGACCTGAGCTCTGTCTGGTCACTGATTGAGCTTGATTCTGAAATATTCAAATCCCTAGATAAAACCCCACTATCTTTGTCTTCATTGAAACCAAACGTTGTTGACATTGCCAACGTTTTATCATCAGGTGATCTTCCCACAAGGCTCCTTCCTAGAGACATTGATTTTGAAATATTACTTAAAAATTCATCTACGCGGTCTGACCGTCTCTCAAGAGATCTTGCTTCCATGTCATTCTCAGATGAATTTCTCCGGTTCCTTTTATTCTTCATAAGCGAATATGGCGTGCGATTTGAAGTTTCAAAGATTTCTTCGTACACTTTTCTTCGGACATATACTGGATATATTCGGACACCTTGTGGAAGGTCTCCATCTAAAAATAAATAAATGATAAAATGAAAATATTGCTTCATTAATACATGACTACCCCTGGCAATATCGGATTCACGTCAAGCTATCATAAAAATACTTCTTCATAAAACTTTGGCGATTTACCAACAGTTATTAGCAAATGATGAGAATGTACCAAACAATTTAAAAAAGTAGATAAAATAAAGAGATTGACAATACAGCTGGCACCGAGGCAATCATAGAAGATAAAACAGTTAATATCAAGTAACAGTACATACCAATGTTTAAATGAGAAATGGGAAGCTGGAAAATAAGATGGGTTTTACGATAATACAATCATGTGAATACTGGAATGCTGTTAATGTCTTAAATATAGAAAAGTCTTTAGTTTTGGTACTACGAAAACAAACATACTAAATCACATTTCATCAGACGTTCCTCAGAGTATAAGCGTTGAATAAAGCCTAAAGGTAACCTGAAGTTTATATCCAGATGCGGATCAAAGGTCACGTGACAGAAAGAATGGCGCGTTGATTGGTTCTTGTTTTGACCAATCAGCGACCGCTTATCCCCATATAGTTGAAGATTCCAAGAAAAAAGCGAATTTATCTTTTTTGCTACGAATTTAGCTATACACTTACGACCTCATATTTGACTTTATTTATAAATCATTTGAGTTACTCTGAGGGAAACCAGCTGATTGGCCCACACCGTTTATTTGTGCATATCCAGCAATGATGTTTCTTTATCATTGCATTTGTCACTACCAAACTTCCGAAGATAATTTTTAGGACACTGAGGAACTATGCTTATAAGTGTCCTGGTCCTTTCTTTTGTTGTATCCACACCTCGCGATTCCTACGCCTGGAATTACAGAGAGCTAGCGACTCTCATTACTCATGCCAGAGACGCTTGGAACTGTAGTCTACGACCTGACCCTTCCTCAAATTGAGGCTAGACAACGAGACATCATCTCTTTTGGAGATTTTTGCAGGTAGTGCCGCCTTCAAATCCAAAGTTTGGTCAGAGCGATTGATTTTCCCGGCCATTTAAGAGGTCTTACAGCTGGCATTCCGAAATTTTACTAATTCATGAATGAAAAATATGCTAACAAAGCAACTCACGTGATCTTGAGAAGGCCTTAGGAAAGCAAGAAACCGAAGAATATCAGGCTGGACTTGAGATGCTACAACCCTTGAAACAAATGAGGATAACAAATGAAAAACGAATAAAAATAGCTTGAATAAAAAATATAAAGTAAAACATCAGAAATGAAGAGTTCCAATTCTATGGCTCGTACACTTTTTGATGTAAAATCATTTGAATCTCGAGGTGTATATGATCTGTAAAAGTTACCACACCTATATTGAAGATGTTTGGCAAAAGATTGAAGAAAAGTTTTGACTCACTCAGGGCAGATGTCAGGGAAACGAGAAGGTCAACCCTCACAAAAACCCTTTAAAGTCAGATTTGCACAAAATAACTCCTATTTCTGCTCCCTTGCTTCGTTGGTGGCTCAATCTGACTCATTATCCCAAAGGGCTTCAAAAACGTTTTGGTGGCGCATCCTATGTAGTATCTACTCTAAACTTTTGAAGTCAGAGGAATATTGTCTTTAAAAATAGATGCCCCAGTCACATGAACAGCTAATAATGAGACATTACTGAATAACAGAGCGTTTAAGGGCCAATTTTAAGCACATCTGCAGTAACTGGAGTGTCCTTACAAAGGCTTGGAATTTAGGACCTTAAAATAATTCAATTCAAATTATTGTTAAATCTCTGTCTGCTTTAAGCACCGATTAATTAATTAACCACCTAATTGCAAAGAATAGAAAGCATTGGTAAGAATAGCATAAAAAAGCAGTTACTTTTCTTTTGATATAATGCAGCCACAAAGTGCTTGTGTGCGTCGCTGGCAGGCTTCCAGTATTTGCATTGCCTTTAAATATGTAAATAATCCATACTAAAAGGAAATGAACCAATTGTATTATATTGAATGATCCTTTTTAAAATAGTATCATAAAATAGATCAGCATAGAAGGTAAATATGCAAGCGGTCATGTGTGTCAGTTCATAATGGAATGATTAAACAGATCAACTTTCATTATAATGAAATGTAGAATGTCTCAGCAAAGAGTGCTTAGAGATTCGGCTTTGTAAGGTGGATTTGAAGACACCAAATAGGTGGGATTTAAATAATATCCTTTCAGCAGCTATGAATATGGAGGTGGCTCAATTTTTGCAGTGTTTAAAATAAGGATAGGGAAGAAAAGGATACAGGAAAAGCATTGGGAAATGCACTGAAAACGGGGAGAGAAAACAGACAAGCGAAATTAGTAAAACCTTGGTCTAGAAGAAAGGACATTCACAAGATTGAATGGGAGCTTTCCTTGTTGTCAAGAAAAAGCTTTACTTCTAAAGGGGTGTTGGATGATGTGTACATCAGAGAGAATGATTCCTGCCCCACCCCCCTAGGAATTACATTTTTTGATTAATTAAGTTTTTTCTATATACAGTCCTGTTCTATACAACAAAGTGTGTACAGATTTGCCTTTATGACAAAGAACGCTTTATGACAGACAGGTAAAACAGTAATCTTTTTTAAAACATTTTGAACATCTAAGCCTAGCTTGAAAATGCTTAAGAACTTTAAGAACTAGATTTTGAAAAACAATAGAGAAGCAAGAAAGATGAGAGAAACCACCATTTTTGCTATAGTACTTTCGGCCAGACAGTTTGACTGTGGACAGCAAGATACATTTCTACATTCAGAAACAAAATATAGGTTTAATTTACTAATAACTCAAAATTTTTCTACAATGACATTGGTGGAATTATCTACCCAAGACATTGTACACAAATTATTCCGACGTCATAAGAAACAACTGCAAAGAAAGGTTAATGGTCATTAATAACAGAGCAACTATTTACCTTTCCAAAATCCAAATACTGCACTGTATCCAAAAATGCAAGAGTGTCTTGGCGGTAGTGTCTGACAAAAGGCACATAGCAATGCCAAATTTCAATCATCCTTCTTTTGACTTCATCTATTGGCTTATCTTCCTGAAAGACATTTTAATATGATATTTTTAAATAAATTTACATAGAAGCATAGAATATATGAAGGAACTAAGATATAAATGCAACGTTTTAAACAAATCTTTCGCAAATGATGCATAGTTTAAGTGCATATTGATGCAAAAAAGGTTCCAATCTTTTTGGTGCTGGCCATTTTCCTAAAAGGATTAAATGTAATCCTTTGATCAGCACCTAACATTTACAGTTTAAACCTGTTTAGTTGGACCTTCAACAGGGTAAGGAACTGGCCTTACTTAGCAAATGTCTTAACTTATCTGGGGTATGTTTTTTGACTTCATAAGAGTGGCAAAAGAGAATGAAAAGTCAGTTCGACTAATTTCAAATCCAAAGTTAAAAGGAGAACGTTTTGATTGGATTTAACTGTAGTTCTCTTGGAAAAGTTGGGCGAAATCATTTTTATAAACTTATGATTTCACTTGATTATACAACCTGGCGAATTCGCAGTATGAAAATTTATCTGAAAATGAAGCAAATTATAATAAATCCTGTGATAATTTCAGTTTTGATACAGAAAATTCTAATATTTCATTCAGCTTTTCAAGTCGTTAATTGAACTGCAGAGAATTCGGTCAGGAAGCAAAGTCCAATAGACTCAACCCAAGCACTCAATAGTTGAGTCATTGAAGACAAATGCCTTACGAGACATAGGGGCAAGAAAGGCTGCAGCCCCCTATTCAGTCAATATTTAATCCATTTCAGGCTGCATTCAGGTAGATCTAACTCATTTAAGCAATGACATCGCTGCAAGATCCAAACTCAGCCTCCTTAGCATTTTGCAACTGCTACACTCACAACTGGAGTTGTGGCTAAATTGTTTCCTCCATCAAAGGGATGGGCTCAAGAGCTTTTATGACAATATTGACCACCACACAGTAAACAAGAAAAACAGATAAGATAAACATACATTTACATGGTTATCATAAACAAATTTCTCTCAAATTAAAGAGGAAAAAGTATTTGGTCAATTTTACTCCTTTCTACAAACTTTTTCATCATGACAAATCCAAATTACAACAATTTAAAAAAACATTTTTGAACATTACAAATGACTTACCTGCAAAACTGAATCAAAGGATTTGTGAAAAAACTGGAATACACTGTACAAATCTGACAATAGCTTAGAAAGCAGATTATCAGCATCTGATAGTTTGCCACCCAGAGCCTAGAAAAAAGTATGAGGAAAAATGTCAGGCACTTGAATAATAACAAAAAGCTTATAAATTCTATTGACAACATCGTAAATATGAATTTGAAAAAATTAGATACAGCAATAAATCTTAAAGATATGTTAAAACAACGATGAATGAAAATTTGATGCTATTTAACCAACAAAATATTACTTGCTGAAAAATTTCACTTTATAAAGATGATAAATATGTTTGACATGATAATATAATTGATAAAAACTATAACAGATAAAAATTGATCACTTAATATTAAAATACATACTAACTAAATAGACAATATATCAACATATTGCAAACATACTAATATATCAGATTTCTTATCACATTCTTATTAAGGTGCTGCCAATGTAATGTTGGACTATAATTCTGATGAAGACTTGGCTGCAAGCTTTCTTCCAAAAATATTTCCCAAACATCTTAATGCTTTTAATGATCATAAGTTTGAAGCAATCTTCACACAAACACAAAACAACAGTGAGATATTGCCTCAAAATACAAAATCTTTTGACACAGCTTTCAATCAGTATTGAGTAATAAATGCACAAAATTTAAAAAAAAATGAGAAGAAAAACAATTTATACTTATGTAAAAGGAAAAATAGCTTACAAAAACAAAGAAATTTGCTAAAAATCAAACATACCATGACAAAATTGTCTACACATTTTATTGCAAATTTTCCATTTTTGAGTTTGAATATCCTTGGTGGGACAACAAGAAGCCCTTCAAAAAAGGACACCATCCCCACAAGTTGTCCACATAGAGAGCATTGATCTTTAATTGGCACCTTAAAAAGATAATTCCAAAATCTAGAGACATTGTTGGGAAAGCACTGCTTTGTAATGAATTTCAAAACCAGGAGAACGATCATAAACATATTTGATAGTTCTTTGATGCCTTTTATGAATGCCTGGGGGATGTGCCCACCAGGAATCTGGGGACACTGAAGGCAATCTGACTCTTAAAAAAGTCAGAAAATTCAAAACCAATCAAAACAAAGAACCAACCATACATGCTATTCTCTTTCTCATGTTAAATTTGGTCCGAATCTGGATGCATTTTTAGTAGTATAGCTTTTCTGTTGATATTTTTATGTTTATGTGTTCTTGCTAAATGTGTTCCTAAAAATTTGCAAAACCTTAACCGCCTATTATCATGATCATGTCAAATACAAACTGTTTATGCTATGGAGCCAAATTCTAGCATCTCCATTAGATATTTTGCAGGAGTTTCCAGTCACAAACCTTCAATTTTTTCCTTCGGCTTACCATGGTGCTGGGCTTGATTAAACTCCTGAGCAATCTTGACATTTTGGCATTATGATAAAAGAAAGCTTACAAAAATGTTATACTTTCAAATTTTGTCTTGCCCCTAGCCATGGTGGCACCCTTCACAAAATTTCTTTTGCTTGGAAATAAAGGATTTTTGTGACTTTTAGAGTGGCACGACAACTTTAATAACTACCTGCTTCTTTATATGAAATTTAGATCCAAAAAATGTGTTTCATACAAGAGGTACGTTTGAATTTATTATTAATAATTCTGAATGTTATATTCTAAAAGAGATTCAAAAATAAAAACTGTTCAGCTATCTTGAGGTAAACGAGCCAGAGGTCAAAGATTTCGAAGACCGTAGGACCAACCCCAAAACAAAAGCTACATTGCTATATCATCTATTCTTATTATATCAAAATTAATATCTTTATTCTATGAGGTTGCATATGAGATAAAGTTCAAGTAGCCTTTCGTAGTGAATCTCGAGTAAAAATATATTTTGTGATCACTGGTAAGCGAAAAAAAATTGTTACGATATTGCCTAGGCCCTAGCTTTCACTTTCATATAACACCAGTCACTTACGGCATTAGGCAAGAAAAACAGTATGGCAGTTTCTGGATCATCCCATTCGCTCTTCAAAGCAGTTCTGTCGTAAATGAAAAAGACATGGTCTTCTGGCCTCGACGAGCCAGCACGAACGCTTGCCCGCATTTCCTTTACCTGCATCTTGTAACATCAACAAGCAGGCGGTTTCTCAATATGTTTTTGTTAAGTCACATGGACATGTCATATGACCAGCTATGTTCCGCTACCAGGAATTGTGCCGTGCGTCTTCTGGCGGTTCTGGTTTTTCAGTCTTTTTTGGTTATGGCCCCGCCCGGCACAGTCAAATAGATGAGCTGACGGGCTGACTCTTGTTCCTCAGAAATCCATTGGACATGAAAATGACATTATGGTCACGGGTTTAGAAAAAAACGAGAAGGCGTTATTGAAAACAGGAAGAAAATTGAAGCAGAAAAGGAAGTAAAGGCAATAAATGCAATAGAGTGAGATGAAGGACAAGGAAGGGACTTTAACATGTGCGTAGCGGACAGAGGTGTGCCCAAGGGGGGAATAGGGGGTCCGCACCCCCCACTTTTCTATAATATGTTCCTTGAGATTTGTCCAAAACGAGGTAAACTAACATGAATCAAATAATGGGGAAACATTTGCAAAAAGGGGGTGTCTCCCGCATTTGCAAGTGCTTGGGCTTGGTCAAAAAATTTTTCCCCGGACCCACTGCTGCAACCCTGGGTACGCCAATGGTAGCGGATGCTTATTGCCCGAATGGAACCAAAAATGTGATAAGTAGGGGGTTGCGGCCCCCTAGATCCCATGTCTCCTAGGCCTATTATCTAAAGCCTGGCAACAGAAATTCTCTAGAAGGGATTCTTGATTTTGGGCAAAAAATTTTCTGACAAATACTTCGAGAAAACTGGGTGTTCAGGAACAGGCACTTACGGGAGCAAGACCCTTCTTGGTAATGCTGAAAGGCAGCCTTTCTTTCTTCTTGCTAATGCTAAAAGAAATCCTTTCCTAGGGTCCCTTCCTTTTTTATCACAAAATCCTTGCTTATTGAAAATCTGTTTTAACGAAATTCGTTGAAAAAAACCAATGTACTTTTGCAAATCGCTGCATTTATGAATATAATATTAACAACAACATCACAACTATTCGAAAAGAGAGAAATATGTTTACAGTGTATTTCAGGCAAAAAAGACTTTCAGTGACATTTTGCGAAGTTTTAATAGGTTTAGGCCTACACGCAATTCTGCGAAGACATCGGCATAGACTATTTGGTTATAAGATGAAAATACCATGGCAGGGGTGTAAAGCAAGGGGGCACAACCTTCACGAGCCTCAAAGCTCTACACCCGCCAGTCTTCTTGTTAATGACAAAAAGATGACATTAATGACAATAAATTTGTCACGAGGTCCCTCTTTGATCTTTTGAAAGCACGAAGCCCCGGGATGAGTATTTGTTCTCTCCTTTTCAATTTCTCATAAGAGTCTGCACGTAGGCTATTTAGCCCCCAGACCCCATTACTTTTAGCCAGTGGTCTGGAACCCAGATCAAGGTGAAGTCTAACTATATGGCCTCTCTTTGGTTGATTTGCAACAGTAATTTTGATGAGAATAATCTTACAAAATAAAGGATATATGTCAAAATGGACCCGTAATTAATTAGCTTAATTAGAAAGCTTATTTAATCTTTTGGTGGTACAAAGTTAAAAATGGCTTTGAAAAAAGCAAACATTTGAGTATACTGAAGCTTTTCGTCTGACACTCTTCAGGGTATAAAAATATTATTTACATTCACCGAAACACCCATGTTACTTAGTGTTTCTGATAAAGTTATTTTTTGTTCACTTTTAGAACGCAAACAACTATGTTATGTTAAAATTTTTCTCGATCTAAGAAGATTCCGGAAAAAATATAATTTTGTTTAGAAGAGTTGCGTGCTTAGAAGATTAAATCACAAAAACAGTTAAACTCAATTTCATTAATGCAAAACCAATTCGGTAGCCAGTTAAACATTTTTAATCTTATATTAAACTCCTGCCTCTACTACACCCTGTGTCAAATTCCTCAAAGACTTAATTAACAATTATTAGAAGAATAGAGTACCGAAGTGTCGACGCCATAAAAATATATTTTTAGAATCTATTATTGAAATTGCAGATATTGGATATTAGCTCTATATATTACATAGTTTACAAGTTTAAAAGTGGCAAAAAAGTTTTACAGGATTTTTTATTTCGTATTCAGAAAATTCCTGAAACATTGCAAAGCAGATGCATTAATAATTACCGAGGCATTTGTGAAGACAAATTTTTTAAGTTTGAATATGAAAAATAAATTCTGAAACTGGCTAGAAGGACGCCATCGAAGGGAACTGTTTTAGATTTGCTTAAAATGGTCAAAGTTGGACCGCTTTACACCAAAATATCACTTTGGGGTACACGTCTCAGGGACATGAACAGCGTCTCAGAGTCTAGAAGAAGCAGACAAAGCACTGACTATTTCTATGAAAATCTTATGTATACTTAATAGTCAAAATCAAAGATAACAGTTATACTGAAACTTGATCCTAATTCCAATATTCACTATTACGTATAAACTTTAATAGCAGTTACTAAAAATAATACTTCTGATTTTATACTATAAACTTAATGAATGAATATATCTATTTATCAATAACTGACAAGTTCATCCGTTTCAGTTCGAGCGGAAGCCGCGCTCTCGCTCTCAATCTCGTTTCCATTAAGAGGCTGGATCCCAACGGTAAACGTGTCACCCTTCTCTTCATTAGATTCCTCTGTGAGACCCGCTTCGTCTTTCGATTCGGTTTCTGGCGATGAAATACTTATAAACGTTGCATGGGTATCTTGGTGCTTCTTCAATGTGTTCTTGCTTTGAAACATCTGCTTGCAGATCGGGCATTCGAATTTCTTTGGCCTAAGATGCGTCTTGCGGTGTCTTTCCAGGCCAACGGTGCGGCCAAATCCTTTCCCGCAAACATCGCACACGTGCGGCTTATCATCACTATGAACATGCATGTGGGTGTTTAGGTTGCACTGCGCGCGGAAATTTTTCCCACATAATTTACATTCGTATGGCTTCTCCCCCGAATGTGTGCGCATATGCGTGATAAGGTTACACTGAACACTAAACTGTTTTTGGCAAACATCGCATGAATACGGTTTCTCTCCACTGTGAGTTCGTTTATGAATTAACATATTATGATAAACAGTGAAACTTTTGTCGCACAAATCGCAGCGGTAGGGCTTTTCACCGCTGTGTATCCGCGCGTGAGTGGTTAGGTTGCACTGAACACTGAAACTCTTTCCGCAAATCTTACATACGAACGGCTTTTCGCCGCTGTGCGTCCGCTTGTGTGTCACAAGGTTACACATGGCGTTGAACGCTTTATCGCATACGTCACACTTGAACGGCTTCTCGCCGCTATGTATCCGTTGGTGTTTTACTAGGGCAGAGCTCTACGAGAAACGAAAATAAAAACATTCAAGAACTAGAATGATAGCCAATGACAACCAGCTAGCTCAGGTTACCTACTGCGTTAATATTGCGTCACAACTTGGCACAGGTGCCTATCTTGGTGAGCTAGACACTTAACTAGAATCTGTTTACAGGATACTGCTTTGCACCATATCGGATTGGTTTCATACATTAGACGCAAAATATTTCCAAGGAAAAAGTTTCGGATGCCACAGTTCTGTCCGAAGATATTGATGTCCAAAACTTTTCCCGTGGGAAACATTTTGCGGTCTGACCTCTTTGCGCCAGAAAGTTTCTACACTAAAGAAAAATCATTGAAAAGACTTTCTATATCTAAAAATGGAATTTATTGCTCACAAACATTTTACATTTAAAGCAAACGTGTTGTAAGGGCAAGCTACAGCAGTGTCATAACTTGTATATAAGCTCTCTCAGACTACATCAGCGGAACGAAGATGACTCTCAACAGGGGCAATGTATACTTGAAAAAACATTGATTGTGAGGAGATGCCTTTAAGGTTTTTTCATTGCCCCAGCGACATTTTTTCTTAACTGATTCATACTGTTATTACCAACCTAAGGTATTGTCAACTCTTACCCCAAGATAGTTTGTTTTGTCAACTTGTTTAATTTTTTCTCGGTTTATTGATAGTTGAATGTTGATTCTTATATTTTTTCTTCTTAAAGAATGATCTACTCTGTTTTGGTAGGGTTGAGCCTGAGTTTTAAAATCAATTCTGCGATGTTTCGTAGCTCAGCGTGTGCTGTCTCCATTAGCTCTTTTCGGCCATTGGCCTCTTCCCTCTTAAGAATGCAACAATATGCTTACCTCGTGTTCGTATTATCAAATAACATTGCCTGAAAGCGGGATGAAACTCATTCGACTGTAACAACAATATAAGAAAAGCCTGGTGTTCACAGCTGGGTGTTGCAAAGAGATAAAAGACCAGGAAGCAAAACATTGCTCGGTTAAAACTGGTCAATTCTTTCCACTCTTTTTCTTTCATAAGAATATTGTTGATGAGAATATTCAGGCTCAGGATTATCCAATTTTTAAGAATACTATAAGAATATTGCTCAGCCTCAGCTCCAATATTTGTGTCTCGTTTTTCAGCAGTTGCCAGTTTTGGAATGTTCATAACAGGGAATCGTAGAGCTGACATAACTGTATTCTCAAAACGCGTGGTTTTTTTGAATAGTAGGCGATGTCCCCCTAAAGCCATTCCAGATTTGAAAAAAAGAATACTTCAAGAATATACTCGGGCCCAAAACAAAAATTTATAAAATATATCGAGGGTGGAAAAATTTTACAGTGTTCTTATCAAAAAATTGCCTGTTGGAATCTCAATTGCTTCAATCACAAAAAAGGAGCTTACATCGCAACTCCAGCGTGCACAATTTACATTACCATCCCTATTGTCGGTCTAGTACCTGTAACAATCACAAAAACCAAAATATTTTATTGAAAAAAAACTTTTAAAAAGAAGAATACATACATGCGAGAAGGTTTTGTCACAAATTTGGCACTTGGTATTTTTAACATTGGCCTCTGGTGCACCTGGATGGACTAACATGTGAGAAGTCAGTTCCTTCTTTTTAGTAAACTCTTCTAAGCATATAGTACATTTAAACATTCTTTTCTTCCTTGGTGTTTTGAGCATACTTCGATGAGGCAACCCTTGATTCTGGGCTTTGCCCGGCAGCTCGTATGTAATCAATTCGATTTCAAAGGTTGAATAGTTTTCTCCTTGCCCATCGCTAGCCCTTCCGCTATCAATGGCTGACCCAGATCGGCTATCGTCGCTCTGGGTACCAACGCCTTCCATATTTGCTTTGTCGTCATTATCCGCGTCTTTGGTATCACCTTTGAGAGCAAAGCGAAAAACCTGTAACTTTCCTTGTTATGTTAACCTTTGTCAAAATAATTTATCAAACAACGCATGAAACTAAATAGAAGATTCAATTAAAAGAATTGGTTTAAATTTGTATAACACCACAAGAAACAAACTATGAGCCTAAACAATAAACTTAACAAGTCGTCTATTTATTATTTACCTTGATACCTCTATAATTGCTGCAAAATTTGTATAAAAGCTTCTACCACAAGACCGACTTGAACACTTAAGCAAAGCCTTATTTCGGTACCAGAGTCTTGACAACAATAAGGATACCTGAACATGTTATAGGGCGGCTCCAAGCTGCAACTCCAAGTTTCACACTTAAAACAAACACAGGGCCCATACAATCGGGAGGGGGGGGGGGTGGTATGGCCATGCCCTCCCTCCACCACTTTTTGCGAAGCAAGTAGTTTCAAAGCTGCAGTAAAAGTGGAAATAATCCTTGCCCCCTATTTCGCTAGCCTTGGCCCCCACTCTCAAATTCGTGGTGTGGGCCCTGAAGCATCAGGCAACTGCTAAACTAGTTACATTAAGCGTGAAACTGAGAGTTGCCACTAATAGCTGTACAGTAGCGAATCTAGTTTTCAAAATGTAGGGAGGGGCGGCTAGGGGGGGACCAGTTTGCAATTAAAGGGCATCTTCCCTATGTAGGGCTTTCAACAGGATGCAAAGAAGCTCAGTTTGGGCTTACCCTGCGCACCCTATAGCTATGGAAAAAATACAAAATTATCAACTGTAACATTTGTACAAAACTGACTGTTGGGGGCCAAGCAAGGGGCCAAGAAATATTCTGGAGGGGCCACGGCCCCCTGACCCACCCTCCCCCCCAAGAAACGCCACTGGCTCTATAAACCAAATCATATACAGCTTTGTCTTGACGACATGAAACACTTTATGCTAAACCCCTTAAAATAAATATTCATCACATTAATATTCAGAACAGATTATAGTAAGTTGATCGTTTCTTTTTACTAAAGGCCAAGTAATTGATAAAAGATCCGAGAAATCTTTTACTTATTTTTTTCCTTTGTTGCACATAGGAAGTTTTTTTCAAAAACGTGTTTGCATCTACTGATTTATGAATGACTTTTATTCCTTGAAATATATTTTTCTACTCAGACTCTATTTCACTACTCGTTATACTAATAGGGAACTAGATGTTAACTACCTTAAATTTTCTTTTTAGCCCCCTCTCAATTAAACCCTCCTTATAAGCCCCCTTCTTCAGAAGGGAAAGTTTAATTAGCCCCCCCTCCTCAATTCAGGCCCCCCAAAATTTTCACTGATGGTGAAATAAGTAAACGTGACAAAAACAGAAATGTTCATCTTATTTTCATCATTCACACCATGTCTTTTCCAATCACGACAGATCCAAAGACAAAGATTTAATGTGCATTAGGCACAGGCCATGTGAGGACCTTTTACCAAAATTACAGGCCACTGGTACTTTGAGGGATGAAGTTGACCTTTTCGAATGCTCAATCTCAGAATGCGACATGGCCCAAGAAGATATTTTAGAATTAATAATTGATGACGATGACGATGACAATGTTATTGATATAGAAGGCTGATTTGATGTTTTTGATTTTGCAAATATGACAAAAAATTAGTTTACCCCTGTAAATGGTTTTTTATTACAAAATATTTATTAAGCCCCCTCTCTCAATTTAGCTCCCCTCTCTTATAAGCCCCACCTTGAATTGATGAAAAACGATAAGCTCCGGGGGGAGGAGCCATAACTTTTTTAATTGGCTTCTTGCATTATTCTTTGAAAACCCAGTTTTTTGTCATTTCAATTTGTGCACGAAATTTTCAAACTCTTATTGAAAAATTAACATTTTCATTAAAATTATGTAATTATTGCAATATAAGTAAAAATGAAAGACAAAAGAACAATTCAATCTTGATTGAATTGACTATTTCAATCATTTTATTAAATAATCCCCTAAAATTTCAATATATTTGAAAATAAATCTTTTTGAAAAATGACTTTACCCATTATTGAAAATTAATTAGTTTTTTCCAAAACCAATTGCTTAAAAAATGCTTCTTAAGATTGCTTCTGGAAAATAATTTGTTAAAAAAGATTTTTTTGCCAAACTTTTTTAAAATTTTTCAAAATAATTATTTGTTAACTTCTTTGTTTTAATAAGATATTTTTCATCTATATCCTTATTCAAAAAAGTCAAGTTTTCCTAATTTAAGAGCATTTAGAAGTTAGCCAAGGATTCTGTGAATAAAAAATCATCACACGATGCTTGAGGCACCCTACCTTTGTCAGAACTTTTCCAAAATTTTTAAAGCTTTCCATCAGGCCTTGCTCTTAGTAAAATGAAGGTGCTCCATAAAAAGAGCCCCTTAGAAACTCTAGGCGCTCTATTTCGCACCTCTAAGTAAATTTCCTTGAGAGCATCCTTCGAGAGCTTTAGGAGATCGAGAGCTTCAAATCGAAAGCTTCGGAAGAATGTTAAATATGAAATTCAACGGTGATACCACAAAGCACCATAATATGAAATAACAAAACATGCAACAAACACTATGTTAATATAAATATAGAAATATAATAAAACAAAGTCGCAAAATTGTTCAGATTTTTCTAGATATGTAAGTTGCCATCATTCGATGAGCTTTTATCAGTGTCAGTATCACTACTGTTATGTTCAGCTTCACATATTGCTTCATCAATACGCATGGCTTTAAATCGAACATTTAACTTTGTTCTTTTTTCATGTTATCCATTCTATAAGAAACGCTAGAACATCTACTACTCGCAAAAGCAAATGAAAAGCAATGCGATAATTTGGACGGAAACGTGATCGCTGATTTGCACAGGCGCTTTTAAGTTATTAAAAAAACTGAAAATAATATATACCTCAATAGAAGATTAACGCTTGCTCAAAAATCAAATGAATTTGACGGAGAATACGCTTGATGGCCTGTGTCATTGATGGTTATTAGAGGGTTATTAGAAAAAAATGATATTGAAAACCCAACGTTGAAATTGCTGAATTTTTTCTCAAAGGGTAATCTTACGCAAATCATAATATTGCGGTCTGTTGGGAAGATTGTTTATGCTTGATCAAGTTGATTCAACAAATTCCAAAAATTTATTTTGCTCCGTGTTAATATTGTTTTTACGTTTTGAGGGGCTCTATAAATCGCTCTCCAAGGCTTTTTTTGGGTGCGCTCTAGGCGCACGCGCTCGATCGAGCGCCTTTCCGGGCAAGGCCTGTTTCCTCCCTCCAAAATCAGTTATATTTCACATTTATGCTGTGTTTAAGAACTTAAAGGCATTGAGTCATGATGAAATGGACTGGGTATACCCAAAGTGCCAAAATCCGCTGAGTCTCGATTTTCATGACTGCAATGCTATTGGTTGACCTTAAACTGGTCATATGAACTCACATCGTACTGGTTAACAAAGCAGTTTCCATCAATAGCAAGTCGTGAAAAACGGATGCCAATATCACATGAAACGGCAATGATCATGCCAAAACCAATTGACCCCCTATAGAGAAGGCCTATTTACTATGACTCAATGCCTTCAAGAATGAAGCATTGAGGAATGAAGAACAGAGTGCACTTGTAATCCGGAGTTGTCACTTGCAATACGGACATAGACATAATCTGTCTGAAGATTTCATGGACAGAACCTCAGAGACAGAATATGGAGTATTAGCCAATCAGATAGTAGTTTTCTATTTGAAGAAATAGCGCATGGCAGGGTTCCAAAATATGTGTTAACACCTTGTTCAGGTGTCATCAAGTATTTGCTCATAGATAACTGCTTGCATAAAAGCTCCATGTGGTCTGAAGGAATGCACAACTAAGTAGGAAAGACAATAGAGATGTACTTCCGTGCACTGCAACATTCTTAAACCTGCCTCTGCCTTATCAACATGCAACAAGAAGCGACATCAGTAAAATAGAATTTGTTTCATGCCCTTGTCTTTCCTACTACTAAAGTACCATGAGCCCCCTAGAAAAAATCCAAAACAATTTGATGCATTAAGCGACGATTAATTATGATTTTAACTGCGATTTTAAATTTGCCCTCTCTCATTAAGACATTCCAAAGACAAATTACACCTATCCTGGACTGAATCTGTCAACTTCGACTTTTTCATACCATGGGCTCTCCTCACATTATTGCAGAGGGTTTTAAAGTTATAGCTAGCTGTATCAAATTATTTTAAAATTCCCGCGCTTCATAGACAGAATCAGTCTACTCTGGACAGAATCTGTCTGTTTCACTGCTTCATACCGTGATGCCCTCCTCGCATTACAAGGTATCAAATTATTTTAAAATTCCCGCGCTCCATAGACAGAATCAGTCCACTCTGGACAGAATCTGTCTACTCTGGACAGAATCTGTCTGCTTTCACTGCTTCATACCGTTATGCCCTCTTCGCATTACAAGGCTAGCTGTATCAAATTATTTTAAAATTCCCGCGCTTCATAGACAGAATCAGTCCCCTCTGGACAGAATCTGTCTACTCTGGACAGAATCTGTCTGCTTTCACTGCTTCATACCGTGATGCCCTCCTCGCATTACAAGGCTAGCTGTATCAAATTATTCTAAAATCCCCGCGCTTCATAGACAGAATCAGTCCACTCTGGACAGAATCTGTCTACTCTGGACAGAATCTGTCTGCTTTCACTGCTTCATACCGTGATGCCCTCCTCGCATTACAAGGCTAGCTGTATCAAATTATTCTAAAATTCCCGCGCTTCATAGACAGAATCAGTCCACTCTGGACAGAATCTGTCTACTCTGGACAGAATCTGTCTGCTTTCACTGCTTCATACCGTGATGCCCTCCTCGCATTACAAGGCTAGCTGTATCAAATTATTTTAAAATTCCCGCGCTTCATAGACAGAATCAGTCCACTCTGGACAGAATCTGTCTACTCTGGACAGAATCTGTCTGTTTTCACTGCTTCATACCGTGATGCCCTCCTCGCATTACAAGGCTAGCTGTATCAAATTATTTTACTAGAAATAGCTCTTGCTAGTACTGCCCGCAAACAATTAGTTCCTTGATAATGATTGTTTTGAAAATGTAGGTCAGGATATTCGAAGAAGACACCATCTTGGGTTTTCACAATTCTATAAAAACAGCTGCTCTAGTTGATGCTAAACTATTCTTTTTATCAAGAATTTTTGGTGTTCAGTTTGCCTTTGATTTAAGTCCAACGCCCTTTTGAAAATCATGAAGTTTTTCGAGGGTTTGACATTTATTTTTCGATAATCACAATAATCATAACTTTTGCTCGTACGGTCCCGAGTTTTTGGGAGAAAAGTGTGGCATTCGACTGGTTTTGATTCCCAAAACTTCGAATCAAAACTTCCATCCATTGCAGAGAACAGAGCTGTGATGCAGCACCGTTTTCGTGCCAAAAAAACCGAAGGCCTTTAACAGAGTCTTGGCAGAGCAACGCTCCGAAGATAATTCCCTTCAGCACAAAGAGGTGGCGGTTAACGACCTCCTCGACAAAGCCGATTGATTGACAATGAAATTGATTGACAGTTGTCATGGCAGCAGAAAAGTGACAAAATCTGCTGAAAAAGTGCTGACAACATGAACTGAAGCTTCCATATGCTACTTATACGCGGGGCAGACTATAAGCCCTTCACTCGCGCGCTATCGCGCGCGAGTTGCGGGCAAAATCCCGCGCTCATAGGACAGAATAGTCCACTCTGGACAGAATCTGTCTCTCTGGACAGAATTCTGTCTGCTTTCACTGTTAATTTTTTCCTTCATACTGATGCCCTCTCGCATTACAAGGCTACTGTATCAATTATTTTAAATTCCCGCGTTCATAGACAGAATCAGTCCACTCTGGACAGAATCTGTCTACTCTGGACAGAATCTGTCTGCTTTCACTGCTTCATACCATGATGCCCTCTTCGCATTCAAGGCTAGCTGTATCAAATTATTTTAAAATTCCCGCGCTTCATAGACAGAATCAGTCCACTCTGGACAGAATCTGTCTACTCTGGACAGAATCTGTCTGCTTTCACTGCTTCATACCGTGATGCCCTCTTAGCATTACAAGACTAGCTCGCTGTATCAAATTATTTTAAAATTCCCGCGCTTCATAGACAGAATCAGTCCACTCTGGGCAGAATCTGTCTACTCTGGACAGAATCTGTCTGCTTTCACTGCTTCATACCGTGATGCCCTCCTCGCATTACAAGGCTAGCTGTATCAAATTATTTTAAAATTCCCGCGCTTCATAGACAGAATCAGTCCACTCTGGACAGAATCTGTCTACTCTGGACAGAATCTGTCTGCTTTCACTGCTTCATACCGTGATGCCCTTTTCGCATTACAAGGCTAGCTGTATCAAATTATTTTAAAATTCCCGCGCTTCATAGACAGAATCAGTCCACTCTGGACAGAATCTGTCTACTCTGGACAGAATCTGTCTGCTTTCACTGCTTCATACCGTGATGCCCTCTTAGCATTACAAGACTAGCTCGCTGTATCTGATTATTTTCAAATTCCCTCGCTTTAAGAAGAGAATCGGTCTGGTCTGGATTGCGTAATACTTTCCTCGCATTCAGCCAGGGGCTCCGACGCAGGTTGAAAAGTGGGGGGGGGGGGCAAGAAAGATTTTTATCAATAATAAAAAATTTTTAAAAATGCTCTATTGCTTTGTAAAAAGGTGAGGGGCATGGCCCCTTTGGCCGGAGGCCCTGATCTCGAAGGGGGGGGGGGGTCGTTCCCCTTAATATTTTTGTGTCATTTGGTAAATTTTGCTTCTGTTCGGTTTTTGCTTTATTTACCTTTTTATATCCTTTACCATAAAATTAAAAACCGAACTTGGAAACAAGGGTTTCCATGATTTTCCATGAACTTGAAGGGTATGGCACTAAAATCCACTTAGTGTTTAACACTCTTCAAAACATTGTTGTTTAAATTCGTCCTTTCTGAAAATTCGATGCTGGATTTTCGTAATCTAGCGTGCTGTAATTTGGGAGGGGGTAGTGTCCAGGCCTCATATGCCAACAAAGGGGTGATACATACTCTATTTGCTAACAAGCTTGTAAATTCACCGAAAAAGCACCCCTTGATGGCAAAAACTTCCACTAAAATTTTAAAGTAGCTCAGCTTCAGCTTGTTCTCGATTTGTTTTAAACATTTGACCAATTTTAAGGCTAGTGTCCTTACAATTTTTTTTTCATAAACAGAGCTTATGCAACATTCTTTTTATTAGATGAAAAAAGGGAACAGACCAGGGCCGCATTTACGTTTGTTGGGGCCCTGGGCCCAAAGTTATTTGGAGCCCCTTAAAATACATATAAAAAAATAGTGTCGCGTGCATAGTACTTGGCTAAACATAATCATAACAAACCAGGTTAATATTCACCGAATAGTTTGATAGATAAGAATGATAAGACACGAATAAACTTGTATCCATTTTGCATTTTAGTACATAACAAATAAAACTACCCCTGCTACCCTGGGTACCAGGGCCCTTCGCTTGTCTGCTTGGCCTTCTGTTTACGTGCTGGAAGTTTTGTGGCTCTGGTACCCAGGGTATACCCTTCAAATGAGAGGGGATAGGGTAGTCAATTTCAGGGACGTTATAGAAAATTTTCAAATAGAGAATGTTATTCTTTGCAATACCTAACAGTATTTTCAGTATCGTTGCAGCAGCATCAAACTGCAAAATAGTGATAACCATGGACCTCACTATTTAGAGAAGTTGAGGGTAGGGAGGGGGCACTAAGATCGTTCAAGAGTTTAGTGAAAGTCGTCACCATGGTTGGCGGCAATAATTTGCATAGAAGACCTTCTAGAGATTATAGGAAAATGCATCCAAATATTTACAACATCGCTCTAGACTCATGGGAGGATCTGGACAATACCTATAAGATTTCGTAACTTCCAACCCTTTAGAGCTACATATCGGAACAATCCCAGGGTATAACTATCTTTCAGGGGCAGCACCATGGTTGCCGCCGAAGAAAAAGAAAACTTTCAAATTTGTTTGAATCTAATTGGCTGGGAAATGCACCTTTTGGAGCAATTTTCAAAAACGCAAGCTTTCTCTGAAATAAATTTTCTACTGACTGAAAGTTATTTACGAGTAAAATTCAGAAACAAAGCAAAACGGCGACGAGAATCCAATCTTAGAGATAAAAGTCAAAATAAGTTAAATTAAATGAATACTGATATTTCGCCCCCCCCTCCCTCTGCAAGCACGCCACTGATTTTACTACTTTTATGCATAATAAGATGGGTCATTTTGATCGTTGATTCCCGTGGTTGACGGATATTTTGACTAATTAGCTGAGCAGAAAGGGATCTTTCTGTCCGTAGGTAGACTGAAAAGTTCCCAATACCCAATCAAAAGTTGTGGTCAAAAAGGTTCTACCAATGAGAGCTCTTTATTGCAGCTCATCCACTAGAAAACAAATAAGGAGAACGAATATGTCTATGTGAACCAGTTAAATTGAAAGCTGTAGGATTTGGCGCGAAATATGCCTCATATTTGGCGGGTACACTGTAAAGGCCTTCATTTATGTTTTGTTGCTCTTGTAAACTGCATCTCAAGATATACAGGAAAGTTACGGCAGAAAGAGTTTATTTGGTAAGTCTTTACAAGATCTTTATACGAGTTTTTTATTTCCATTGCCACGGGTAAGGGACTTTCAGTTTTATCGATAGAAAGTTCGTTTGGAAGGGTTTTTTTCAATTAGGTCAAATTATCAGATTTTTGAAATATAATTTCCATGTCGAGTCGGATAGGTTGGACGTACACTTTCAGTTGTTTCCAAGCCCCATAATTTCGGGAAAACGTACAATTTCTTTTATCTTACACGGTTCAAGTCAGTTGTGATTTCTACGGCATTGGGATTTTCAAACGAAGATGTCGATGCCCAGCTTGAATGAGTGAAGGCAAATTTGAAATCGCAGTTAAAATCATAATTAATCGTCGCTTAGTGCATCAGATTGTTTTGGATTTTTTCTAGGGGGCTCATGGTACAAGGGCATGAAACAAATTCTATTTTACTGATGTCGCTTCTTGTTGCATGTTGATAAGGCATAGGCAGGTTTAAGAATGTTGCAATGCACGGAAGTACATCTCTATTGTCTTTCCTACTTAGTTGTGCATTCCTTCAGACCACATGGAGCTTTTATGCAAACAGTTATCTATGAGCAAATACTTGATGACACCTGAACAAGGTGTTAACACATATTTTGGAACCCTGCCATGCGCTATTTCTTCAAATAGAAAACTACTATCTGATTGGCTAATACTCCATATTCTGTCTATGAGGTTCTGTCCATGAAATCTTCAGACAGATTATGTCTATGTCGGTATTGCAAGTGACAACTCCGGATTACAAGTGCACTCTGTTGAAGCTTTTTTTGTGTCCTAATAAATGTGGTATTTCTCTGGATGAAAATCTAGCAAGGTGCTTTTTTCTTACCAACAAGGCATGTTTATTGACTAAGAATCTGAAGACTAAACCAACCGTCCATACCTTCTGAACTTGTTTTATTGCAGGTCTGTGATTGGCTTGTATGACCAGATAGATTATGTTGGGTGAGTTCTGCCTCATTGAGAAACCCTTTGCCACAGGTTTGGCAGACAAATATCATGCTTATTTCTCTGTCAGTAAATCTCTCCATCCTGTCAACTGCTGGTGACACCCTTTCTAGGGAATAAAGGATTTTTCAAATTAACAATTGAATACTCACATATCAGAGGGGGTTCTATGTTTCTGCCAATTTGCATCAGATTGTTAAAAGTATCACTTATTGGAAAAATATGCCATGTCATGAAAAAAATGGCTGAATTGGTAAACAACATCGAAAACAACAGCCTGCTCAAGGGTTTCTATAGCCCATTTAGTGCAGTCTACAGATTGCTTGAATCGTCAGGCAAAGCAAAAATATTATCTGCAGAATCAAATAACATTAAAAGTATATTTTTAGAAATTTCTTTCATTTTTTTCAAAAAAGAATGGTCCTAAGTTGCAACTTTTGAGTTTCTTGCTCAATGCAAACATCAGACAAGCATCTAGCAATTCATATTTGAAAACATTTGCAAATGCTTTCTCAGAATCCCAACAAAGCATCAACATCACCCTGAACCCCAATGGAAGCATCCCATTAAATCTAGGATTTTTTGCCTGTGCTTGAGAAAGGAGGTTCTGCAAGCTTGGTGTTTTTTACCTCACAACTTTTTGTTCAGTCCTACATAGAGTTAGCAGATATATTCCAAAGTAATATGCTACTCCAAAACTCTTCAATTATCCATAATTTGGTAACTTATCTTTTAAAAAAAATATTGTATTAATCGAGGGATACTAAACAATTGTCTAATTATTCAGATTTTATTTCTAGTTAAGAATATCATTTCCTTTTGAATTTTCATATTTATAATAATAAACATGATCACAAGGGTTTTCTTATTTCAGCTTGACTTTTCAACTGACTTTTGGCTAATTGTTGAAAACAAGCATGCATTGAGAAAAAAGGCCAAATTTTTCTTACAAGCCTGAAAATGATGTAAGTGTATAATTTGTGTATAAAATGTAGGTGTATGAAAGGTATAAAATGAGGTAAGTGTATAAAATGTAGGTGTATAATTTTTAGAAACTTCTAAAAACAAGTGGCAAATGGTCAAATTCTCTTTTTTGGGACTGCTTTGGTGTTGGGTTTAACAATAATTACATGAAGGATGCCTAAATACTATTCAGTCTTTCAAAGAAGTCACATTTTAGATCAGATGTTGGAACATTTTTTTTCATCCTTTATTCAAAGTTGGTATAATTTCTAGCTATGCATAACCAAATGCTAAATGTAATGTAAATCAAATGTAACCAATGTTGCATACATATTTCTTGCAAAGATTACAAGTATAATTAAATGAGGTAAATTCTGAGATTTTTTTCTTGAATATTTGTAAAGTAGGGTAGTACTTTATCTCTTTTGGAACTGAGTTACATATTTGGCTGCATCTGTATGATACAGGCCTGGTCGTTTGAGAAGAGCCATAGCTCTTTCTCCTCTCCAGGCTCTCCTCAAACGCTGAAGGGGGGCTAGAGATTGCTCTCCTAAATTGTTCTAAAAAGCAAATTTGCTCTCCTTGAAATCAATTTTTCCTTTGTTTCTATTCTATTAGCTCACCTGAATGCTACTAGGAGAGCTGTTTACTGTTTCCCTGTTAAAAGTCTTACGGCTAGGCCTGGTGATACAGTATTAAATCCATAAATCATAAATTATCTATAGTTACAACAACATAGAAGTTTTTCACTTTCAAAAAAATGCCAGCTATGCTTATGTTTGGTATAAAAAATGCCAGATTTTTGAAACTCTTTATCCAGATTCATTTGAGTCTTACTGGATTAAAGATTTAAAGGTTTTTTCAGGGGTAATGAGATTCTAAAGAAAAGAGCACGTGGTTAATATACTGAACTTCCAAAACCAAACAAACAAGTGTGCAAAATTTCTAACCAATGGAATAAGATTGCGGCAAAATAACCAGACAGAAATAGAACAAATGTCACGATGAAGAGGAGAACAGTTAAGCAAAATAGGTCAGGAAGAATTCGCACAAATAAATCTCAAATCAAAGAAAAACAAGCTTGGGATTTTCGGTGCGAAGGCGAATGAACTTAAAACTGGACAAAACAAAACAAAAAATACAATACTGACTCTACCGAAGTGACCGATTTGAAATTTAGAAATAACATTTTGACTTATTATATGAAACAAATTTGTTTCTAAAGAATAAATCTAATCAAACATTGCTTAAAGAAAAATCATTTTCTGTGCTTTTCAAGAAGATAATAACTGTCTTTCAGTCCACTTTTTAATTATTCTAATTAACTCAAAAGGCGCATGAACTAGGCTAGGCCACTGACGCGTTAGGCCAACAAGTTTGCAGCCATTGTGGTATAAATAAGACTAAAATACGGCAATAGATAAATAAAGAAACATTTTTAGCACTAGTACATACCATAATTGGCTTTCTGGGACATTTTATTTACCAGAACGGAAAGATTTCTTCTTCGAAGCTGCAGGAAATATGGCAGATGGCATTATCATCATTATTATATCAATTAATTCTCCTCCGCAACTTCACTGACAGGGTGGGGCAATCTTCATTGATTTTGAAACGAAATGAAACTCCGCGATTGCCCCAACAGAAATAGCAAAGTCTGAAGCAATGAAACTGCTAGCGAGTGGCTAAACTTTTCTTTTTAAACTTGTATCTTCTCTAATTTCTACTACATATCGATTTCCGAAATTTTTATCAAAATTAAGTACTGAAAGATGCTGCCCTCAAAATACAACGTGGTACACATACACCGCAGTCTATTAAAAGCTCTTCCCGACCTTTGGAAGCATGTTATGGTATATGATTAGCTTCGCAAAAAGTTATTAGCCTTAGATAATTTCCAGTTGCATCCCTCTTGTTCCCGGGGGGGAGGTACTCATATGCAGTAGGTTTGCTCATGCTGGGTGGAGGGGTACAAACCATCAACCAAAAAAAATAGTTTCTAGCATAGACATTGACTCAAAAAATAATTTTTCTCGCCCGGGACAAGAAGGTTTAAGTTTTTACCTATTAACTTTTCTCATATTCAAGTCCCCAAAAAAATTCAGAATTTCTTGAACCCAAAGAAATCAATTTTACATTAGACTGATCGAAAAAAATTCTTCTGAAACTCTAGAAACAGACAAGTAGCCTGAGCATCCTTATCTTAAATATATACGAGTATCCCCCAGGACTCTAAACACTCTATACTGCATGTTATTTATACAGCACAAGTATGAGCTTTGGCTCGAATTCTTGAGCAAAATTACATTTTCTGTTCAATATTACACTACACATATTACAGGAAATAAAATATTAAGCGAATTTTTCCAATGATGGAAAACTTTGGACAAAAGTTTGTCATTCATGCTTGAACCATGATCCGTAATAAAAAGGAATACAGTAAATCCCCGCATATAAGAACCTACAAAAAAAAGAACTTAGAGGCTGTTTTTCCTAATTTATGTACCTTTTAATTAAGAACCTGTTTCAGTGTGATACAATATGATAGGTTCTTATTCCAAGAGCAAAAAATAGCGTTTTCAATGGTCCTTATTTACTCCCAGATTTTTTTAGATGACATAAAATCACAACCTGTATAAAAATTTTAAGTTGTGCATTTTAAGCATTTTATACACTTTAACGAAAGAGAACTTTAAAATTACTTTGACTTTTTAACATAATTATATGTAGCAAAATCCAAAATGTTGAAAATAAAAAAAAGCATTAGAATTCATAATTTTCAATTTCTGAGGACGTTTGAGATCATCTCCAGATCCATCCACTGTCATAGGCAGCCAGTGCGCTCAAATGTCTTCCTGTAAATATCTTTGTAATGTTGCATTAATAACATTGCCAAAGGGGAAAAAAGGGTTGAATGCATCTCTTGATAATGAATCCTAAAATTTTGAATAAGGGATCCTTCCAATAAGAACCTTCATACCCTGAAATTCATCCAAGTACCTTCCCAATAAGAACCTACTTCAGCCTGAACCTCAAAAAAGTAGGTTCTTATATGCGGGGATTTACTGTACGCCAGGTAAAGAATTTTGAAATAAACGCCGTTTATTCGGGTAAATACGGTACCCGTTAAAATGTCAAGGATTTCCAGAATTCTTTCTTGTGAAAATTGTTTGGAAAACCGTCAACTGAAAAACTTTGTGACATAAGGACAAGATGAGGGTAATGGCGCCAACCAGAGGTGAAAAGCTTTTCCAACCACCACCACTGTCTATTATTCGAACTTTTCATAATTCGACCAATTTTGTCGCTGCTGTTTATTTTCCCGGCCCTCACTCCCTCTTTTCATCTCTTGATGCCTTCAATAAAATTACTCGTACCTTTAGGCATTCCTTTATGCTGTTAGCATTTATTTGGATGCTATTAGGTAGAACTGGTGCATCGGCTATTAGTGGGGAAAATAATTTTTTCTTGTCCATTGCCTCTCCTTTATCAATTAAATTTGGGGGTTATTATGGAAAATTCCAAAGTAACCGCTTCCTGTTTAAATCAGGGGTAGGTTTAGCGATTTACGCCGATGCACCAACGGCCCAACTCGCTCTCGATGATGTGGGAACGTAGCCTCATGACTGATTTTCTGATGTCTAGGGCATGATTTCTGAGGGAGCTTTCTGCCCTTCATTTTGTTGGTATTGTCATTGCCTTCAGTATTTGTTAGGAAATCTTTAAATAAGAATTTCAATTGACAATACAGTTTGGCCTCTACTACCCTGGGTAACAGTGCCACATAAATCCGAGGGTGAAAATGGAAGATAGGAGCGGAGAAGCGGACAAACGGAGAAACGGAGAAGCGGAGAAGCGTCTACCTGAGAAGAAGGAAAAGTGCCACTCGAAATTACGCGCTCGAAATTCTGTGGCTCTGCTTCCCAGAGTGAGCTATTACCCCATACTCCAATGAGCCATTACCCTCATTTAATTGTCTGTTTCAACCATTTATGATCTCTAAATTCTAAATTACTTTTTTACTTAAAGTCATTTTTTAACGACATCTCATCTTCGTCAAAATTGCTTCTATTTTCATCGGCTTGTTTCGATCTTGAAAAAAGCGTTTTTCGTACTTTTGCCCCTATGCCCTCTTGAACACTGGTGAAAGCAGTTTTTATCTTGGCAAGAGAAGTATCTTTTGCGATTTCCAAAACTTCATTGAATTTTGATTCGTCATAATTTCTTAATTGTGAAACCTACGGAAAAAAATATACAATTTTAGAATGACAAATTAAAAATAACAAACAAATTAAAGAAAATAAAAAACAAGCATGCAGCGTGTAGGATACCTCTAATTTTTCCTGATTTGTAAGATGTCATATTCATAAGATTAAAGATCGGGATGACTAGATACTTTGCCCACGTTTAAGTAGGTGAAAGTCTAACTTATGCCTGCTCAATAATTATGAAAGTTTTAACTTCAATTTATCTCAATAATGCTAGAACGACTGTAAAAGTTGGTATGGAATGAGAAATGAAATGATTTGGAATGCAGCAAATTATAGAGTTTTCACCTTGTGGTATGACGTTATATCCAAACCCATAATGTACTACATAAGTTTTAACCTCTTTTCAATTCAACAGCTTTGAAACTTTCATAAAACAGACAAGCTGTCAGAAAACAGGGCCACCGAGAGAGGGCAGCAAATTATCCCAGGGCACCGCGGTCTAGGGGACCTCTATCAACGGTATGCTATGAAAATAGTTAAACACTTGAAACGATTGCCAGGAGATGACTGTAAGAAATATTCTGAAATGGATTTCAAGCTCTTCTAATGGGCACGGTCGCAAAAATGTTCTGCGCAGCTTCTTTTGCGTGCAGTGGCGGTTTTGAGGGTGGTCCAGGGAGTCCATGGCCCCAGGTCCCGCGTTTATGGTAGCCAAAAGGAGCCTCCACACCTTGAAAAAAGATAGAAATTGTAAAGAACAAAGGCCCCACAATGATTTTGGCCCCGGACTCCCTAGTCCCTAAAACCACTGATGGGCCTCATAAACCTCTCGACAACCCTGTCAAGGAAAATCTTTTTGCCAATGATCGGGACTTTCTAACACTGTAAGGTAACGTTTGCCAGAGCTTTTGACCCACACATTGCGCAGTTGTTATACCATACTAGTGTGTCCTGGCATTTGGCATGCAAAAGATCTTTGATTTATTTAGACATATTATTGATATCTTGCCTCAGAAATCTCACTCACAAAATTTTGATTTAGATTATTTTTGGTTTTGTTATAATATCATCATCAAGAAGTGAATACGGCAGCCGAAGTGATGATATCACCAAAATCTATTTTTCAAATCCTTAAATTTTCTAGAAACAGGTTTTAAGAAACGGTAGGCTCAATTTTTCGAAATTTAAGAAACAACCCAATTTGAAAAAAGCTAAGAAACTTTTATAATTTGTTTATAAAACACTTTTTTAATTTATCTCTGAATGTGAGTGAGCTACTTACTTTACCTCGGAAGCACGTTTAAAAAATTTAAGAAGCATGTAAGGAACATTTGATAGCAAAATGGCCATACAATTTAAGAAACTGCCTACCAGCACCGGACCTTAGTTTCTTATAAAAAATACGTGTAACCCAAAAACATTACAAAATACCTCTACATGTGCAAAATCAGCTGAATGTTTTAAAAATTGGCTGCGATATGGTCACATTCATAAGCACAGGCTTTTGCTCTATCGAGCATCTGTAATTTGGTCTTGGTTCATAACTTTATGGCCAGAATAACATCAAGCCGTTAACAGACTTGAAATCTTTCATTGGCCATATTTCGCCAAATTTTGATCACAAATAACTCATTTTGCATATTGAGAGGTATTTTATGCCGTTCTTCAGAAAATGTGGTCAAAAAGAGAAATTCTAAAACAGATTTTTTTGACGTCACACTTCGGTACTCTATTATCAGTTATTTTAGCAAGGCCTGTCAATCAATAATTGACCAATCAATTAGCGTGATGCAACTCACATGCTTATTGATTGGTTTATAACGATTGGCGTATGTGACTTAAGCCACTTTGGTATTTGTGGACTGCCTTTATTGAATCCATCCGCCTGCATTTTTTCAGGAAAATATTTTGATAAATCATGTGCATCAGTTTCTAACTATTCTGTAACTCTATCTACGTGTCAGAAAATTGCAAAGGAATCATCAGCAAAGTTACGTAAAGCAGTATATGAAAATGGCTTTGAAAAAAGCAAACATTTCACAACATAACACTTAAAGCTGCAACATACAACTTTTGCCCAATCCCTCCAAGATTCTGCTGTCCTTTCTTATCGTGACAACGGATAGTATAAAAAATATTTTGACAATGCCAAGGTTATAAAGAACATAATATCATTTTGAGTCGGAATATTCCATTCAATATTTCCGATCCCTCGGAAATATATCCTTGCCAACCAAAAATATTATAATGTGATTTTATCATCTCGCGGGCCACGAAAATTCTCTTCCTGGGCCGTAGGTTGGCCGTCCCTGGTTTATGCAGTCAAACAATAATGCAACGTGGGCAACAAATTATTTGGCTTTGTTTTGATTTTCAATTAGAACCGAAAATTTATTAACGTTTTAGCTTAGCTGCTACACATTACACTTTATTTCAGTATAGGGGCATAGATAGGAAAGTTCAAAGGGGGTGGGGGCAGAAAGGTAGATTTTCCGACATAAGTTTAATAAAAGTTAACATTTATTTCATTATTTCGATAGTAATGTCAGGCCAAAAGAAATGAACTTAATCAAATAAAAAACTCTTTTCATTTATACAAAGTCAGGTTTCATTAATCATACTGCAAAAATATCTTTCTAGACTTCTTCTTAAAAAAAGGTACTTTGTTTGGCCATTAATGGAGGTTTCATTTTAAATTAACTTTGGTAACAGTGTCTCTGCTTACAGAGATTGATGCAGATTTTTAAAAGCGATGCTCGCTCAAACAATGCATTTTTTAAATATATCCTCTTGACTCTGAAAACGGTGACTCTTGAAAGATATTCCAGGTAGTGCTGGAAAAATACGTCACATATTATTTTTAAAAACTGTCAGTTGAAAGGCAGCTACTTGCTTATTTAAATTAAAGGATGCTAAACTCTTTCTTTAAAATAGAAATAAATTGAATTACAGGCTGGCTGGTCTTAAATGTTCGGCTTGATTGTTCTTAGCTTGTTCTTCGATTTGTAGTTTGGAAACAGTGCAATCCCCTTTTATAAGATGAAAGTTTAAGGGGTTTTCTCAACTTAATGCAAAGTTACATTTTACTATACTATAATTTATTCTCAATTTGTTCTTAATTTTTAACCAATTTTGAGGCCCTTGTTCTTATTAAATTATAAAACTGTTCTTATCAAAAGGGAATGAATGCCATAACACTTAATTGAAAACGATCATCCCACCTCCCTAATTTAATCAGGAAAATGGAAGACATTGTTATATCAATTTCTTTCAAATGTAACACTTTGATACAAGAAACAGAGAACTATCGTTATTTTCTCCGAGGAGATTAGAAATTTCCCGAAAAATAGCATTTTCGGCCCCTGACCCCCTCTATCTACGCCACTGTTGCAGTACTTTTCAGAGAGGCAGTCGCAGAAGGAAGCGCTTTTTTAATTACCTCTTTCCTGAGTGCTTGAACCTCATCTTGTAAAAATTTGTTGTCCTCAACCGTCTGCTTGAATTTATTGTTCATTCCGTCGACTTTGTGCATCAGCGCAAGAATCAGTTCTTTCTCGTTGTATTCATTTGACGGTTCAGAAGATTCTTGAACAATCTGTTAAATAAAAATTTTCTCGAGCACCTTAGACTGGAATTTTAAACGTAACTAAGTTGGCAAAAACAGAAAAGATAATCAAAACTCCCTTATGACGTTCTAATAGTAAGATTGGATATTTTAAGCAGCAGTAACGACGAGAGGGGGGCTTAGGGAACTGGGAGGCGTGTTCCCCCCTACTTCTTGAAAGGAACGATATTAAAGGGAATATTCACATAATAGTAAGAACATAACAGTCGTATAGAATATTATACGTCTTTGGATTATAATATTTTATCAAACATCAAGACTGGTTTGTCTTGAAATGTTATCCTTATCTAAAGCCCCCCCCCCCATCCCCCTGCTCCGCGGTGCCTGCTAGAGGATGCAGCTGCTCGTTACGACACTAATAAAACTATTTGGCATAATGATAATAGCCTTGATAGAGCTGTACCAAGGACGTACTTATCTAGGGGGCGCTAAAAATCGGTGCCTTGTAGATAATTTTGAGCCAACACGCCACTGCTTTACAGCTTACTAGTTCGCAAAGTAATAGCTAGCGTTGGCCCTTATAACTGAAAGTTTGGCCCCCGGGGCCCCCCTAAATTCTTAAGGCTTTTTGCCATCACAACTACCTTTTTATGCATTATTGGATTGCGGATTGCGGCTGATTTTTGCACGGTTTTGCAGCGTTTGGGCACCCTATAGAAGGTCCTCAGAAAACTAGCCCTTAGATCCCGTTTACACTATCCCGTTAAAAAACGGTCGCGGTTCACCCTTCCGTTTACACTCACTGTGGAACCGAGATGACTTTACTCTGCTATCCGGAACTGTTTTGCCCTGCTATAAAAGCAAACGAATTTTGTACAGTCACAGTTCTGTTTTTCAACAGGACAGTGTGAACACCTATCCAAGATGATTTTTTTCTCACGGATTCACAAAGAGGTCTTTTGTATGGCTGTTTCAGGTAGTCGAGGTTTTGATTTTGGCGCAATCTTTTAGACGAGGGAATGGTCAAGATGGCTGTTGAAAATCCAAACTACGTTGTCAAATTTCTTATCGTCTTGTTAAATTCAGTGGAAGCTATCGCTGGGCTGAATATCTATCTAGCAGCCATTTACGATTGTTAACACCGTCTTCGCCAACGCCATTAACAATCTATTCTCGACGGTAGTACATCAAAACTTCTAAGGATAAAGAAAATTCTGAAGAGAAGACGACAACAGAAAAGGCTTGCATTGTTACCCAGTCCAAGCCTTGATTGGATTTGGCAATTTTATAGTCTAAAATAACACTGAGAATCAAAGCCACCTCGTGCCTTCTTATCCATTTTCACTTTCAATAAAATTTCGATTGTTGATTTTGGCGGCAAAATAACGCCTCGGTTGACGAAATACAGCCTCCTCCAAACAATGTTCTGCCATTGAATTAAGGTCGTACGAGCACAGTGTAAACGGAACGGCTGAACGGAATAATTTGGGACCGTGACAGTGTAACACTAGCGAACCGCAACGGTACAAAACTGTCACGGGACTTGAGGGTCATCCGAAGGTTTAACCAACCCAACAACGTGTAGCTTATACGGTGGACAACGCGAATCAGGATAGCAGACCCGATTTGCTACATGCCATATTTACAAACATGTTCAAACAGAGCATCGATCTCCTTGGCAGGTGTGACAGTTACAACCCTCGCAAAAGTCTCGGAAAATAACGGCAGTTTTCAAAGGCAAGTTAAGCTATCCCCGTCTCTCCTAGGAATATTGCTTTTTAAACAATGTATTATACTCTTTTAAATTTCAACACTGTTCTGGGGGGGGGGGGTGGAAATAGAATTATTCGGGAAAAGGAATTAAAACTGGAAAACACAACTCAATTCACTGAGTGTTCCAAGTAATTTGGGAAGGCATTGTAGTTAATTGTTTCACTTGTCTGGATCCTTGAAGTCCATTCCCATTTCTTTCACCCTGAAAGAAGAATTAAACGTAAAGCAAAATTACCAATGGAGAACATTCCGTTAAGAGGACGTTGTGCATTTTATCCAGTTTCGAGTCTTCAAGTTCCGATTCGGCAGTGAGAAGTTGAGATGCTTGCGACATGTAGGCATTTGCCGTTGCCTCGCTCCAGACTCTTGAAAAGGTCTCTGACATCAGTGCTATATATAGATTTAGACACACAACCCCAGCAATGGCTAGATATGACCCGACAAGAATCTCCGCCAGCAGTTTATCCTGCGTTGTCAATTGCGAATACTCATAGTCAGCCACTAGCGTCATCATGAACACTTGGTAAGCCAAGTCGTTGAAATGATAAAACTCTGTTTCCGCTTTCTCGCCGAATATAATCCAAAATGCACAGCAATAAGGGACAAAGACTTCTATAAACAGAAAGAGAAATTTGAAGGTAGCGTCAATAACATGGCCTAACATGGTGATGAAGGGGCCCAGCGCCTGGAAGGCACGGCAGTATTTCATCAGGCGCACCCAGATGAATATGAGCGCGAAAGCGGCCAGGCGTTGGTGAATGCGATGGGATGAATGACTTTTGCTGATTATATTCACTGCCCTTGAAATCATGACAGAGAGGACACCAAAATACGTTATCCACTCGAAAATTATCCATGGGTCGATCAAACCTGAAGTGGAGGACGTTGTAGCGAGGCTTTTCTCGGAAACCAAAAATCGTCTCTCCTCTGGCCACTGGGGATGGCAGAATTGGAGATCACGCTCAATCTCTCGTAATTGCCATTCGCGGTACAATTTAACACTTGACTTGTATCGTCGATAATCGATAAATTGCTGAAAAAAACAAAAGCTTTTTTAAATCCAAGCACATCGACTGCCGATGGTGATGATGGCGTAACGAGGATTGATGGTAGAAGTTCGTGGTGATGGTGATGATGACGTAACGAGGATTGATGGTAGGAGTTTGTGGTGATGATGATGATGACGTAACGAGGATTGATGGTAGAAGTTTGTGATGATGGTGATTATGATGGCAATAATTTTTATTATGATTTCACAGACCAAAATTATACAAAATCGATTGCCTAACTAGGGCTTTAAAGAAAATATCTCCTCATACTCATGATTCTTTTATCTTTATCATTAAAATATTTTTGAAATGACGTCAATGTCCTCATACCTTTATTACGAAACCAAATGTCATAAAAATCCCAATAGCTTCAATAACCATTCGCCACCATTGCTTGCTAACTGGGGTATATAGGCCATGTGTGTGGAGTCTTGGAATGGTGACGCCAATTGCAGTCCAGATAAATGTGTAAAAGATATTGATAAACAAGTTGAGGAGTGCATTTTTCTTCCCGAACAGCTTCCATTTCAGATTAATTAGACGCAGTATCACTGGGTGTACTACCAAGGTGAGCTCGTTGTAGAGAACGATGGCCTAAAACATGACGGAGATATTATAAGATATCAAGAAAAAGATGCCCACCAAGCCAAGGATTGTACTAATTCAGAAGGGTAGGAAAAACCCAATGTACACTTGTCGAAAAACCCCGAACGTGTCGAAGGGTCTCAATTAGGCAAAGTTGTTCTATGAAATTTGAGAAGAAAGGTCATGGGACATAGAAATTTTATCCCATATAGAGAAATCTCCACTATTGAGGAATTCCCCGAAATTGCCACGGGGTACCATTGAGTGTAGAATGTACCACCAAAAAGTGCAAAAACACAATGAATAAAAGTGGACAAAGAGCATGTCCTTGTGGAACAGACCACAAATCCAGATACCTCTTCTTTCTCCAAATTGGTATAGCACAAAAGCTAATCAACGGATATAAAAGGCAAATTTATTCAAATGAAAAGCCTAGCATTTGTTTTTAAAGTAAGAACTACAGCCTGGAAGCTTTCATTTTAATTAGAAATATTCAGTCAAAATAAAGGATCCCCCAAAATGCAAAATGCAGGCTAAATGAACCAATATATTTTTCATTTGAATGCAGGTTATGTGTCTCCATTTGAAATTTATCTTAATTTTAATTGCGGTTGAAACTTGCTTTTAAAAATCCAATTTGCATCAAGGCCTGTTTACATTGGGAGGGGGATTTTGGAACCCTGTTTACATTGGGAGGGGGATTTTGGAACCCTTTTTTGTAAAGTTACACAGCTTTTGCAGTACTCAGTTGTTATCAACATGTTTAAAGCTTCCCCCCTCCCCAAAGTTTGAAATATATGCTAGAGGCTGTAACGTTCACATAATTAGTACCCCGTGTGTATATTAAGTCTCGTATGAAATCCGCCCATGTTATCTCGTACACACGTGTTTTGTTATTCAGTTCTTGTGTATGGAATTCAGATACAGTTGGTATTTTAGTAGTTATATAATCATGGAAATTTCTCTATGATAAGCTCCTAAAAACATTATAGAGGCCCTATCATTCGAATAAGTTTAAGAATCAGCGTTTATGTATATGTTGTATTTTACTATGTATGTATTATTATAATCTAGTTTATATATATGTAGTATTATTAGTTAAATTCATATACATGTCATATCCCAGGGGGCAGTCATGTTATATTGCTCCTCCTGGGTTCTGTCCTTGTAATGTAGTTTAGTAGTTTGTACGTACTGTTTTAGGTAATTTGTTGTGTAAGTTTTTATACCGAATATATATATATAAAAAAAAATCACCTTTAATGGAGAACGTGCAAAGGATTGTCTCAGGGGCTTTCCTTTGTCAGTGCGGTTTTTTCTCCAAGTTTCAACTTCCAGGTAATTCAAGTAGTAGTATTTGCGTCTGATTGCGTTGTCGATTTGTTGGAATTGCTCCAATGCCAATTTTGCAACATCGGGCATCTTTTCAACCATTATTGAAAGAGCCGAGATTCCTACATCGTTGTAAATACCAACTGGAGCCCCTTTCTCCATCAGGAGGCGACAGGCCTCACTCCGTCCTGCAAGTTGAAATGATATGCTCTTTAGCAATGCAAGCCTTGTGTTTGCAGGGATAAAAAGTAGTAAAAAAGGCAAAAGCACAGTTGGACCCAGATTTTGTTATCATAGCACATATACGTCTCTGTCTACAAATTTAAGAAAATATGCTCTTGAATAGGAGCAAACCAGATTGATATAAATTTTCTGCTACTTGATCAGGTTACCAAAATAAGGACTGCTAGCGCATTGCACTGTGGCATCTGTTGGTCAATGTTTTACAGAGTCACATTTTTCTTGTGAACTCTGTGTTTAAGACGTAATGTGTACGGTATTCGTGATAATCCACTGCATTAGTAAGAATATACCAATCACCTTCTTTGATTCTTTCCATAAATTCTAATAGATAAGTTATAAGCACTTAGTTTGAGTTATTTTTTGTAATTTTCGATATATATTTTTACATTTTTGATCTAGAGAAACTGCTTGTATTCACGCAGTGGCAGGTCTAGAGGGTGGTATAGGAGTTCCAGCACACCTTGTCTGAGCTTTAGTCTTTTGTTGAGTAACCAATTAGTGAACGGTTTGGTCAGCAAGGTCTACCTGGGCTTCTCTAGCTCATGCTGCTCACGTTTGATGTTCTGTTATTGACTCATTTGGTAATTGCAGAGTGATCTCCTACACCTCTAAGGTTTTTGATTTTGTCTGGCAGAAAACTTTGTCATCTGAAACACCATATGGATGGTTTACAACGTACTAATATTAGGTGGATTGGCAGCATTATCTCTGATAGGTCTAATACCATGATTTCTTGGTGTATTGCTCTCATACCTGGGTTGGCGCTTCTAAATCCAGTATATCTGATCTTTTATCCCTGATTCTCCAAGACATCTTACTCGTCTTTGCTTCCTAGAGCTTGTAAACTTTGAAACGCTTTGGAACGCCCTTCTTGCACCCCAGATTCTTATAACCTTTCTTCTTTTAATACCAAAATCAATAAATTTTAGCATCTTTCCTTTTTCATTGGCCTTTGGTCATTGGTAAAAGGAGGGGGCACCAAGATAAGTGAGTGCTTTGGGCACCAATGAACCTCGATCCGCTCCTGAACGCAAAGTTTTTATCGGCTAGCACTAATGACCTGCTTGAAAAATTAACTTTAACAAGAAAAAAGACTTCCATGTCGGTCATGCAGTAGGCTTCCCTCGACCAGCAAATGATTTAACTGTATCAGAAACGGATGGTGCATACCGAAACATGGAATACAGTATCTCGCGATGCCTGAAAGAATATGTTGGACTGGTTGTTGGATATGTTGGATCTCCTTTTATATTTTTCCCAGTAGCCAACTCTACCCAAAGCTTTTCGATATGCAAGCATGGAAATTTAGCAATTACGATAATAAAAAAGTCTACCAAAAATTGGCTTGTAGCTAACTCCTCGTGATTGCAAAGATTCGAATCATTACAAACTAAGTGGCCTATTTGTAAGTGTTCTGTCCAACTGAGTACTGAAGACTATCCTTCCCAGCGCGAAATCATTTGTGATCAAAGCTAATTTGATTGGGATGTTTGTTGTGCTTTCAGATAAGTATTTTATGCAAGATTAATAGCATTTAGTTGGTTTTTAGCGACATTGCAGAGAAGAACTCTTTAGAGATCTGAGAACTATTACACATTCTAAAAACAGCATTCGGGTAGCATTTTGAAGATGGAAGTCAATTTAAATCCTTTACGTGTGCCAACCCAAATCATTCTAAATTTCTTGTTTGTTATGATTAGTAATCTTGCTAACCTTCATGTCACTGATTTCATTTTGAACAAAGTTAAAGAGATAATCAATTTAGGAGTCTGGGAACAATTAAGCATTCTAATAATAGCATTTGGGGCATTTTTAAGATGGGATGTCGATTAAAATCCATTTAGTGTGCTATAATTATTATCTAAATCAAGTTGCTTGGTATTGATTTTATTATTAGCGGGCTGTAGAGATAAGCGTGTTAGAGGCCTGGGAACGAGTACAAGGTCTAAAAAAGCATTTGAGGCTATTTTTAGACCTTGTACTCTAAATAAATATCATTTTGACGATGGGTCTGAATCCAAATCACATTACCGTGTTATGATTAGTATCTATACCAATTTTAATGTCATTTATTTTATTTTCAACAAAGTTAAAGGGATCATCATTTCAAAGGTCTAGCAACATTGAATCATTCTAAAAATAGCTCTTAAGGGCATTTCTCAGGCTGTGTCCCGATCACGTGTTTTTTACAAATTTTCATGCTTTTATCACGATTTGCGCATTTATTCTGCTTATCTCCTACACTAAACAATAAAAAAGAGCGTTTCCCTCTCTTTCAAGAATCCATAGACCGTGACTGCGCATATGTATTTGAACAAGTGGCCTATCCAAACCCCCCCCCCCCCTTGAGCCCAGACCCTCCATCTTAGATACGGCCATGGCCTGATACCCTCTCCATCAACTGGATTATTCTTACCTGCCTCTGCTGCCACAAATAAAGGCATCCGTTCCTTAAAATCTTGTTCCAATAAGTTTGCACCAGCATTCAGCAATGTTTCCATGGCTTGCAAGGCATCATTCTTGGCTGCATAGTGGATGGGAGCCTGAAGTTCTCCCTTTGTTTTGCGATGCAGATCAGCTGAAGGAAAAAATGTACGTTATGTCATAGCCATTGCATTAGCCTGGTGTACAGGGGCGTAGCGTGCGCGGGTGGGGGGGGGAGTGGTTGGGGTGTCACTTTCAGAGAACTCGTTTGTAGAATTACATTCTATTACAGTAGAATAACAAAATAATTTTATGCCAAATGTAGCAAAAGAAATTCCGTCGGTAAAATATGGTTTTGCATCTCCTACACCTCCCCTCCCCCATCGAGAAAGTTCACGCTACGCCACTGCTGGTGTATCTTCAGGATCCAGAATAAAGAAAATTATTGTAACGTGCATATATTAGATTTTAAATAGGTTGATTAATTTTTTTATACTATAACAGTTTCTGTACGTTTTTTAATGTAGGGTCTCTTGTAATAACATACACAAACGTCAAAATAACACAACATACGTTAGCACACCTAATTAGCTCCGAGGAGTTTTTCTTTCTATTTATTGATATCAATTGAACAGTAAATAGGTGCCTTATCGTAGATAAAATCATGTCCATTTGATCTTGGATAGATTAACTTCCAATCATTTTCTAAGGTTGAGGATGACCTTGCTCAGTTTTTGTCATCTTACGGCTCGTTTTATTATAGACGATCTCTTATACAAACATTTGTATACATTCTTTATCTTCTAAGAACCAGATAATTTTTTCCCCGAGGCTCGATCTTTTTATTCCTTTATATTTTCAGATGTTCTTGTCTTATTTCAACATTAATTCTTCAACATTTACATGCTATATATTTTTCCAAGACAAGTAATTTTAAGTTTTGCATGCCTTTTTAAGTACCCGGTTATTTTCCTGATAAAATCCACTCTGATTTGTTTACATAAGAGAAATTTCAAAACTGTTTTGGAAACTATCTACATAAGCACGAAAAAACCGCTACTGTGTAGACAAAAGGAGTTCGTTTTCACCTTAGGACTCCATTGGTAACATTCTCAATAGGCAAGCGGCACTGATTGGTCAACTTCAACAGTCATGTGCTCGTGTTTCTGATTGGCCTATTTCGATATTTCCTAGCGTAGAGTTTTCGGTCTATGTTCTGACGTTTTAAACTCTGAAGAGTGTTAGACGAAAAGCTTTAGTTTACTAAATGTTTGCTTTGTTCAAAGCCATTTTCAAGTTTTGTACCACCAAAAGATTGTTTGAATGTATTTACTGAATGTTTGAATGAATGTTTGAACTCTTGCAACCCCAGAGTTCAATACTAAACCAAACACCCCTTACAGCCAGGGCCGCAGTAACAATTTTAGGACCCCTGGGCCCAAGCATAGACAAGGCCTCCCTTTTAACAAGTGTGAAAACTCGATTATTTTTTTTGAAACTAAGATAAAAGAAATTTCATGATTTATGGAAAAAATAATTGAAAGCTATAAAAACTGTCTCTGTAGCTTAAAAAAACTCAATTGATGAGCCGAACAAATATATTTATTACTATTATGTATATGTAAATTAGAATTTTGCTCAAATTTTATTGGTAAGTATGCGTCCTTAATCATTAAAAGACATTTTGATGTATTTACTACCCGAGTTGATACCATGATTGCCGTAGAAGGATCAGAGAATTTTCAAATATGAGTGTGTGAAGATGTAAGTAATGAGGGACTGGAACGAGGGTTATTGTTGTTGTGACTAGTGAGCGAGAGAGAAAAGACGGAAGTTGAAGTGGAGAAATAGGTTGGATAGGTAGCAGAAGATGTTGTAAAGTTAAGTTAGAGAATATTGAAGAAGAAGAGAAACTGAAATATTGTTTATATTTGCTTTGCTTCTTGCATGCTTCGTTACAAGTGATTCAGGTTCGGTGGAAAATGCACTCTTCGAAGCCTTTTCACACGTAATATTGAAAAAATTCGTGTAAGAGAAACATACGAAACCATATGAACCTTCCGAAAATTTCTTTGGGCTCCGATTTTTTGGTGGCCCCCGGCGGGCCTTGGCTCACTGGGAAGTGGGGCCCTGCTTACAGTACCCCTCCAATAAAAATGTGGCTCGAAAAAAAGTAAAAATAACAAACCCCCATGAGAAATCAGCCAGTCGATCATCTCTGGATAGTTTACAGCGCTGGCGAGATGTAGGGGGGTCCTTCCATAATTATCAGGTTTGTCGATATCAACGAAGCGATGGAAACAAAAGTCGGCCACTTCGACACGCCAATTTCTGACGACTTCATGCATGATAGTCTGCCCGAACTCGTCTGTGACGTTGATATCCCCACCGCCAGCTATCAGTGAATCAACAAACTCGACGTCGATCAGTTCTGTGTCTGGCGCTGTTCCTAATTTCGCAAAGTAACTCAGCAACGCACAGCTACCGGCTCTCGACTCCTCGAAATCTTTCTTGGATGGTACTATGCTCAAGCTACCCGGGTAGCCATTCTCTTTCAAACCTCCATTGTCTTTTTCATCTTCCAATGGCGCTGGGCCTTTCCTATAAATGGTGGCTTCCTTTTTGTGTCGCTTTGCTAGTCGAGCATATTCGGCATTTCTCACCACATCATCTGAATCAAGAGACGCAGTATCGTCGTCATAGCCGCCGTTTGCAGTGCCAACTTCTGTCAGCGCGAAATCCCCAAGCTCCGACATCTTGCTTTGGAAGAAACCTTCCGGTTCGTGTCTCGAGAGTTTTCTGACATTCACAAGAAGGCAACAGTCGAAATACATAAACAGAATAGAATTAAAATTTCGATTCTTTGCATCCACGAACCATGAGACCGCAAGTTGCTTACAAATCTTAACCTCATAACAAAAGTGATATTTTGAAAAGGAACTTTAAAAGTACATCAATCGGAACAAACAATCCGATCGGGGGTAAGGCAATTTTTAACTGAACTTTTTACTCTACATATTCTACATATTTTACTCTACAAAAAGTTTATAATGATACATATTCAAGCTTTCTTTTGTAAAAAAATAAAAGCATTAGTTGGTGCAATTGCAAATTATGCCGTTTATCATAAATATCATGTTTTGGTGTATTTAGGTTAAATAGTTGGTTTTTATTAGCTCACTTTTCTTAAGAGTTCTAAATAAGAAGTTAATTATTATTATTATTATTCTGTATTCTTATTCACAGTATCGTTGTAATTTACTGGTTTACGTCCTACCAACAGGCTACTTCCCGTAGCTTTAGCAGATAGGGTACTACTGTTCAATTAATCTTTTCTTGTTGCTACCTCTTGCTCTTCTATTTCGTGTCCAAAACTTTTCTCAGTATTCTTGATGTTCCCAGAAGGCAGGTCCTTTGCACTACTTCCATCCGAACACCGCACTTTAGTTGCTCTAGGTAACTGTGGAATCTTTTGGTCACTGATCACAGTGTTTAAAGAATTGCGCCAAAATCAAAGCCTCGATTACCTGAAACAGCCATACAAAAGACCTCTTTGTGAATCCGTGACAAAATCGTCTCGGATAGGTGTTTACACCGTCCCCTTCAAAAACGGAACCGTGACGGTACAAAATTCGTTCGCTTTCAAAGCAGGGTCAAAACTGTTCCGGATAGCAGAGCGAAATCGTCACGGTTCCACAGTGCTAGTGTAAACGAGAGGGCGAACCGCGACGATTTTGTCACGGTTCCAAACTTGCACGGGACAGTGTAAACGGGGTCTGAGTCTAACACTCCGATGATAACTGGAATGATGAGAACTTTATTGACTTCACCTTTACAGACTTTGAATATCTCGAACTTCAGATCGCAGTAAGCATCTTTCTTTTCCATTTCTTTTTCTCAATTCTGGTATCGAAGGGACATGCCACGTCTATTATATCACATGTTTTTTACTTTTTTCAATGACAACTATATCTAGGCTGTTATGTTCGATTTTAGACTCAGTTTACATGGAGCAGTCCCGTAGAAGTTTAACTGCTTCATTTTCTAGTACAGCAATGGTGTTATCTAAAAAGTGTTCGTAGTTCTTTGATCCGCAAATAAATCCAAACTTGTGGTACAGATGCCAATGTATCACAGCAGCCACTTTATCATGATGCCATTTCTTGTACTCATTTTGTGCCAGTTATTATTATTATTATTATTATTATTATTACTATTATTGTTATTATTATTATTATTATTCTCCTAACACAAACATTCAAGCTTTATGGAAAAACACCAGTAGTGGGATGAATCTGCAATACGACATTTACCGTAACACCAAAGATGTACTGAAAGCAGTAAAATCAGACAGTAGAGAGCGCTTGGCACAATGGTCAATGGTCTTTGGTCTGTTGTGCAGAGCAACCTACCTACGAACATCTTCAATTCACCATAAAAAACCTGAACAATACTCTCCCTATGCTCAAAAATCTAAGTTTATGGAACCTAAGCCAATCATCTGATTGCGAATTCTGCCTTCTTCCCGAAATTTTACTCCATGTCGTTGCAGGCTGCAAAGTTTATCTCGAACAAGGTCGTTATACCTGGCGTCATAATTCTGCTCTAAATTTTCTTGCAACCTTCTTGAAAGCAAAAGAGGGATCCTCTCTTTTTGCCGATATACCTGGCTTCTCCTCACCATCCATCATAACAGGAGACAATCTGCGCCCAGATCTACTTCTGCATACAAAGGAAAACATTCTATATGTTTTGGAACTAACGATAGGATTTGAAACTAACCTTAACTGCAATGCAGAAAGGAAACGTTTAAAAAATGCTCGCCTTGTCTCAGATCTAAGACCAAGGTTTAAATCTGTCATATTTGTAAATCTCTCCATCAGCTCCCTTGGCATCTTCAGCGACTCATGCAGCTCATTCCTTGAAATGTGTGACTCTCTATTCATCGATGATCAACACAAACGATGTCTCATTTCTAAGCTTTCAATGATATCCATTCGTACCACCTATTACATTTTTTGCGGTAGGAACAAAACATGGACTAACCCAGATCTACTCCCCTTTTAACGTTTTTTTTTCTTTTCTCTTTACTACGATTGTAATAGTCTTATTTTGTAAAAACAGGCTAGCCAGTTACAAATTACCTTGTAATGGTGAGATTTGTAATTGAAGTTTTAACTGGAATTCAAGTTTCCATTATTATTTTTTTTATCCAAAAAGGCTTCACCTCAAAAGTATCAGGTACATTAGAGCACACAGCAATGATGAGCCATTTAATAAATAAAGCTCGCATTAAGCAACGATCTTTAGTGGTATCTTTGCTGGATCTCAAAAACGCCTTTGGCGAAGTTCACCACAAGCTGATACCAGCTATTCTTGCTTATCATCATATACCTTCGGAAATTCAATCATTGGTCTCAAGCTTATATCTAGATTTTAAGACCTGTATCATAACCAATAAATTCCAAACCTCTGCAATTCCCGTTCGCCGCGGCGTATTGCAAGGTGACTACCTCAGCCCCCTTCTTTCCAACCTTTGCTTTAACACGTTCATACAATACATCAAATCAGATAAATATAAGCAGCTTGGTTTCTCCCCCCATGATGGTAATGACCGCATGTTTCAGCCAGTACACTGGTTTCAGTTTGCTGATGATGCTGCTGTTGTTACCAGTGGAGAAAAGGAGAACCAACTCTTATTAAACTGCTTTACCAGATGGTGCCAATGGGCAAACTTCATTGTCAGGGTTGACAAATATGTTACCTTTGGTGTCAAGAAACACTCTACGCGATCCCTCCAATTTCAACCGAAACTTTTTATCTGTAACCAGATAGTACCTGCTGTCAAGAATGGCGATTCTTTCAAGTATCTTGGTCGTTTCTTTGATTTTGAAATGAGTAACCAAAACCATAAATCTAAACTCGTTTCTCTTTTCTCTTATCTTATGAAGGATATTGACGACTTACCTCTCCATACTAAAAACAAACTGCTTTTATACCATCGTTATGTTCTGTCTAAAGTTTCATGGCATTTTACTGTTGCAGATCTACCAAAGACCTGGGTTGTCCAAAACCTAGACAATCTTGTTTCCAATTACGTTCGCCAGTGGCTTGATCTTCCTGTTTCTGCAACAGTGAGTGTAATAATCAGGGACGTAACTATTGGGGGGGTTTGGGGGGGTGTTTCACCCCCCCAATCCTGAAAAACAGCATTTTGCAGGGCAAAGCAGAAGGAATTAGTAGTTTTCGAAGGGCAAAAGAGATTAGAAATCAAGTTTCACAAAATATCTTAATTCATTTTACTTTCTTATCAAATCCAAAACATATGTTAGTTTTTCCGATTTGTTGTGGTATTGTAAAGTGAGTTTCTTATTTCCGTGCCCCTCGCGAAGAAAAAGTGACACTGCTTGGATAAACGGTATCGCATCATGGCATAAAATGAAAAGTGGCAAGCTTGCTCAGCATTTTTCTTCTGAAGCACACCAAGCAGCATTGGCTGATTTTGCTAGGTTTTCAGTCGAACAAGGACATATTGACATTCAAATGAATAGGCATCTGAAGGACATCATCATTCAGGAGAAGGCTGACAAAGAAAAATGCAAATCGATAATGAACATTTTGTTTGATATTGCTAGAACATTGGCAAGGCAAGGAATTGCTTTCAGAGGCTCCGCTGGAGACCAGAACGGCAATTTTGTCCAGTTTGTGAATCTTCTGTCCAGGCACTGTCTACAGATGAAAGAATGGCTTGATAGCAAACGATTGAAGCCTTTCAGTACGAAATACATGATTCTAGTTCACAAAATGAACTTTTAGAGATCTGGGGGGAGAATGTTAGAGAAAGAATAAAATATGAGATTGAGTGTGCTAAAATGTTGTCGGTTTCGGCCGATACAACACCCGATGTTAGCAATACGGATCAAATGGTTGTGGCTGCAAGATATATTGGTGAAAATGGAATTGCGCGCGAGAGAGTCGTGGAAATGAAAGAGTGCAATGACAAACATGGAGATAAGTCAGCAGAATGTATTCTCAAGTGTCTGGAAGCAAATGAAATTAATGTGAATTATCTCTGCTTCCAAACATACGATTTCGTAAATAATATGTCTGGGAGAATTGCAGGGGCACAGAGGGTTCTACAAGATATTCTTGAAAGACCAGTCCCGTACATTCCATGTCAAGGGCATCGATCTAATACTTTCAAAGAGCATTGTGCAAAACAAAGTGCCATAATTACGTCGATATACGATAATCTTCAAGATATATATGTTTTCTTCAGTTCCAGCTTCAAACGAAACAAAATTTACAATAAAGAAGTTCAAGAAGTTGATGAGTACTCCTTGAAACTCTGCAACATGTCTAAAACGATATGGGTCTACTCTTCAGAGTCGATAGAAGCAGTGTGGCGAAGTTTACAAAGCATACTCAAAGCAATTGAAAAAGTTGTCAGTGACGACAGCACAGAAATGAAGGGTAAAAGTGAAGGGTAAAGACATAAAGAAAAAGTGTCTGTCATTTGACTTTCTTTTTGCATTGATGTTCATGAGATTAATTATGAAGAAAACAAAGATTTTGACGATGCAACTCCAAGCAGAAGAGCTTAACATCCTAGATGCGATGAAGTTAATTGAAGCAACAGTAGAAAATCTTAAGAAGATTCGCATTGATAACAAGGCTATGGATGAAGAGTTGGATGCTCTAAACGAGTGCGCTAAACAGCATGGAATAGATTCAGCGGCTGAGTTTAGTGGAAATATCGACTCAGGTTGCAGCCAAGAAAGATTGACAACGGTCCAGAAACATCAGCGGAATTTAAATTTAATTCCTTCTACAGAACAGAAATTTGTGTTGTTCTCGATTCTCTGATAGCAGAGTATGGTGAAAATATCAAGGCATGCTTAAAAAAATTGAGCCATTGGCAATGGCGTTGTAGCCACCACTCAAAACGATAAACCCAGAAACAGTCCACGATCTTTGAATGCTTTTCCCACCAGGCTTTCATATTG